GTAAAACTATTTGCTGGTTTTCTTGATGAATTAAAAAAATTAGATTCATTAAAAGATGGACAACTCAGATCAGGTTCAAGATAATCAGCTTTCTTTGTAGATGGAGGCTTATATTTTTCAGACCAAATTCTAGATTCTTCAATCATTCTACATAAGTCAATTAATACATCAATTGTGTCAATGTTATGTAAAGCTAGTTGAGAAATGAAATAAGGTAGCATATTTCTTCTTATTTTATTGACTATGGTTTTCTCATCAGGTTTGACTGTTAAACGATTGAATAATCCTTCCATATTTGAAATAAAAATGGTTACTCTCTCATTAGGACCTTGAGTTCTATTTCTTATTTCTTCCAATAAATTCTCATCATAATTATAAGGTAAAAAGTCATCCTTCAATTTCCTAACAAGCTCATCCCAATTTGAAAATCTAGATTTATTATTCATGTACCAAGTCCAAGCTTGTGATCTAAACAAATCCCCAGCAGAAACAAATAAGTCGTTCTTTGAAACATTTCTAGCAACCCTCAGAGACTCAACTTTTTCCAAAAAAGATATAACTGATTCTTTGTCACTTGAACCAGTAAAATAAATATTCCACTTATATGGAGCAATTGATTTAGAAAGAGGAAATTGTGTTACATCTGGTACATTCGGTAAATTTGGAGTTGATGTAGTAATTGGGGATGGAGTAACTTTCATATCAAGATCTCCCTCTAAAATCAGAAGTTTAAGTCTTAAATCCTTCTTTTGATTTTCATGATCAATGTTGACTATTTTAATTCTAGATATTCTACCAGAAACATGAAATAATCTAGAAACAATTCGTTTATAGGCAACATCAGTAGTCGTTCCAACAAAAGTATCAATAGCATGTTTGATATTATCCAAAGAAGCACTTATTTCTTTTTTATCATTTTCAAAAGTATAAGCCTCAATCATAGCAGAAAAACTACGATCAGCTGATTCCTGACTCAATAAACCTCTCAGCAGTTTACGCTTGTTGTCAACATCTCCTGTAGGTTCAACACCTCTAATTCTGATTTCATAATCAAGTTCGTCCACTTTCAAATGACCAGGGTCCATTCTATATTTGGAATCTGCCATTTTTAGATATCAAGGTAAAAGAAAATTCGAATAATATTTAAATTACTGAGATAATTCGTAGTCTTGCAAAAAAAACAATTTTTATGAAATAATGTCCAAAGTTCACATCAAGCTTAGTCAACAGAATAACTGTTCCAAATGCATAGATATAAGGAAAAAAGAAAAAAGCTAACAAACTTCCAGCTTATAACACCTAATGTGTAAACACGTTAGGGCGCCAAATTGTGTACCAATAAAAATTATTGAACTAATTTATTTTTATTTTGCCTATGAGCTGCTCTAAATTCGGTGGGGTCGTGAGTAAGTGAAGTCTGTTAGCAATTCTGAATTATTTTCAAATACCTTCAAAATAAGATAAGATAACCGAGATAAGATAAATAAGATAAGTTAAGTGAGCGCCATGTATTTTATTCCTGGTTAAAATACAAAAACCAACAATCTATGCACAAAGAACAGTAAAACAAAATTTCAAGCTTAACAATTTAATTTCATGTATGAAATTGCTATGAGTACAAAAATTGATGTTCAGAATTGTACAAAAAATGTATGTTCAAAAATGTTTAGAAAATCTATGTTCAAAAATATACAAAAATTTCAAAGATGTCCTAATTATTAAGAAAATCAATCTCAAGTGGAATTGACCAATTTAAAGGAAATTTGGACTTGTTTCAAGTGATGAAGGACACTTACTCCGTCGAACTTCTTCCTGGAAAGTTTCCTTGGTCTTCGGTAGTTTGTTGCACTCCTGTCGGACTTTTGAAGTTCTAGTTGAGGGAGTTCATGGAACTACTTCCAAAACATAAACTTGGTCGACTGGTATGTCCCAGGAGTTCTCACAATCTAGTTCATAGATGTCGTAGGAAACCTTCGTCTCCTGCTGTTTAGCTAAAAGCAATAGAGCGAACAGAATCTATCCAGTATTTGAGTTTCTGTAGTGAAACTTCGATGGAGTGTGATAAGTGAGCCTTCAAACTCAATCACAAGTCAAAATCAACCTGGAGATCTTATTTACAATAATTAAGTTGATCAGAGAAACTATCTAAACAAGAAAAGATATGTACAATTTCACAATGTTTGACACTGTTGTTATGTGCAAAAATGAACCTGTGAGGTGTTCAAGAGGATTTCAGTGAACCTTATATGAACAACTTTTTTCTCTGTGACTTAGTTGGATGGACTAAATTATGTTCTGAATTCTACAAAAAAAACAATTGTGAAATTTCATTTCTTTGATAGAAACTATCTCAGAAGATTAATGTCTGTCTCAAACAGAAAGGAGATATCAAAGATTAGGTAAGCTAAGCTAAATACAAGATATAAAGATTGATATCTTCCTCAATATCGTTCCTAGAGTCAAGTTCCCAAGATAGATAAGATAAGAATTTTATTTATGTAAGATAAAGTACTTCAAGTAACGAATGGATTACTAGCAATCTTATTGTCAAATTATTTCTATTTGAGAGTGAAGTAATAGAGATAATCAACCTCAAAATACAGTATCTTAGAGAAAGATAAACTCATGTGATAATGAAAATCTACAATCCAGCCAACAGGTGGATTGAGCTGTTTCGAAGTGAGCAAGCAAAATCTTACGACAGATATGACATTCAGTCTAGATACATAAAAGTTTGCTACTCACCCCAAAAACAGGTTCAATCCTAGATCTCAGCTGGAAATTGTTTTCTCTGGGACTTCAAAGTGAGCTATCAGAGTAATTCTGTTGGATCTCCTTCAAGCACCAATATCTCAAATTTGGTAACAACACCTTAGGAATAGATTATATATGGACTTCTAGAAGGCTCCAATTAAGCTGAAAGAAAATACAAAAATCCGGCAGAAAAACTATAATTTCATAACCACATTTTCTTGAGTTACATAAACCTCAAGAACAAAAATACACTCATTATTTTCTCAATTCATGAGTAAAAGATAAATATGTTCAATAATAATCCTCCTAGTTATAGGATTATATTGAAGATAAAAAGATACAAATAAATCTCAACACGAGAGCAAATGGCGTCTCATCAAATCCAAAATTTGATATTTCTCTAACATCAAATAATTTGCAAAAGATACCTCTTCACTTGTAAATAGAAATAATCCAATTTTCAGTTCAAATAGTAGAAGCTACAATTTAAATTGACATATTAAAAATTAAATCATCAAAACTTCGATAAAGAATCCATTCATTACCTGTATCAGGTTTTTTATCAGAAAAACCTTGTCAAGCGTCTTCACTCTAGGACAGATATTTCAAGAAGAGAGCGAGCTCGTCTTTTCTTTTTCCGTGCTCCTATTATTTTATTCAAAACGCAGACTCATGTGGTGTGGTGTTGCCAAACTTTCAACTTTTTACGAGAAACTATTAAATCTACATTGTTAATATTTTAATTAAACTTTATCAATCAAATATAGACCTATCCTTGGATTAGTATCCAATCTGAAAGTTTGATTGATAGTTTCAATTAGTGTTACCTGTTCCATTAGGCCATGAAATGATTGAAATAAGCCAGTCACAAGTGCAATGGTTTATTGAAACTGATTAGAAGCGACAACCATGTGACAAGCAGAAGGATCACGTGGTATACTTACCTGTCCAATTCCCACTATTCAACCAATCAACAAACACTAACGACGAACAGTATACGAGGTAAATCAAAAAGTATCATCGAAAAGGAACAAAAATCTACAAGTGTGAGATTTTTCGTTACAAGGTGTACACGTCCATTAAGGAGAAATCACGAAAACGACCCGATATGAGGTCCCAGTGTATCATAATATGACAGCATTGGTAATGTAGACCTTAGTGTAATGGTTCCACTTTACACCCTGTGTACGTTTTGTTCTGCGGACTTTTTCAGAGTGTACTAGCTCTCTTTGAAGACGATGAAACATCTCACTTGATGAAAAAATATAGGACTCCGAAATAGAGTCGAATTATGAGTGGTCCATTTAGTGTGTTGAGCACTGTATGTTAGAGCTCAGATATGTTCTCTATACAGAGTGGGCCATTGAAAACGAAACAGCGGCTCTGTAGGTCGGCAAAACCGGATTATGAAAAACATCTGAAACACGTCAACTACATTTTCGAGGGGGACATCGTTCTAAAATATTTTCAGCCCTGCGACGTTGCCGCTTCTAACGAAAAGAAGCAACAACTTTGTTATTTCAAATGGAACACCTTGTATTTCATTGCATTTTTAGATTCTCTCCGAAGAGCTGATTTCATCAATGCATCACACTTGGGGTCTAGCTGGATGATTTCAGAGATATAGGGTGTTCAAAATCGAGATTTTTCAAGTTTAGGATTTTTTGCGTCGAAGCTATTCATTATTGGTCAAAACAGCTCACATGTCCCTATCCCAACTTTTGATGAACTATCTACTGACATTTATTTGAAACAAATACACGGTGGTTCAATATTCAGACTTCTAATCACCCTGTATATGTTTCAATTAAATGTCAATAGCTAGTAAATCAAAAGTTGAGATAGGGATATGTAAGCCGTTTTGACCAATAATGAATAGTTTCGTTACAAAAAATCCTAGAAGTTGAAAAATCTCGATTTTGAAAACCCTATATCCCTGAAATCATTCCAGCTAGACCCCAAGTGTGATGCATTGATGAAATCAGCTCTTCGGGGAGAATCTAAAAATGCAATGAAATACAAGGTGTTCCATTTGAAATAGCAAACTTGTTGCTTATTTTCGTTAGAAGCGGCAACTCCGCAGGGCTGAAAATATTTTAGAACGATGTCCCCCTCGAAAATGTAGTTGACGTGTTTCAGATGTTTTTCATAATCCGGTTTTGCCGACCTACAGAGCCGCTGTTTCGTTTTCAATGGCCCACTCTGTATGGATAACTAGGTTCATCATCTGAATACACATTTTCCAGCATTACCCACTGTACAGACAGTCGGACATGGAGTGCTCCGACTTCGATTCTGCCCCTTACCCCGTGAAACAGGAGAGGTTCCGCGAACGTTGGGAGTGCCTCAGCCAAGAGGCCACTCTCCAGATACTCGACCAGCTCAAGCCGAGGCTGGCCCTGTCGGGGCACACCCATCACGGGTGCACCCGCCCGCTGCCCACGGGCGACGGGGTCGAGGTCACCGTTCCCAGTTTCAGTTGGCGCAACAAGGATAATCCCAATTATTTATTGGTGAGTTTCTATGGTTGTTATTCCAGATTTTTTGGGATTTTCTCTCCTTGTTTCTATGTACAGTGTGTCCATTTAGTGCGTAATTTGTAATGCCCCCAACTTTCTTCGTTCGTTGGCCTACTACAGGGGGTCGTTACAAAGTATTTTTTTCCGATCAATGGGTTCGTGATTATTGAGGCAGGAGGCAGACTGAGATTGTAGACATTAAGACAACATATAGATAGTTACTGAGACATATATTCAGACAGTATGGTCAGGCAGAGGTTACAGGCAACAAAATCAAAGTTTGCTTACATTTTAGATTGCACATTTTTGTTACACTGTTCACTTGTTTTTTTAATTGGCGAGAGATTCACTTCACTTTTACGTCTTAGTCACAAAAGTTGCAGTTTACAATAAATCTACCTGAGTGGTTACTTACACAGGTATTATTAACGAAGTTCACTGGTACTGTTCGAACGTAGCATGTTTGATAGACAGATACAAAGTCGGCTGGATACGTTTTGTATTGAGTCACGTTTAAGACTTAACATTTCACATCCTGGTCAATAGCTTCAATGATTGAACTTCAATCATTCCCGAGGCTCACTAACAAAACTTTCAACTAACACAACGGAGATCGAGACATATCGTATTGGAGACTGATCAAGACTGCTTCAAGAGTAACTTCAGACTGTCTTCTCTCATTCAGATTGTTTCTGCTTTTATACAGAATTTAGCAATAAATTTTGGGAGAATCAATTAAATATAAGACAAGCTCCATGTTGTGTTTATATTAGGCAAGATTTTTCGTAGATTTTTGAGCGATAAATTACAGATGTTAGGATTAATTTGCGAAACTAAAAAGATTTCGTTGTAGTTCTGAATTGTTATGACAATAAATAATTTAAAGCTTCAACCCATACTCTTGATGTTAATATAACTGTCACTTACTATAGTTTTCCATTAACCCTATTTCAAGCAATAATTCAATGTGGTTTATGATTCTCATTAATTTGTCTTGACTTCAATTTGCACAAGTGAGATGATTTCGATGTAACTCTCTAATGTTATGATAATAATTCACTTCAGGAATATTAACAAAATTGACAATTACATGCTCTTTCCTTTACGTATTTGGGCTGAATAATAATTTATTGATTTTCGAGCCAATCAGATTAAAGTCAGTCCCTCTTTATTGAACTTATAAATTCTCTGCAAATTCTAATCAACGTCATTTTTGTCTCTCAATTCGGTCCTGTGATATCAACCTGCTTCGTTCTTAAGTGACCAGTGAATTCGTTTTACAAAGGTAACGTACCTACATATTCTATACATTTATTTATGCTAATGATGCTGCACTCAATTCAAAATAAACATTCGTCCGTTCACGTAATGATATTGCCTAGTAGATGCATGATAAAAGTTATTCTTATTTAAGACAATTATTGTTCACTGTACTTAGTTCAAAAGAATTCAGAAATCCACATAATTTTGTCTAAGATACTCGTTCATAACAAATTCTTCGATATCTCAAAAGCCATAACCTATAGAGAAAAACTTTGGAAGAAAAACTTCTTCAGTTACTGAAGTTGCTCATTTCAAAAATATTTTCAACCAGTGCCGGATCTATACTCACTTACGCCGGGGGCTAACTATTGAGATGCCGCCGCGCCGCCGCCAAATAATTCAAAATTTAAAGTACCCGTTCACCGAATGTAAAAAATATTAACCTGTAAAATTTCCCTTCTTTCTTATTCAGAACGTGGAGTTCCCGGATACGGTTCTGTCGGTTCTCATTCTATCTCATATTTGAACTGAGAAAAAATGAATGTATTCCAGTGCCTCTCTTGACAAATTCATCCAACTTCATTTGTTTATCAATCTTCTGCCGTTTCCAGGATGCACCACTTTCTTTTTTACTCATATTTTTGAATTCCAGTTTCAATATTTACCATTACCAACGACAACCTTCAGTAAGGATATGTTCAGCTGGTTTTGATTTTTCGATGTGTCTTTTCTTTATATTGTATTTATGTTCCTTCGTCCTTACTAAAGACGGACAACATATGGCACAGTGGAATAATATTAAAATCATTGGAAAAGAAGATAACAACCAGAAGAGAAAAATCAAGGAATCTGCTTGCATTCTTCTGAACGGAGACAATAGCATTTCTTCCTGTTCAGTTGATATAGATAGAACATGGTATTCCCTATTGAAATCGGAAAATGAAATGAAAGCACCTTGTGACTCATTTGATTGCCAACGTCACCAATTGTCACTGACAACTAAAAAGTGTCAGGACAAATACGAATTTGCGACACAAAAAATCCATTTTTTATGTTGAAAACGGGAGCAGATTCGTTCCCAAAACGTCCAAAGCTAAGTAAAAATTTGATATTTTTTCTATACACTTTTATTTCTCTTCACAAACTTTTTTCAATACAAATTGTCACTGACAAGCTAGTGAATTTTTCTTTTAGGCTCTCTGATAGGAAAATTCTTCAAACGCCGTGACATTTTGGGGCAAATCATCTGATTTGTCCTTACTACACGTATATTGAATTAATATTCATATATATATTTTATAGAAACGAGGAGAGAAAATCCCAAAACATCTGGAATAATGAATGTACCACGTCCTCGATTAACCTACAGACAGTATTTTCTATGGTTATTCTCTCACCAGCAAAAAGAACCGGCTAGCAAAGAAATGAGCCAAATTGATCATTCTGTAACTTTTTTAACTCTTGCCCGATTCTGGTGAAATTCCGACCAAATCGTAGATTGATGTTTCAGTGTTAGCCTGAATTTCAATTCTTGAAAAAAGTTGATGACTTGATTATTATACACGAAAAATCAAACGTTAACTTTTCATCCTCAAATTCTTAACGCTCTGTGGAAAGGTGAGAGTATAAACTTAGCATCATCATGTTTCGGATTGAAGTGTGATCCCTTCTTAACAAAATGGTTTTTGATTCACGTTTTCATCTTCTTTTGAAGGGAGTCACAAATTTTTAATAATTTACTCTTCTTTTTTCAGGCTGTTTTTAGTCCAAACAACTATGCATATGCCAAATGCGAGCTTCCCAGAGAATCCACGGTGATAAATTTGTACATGTTCGGCGCCACTATGTTCATCCTCTGGTTGATTTACTCTTTGATGTGCAGAGGTAGAAGAAAATACAAGTATCACTGACATCGGTTCAATATGTGCTGAAAAGCATTGAGAAATTACATGAAAAATAAAAGCGCAAACCACCCTTGATATTACACACTTATTGATAGATATTTCAAGAGACCATATTTAAAGTTATTTATCTGAATCTTGCTGAATATTTTTCCTCGTTTGAGTCATCATTTGTCTGGATGGAGTTATGCTATTTCTGATTTTCGAGAATCTGTGTAAAAATGAAACTAGACTAGAGGACGGATAAGGCAGATTGAATTTCGGAAAGTGTATACATAAGCTCAATCCATACAATATTTTCTTTGCAGAGCTTTAAACCACACGAAAGTAGGTTAATAATTTTCTCCAAAAATTATTCTGGTACATATTGTCTCCACCAAAATGTTGATATTAAAAATTCAACTCGCCAGTGTAATTTAGAATTCCAAAGGTTGAAGAGTAATATGAAGGCATAACGTGGTGGGGTTATTGTAGGTGAGTGGGATTATTGTAGATGATTTATGAACAAACTTTTTCACACTACTTATATGTGCCAAATGAACATTATTGAACATACTCAAAATTATTCTCTGATTAGTCTTCCATGATGATTATTTCTAATTTTTCTTCACTTAAATACGTTTCAATTTCATATTTTCTTAGAATTTTTCGCACAGTGAAGTAATTGAATGCCAATAATTCAGTATAAGTCCACTCGCCCGTTCAGTTATGTAAGAAAAAACAATAAAAGGCACAAAGTCGGTCGACCACAAAAATTATTAAATGAAAGAGGAGTGTTACTAGTTTCGGCTACATGCCATCATCAGACACAAAAAATCGATGTTTTAAGTCATAGTCAAGATATATTCATCTCATATGATATTATGCATCTCATTATTATGAGAGAAGATATTCTCATTATTATTTTTATAATTTACTGAGATATTTTGCGTCTCATGAATTATTCAATTTGCGTCATTGATTTCCTATTGGATCATAAATGTTATTGTGCCAAAGTGATATATTGATGTATAACAATATTTGTTAATTGATGTTGATGCAGATCTTTAAATTTACCAAAAAAATGCCTATATTAAATAATTAACATGCTGACTAATGTTTTGAATCCCATTTCATCTTCAACCCTTTCCGAATTAAAATAGATGACTGTTCTGAGAATCATCATTGATGAATATATTTATTCTCATGCCCGTTATTCAATGTTCCTGTTGATTTGTTTTTTATGAACGCGAAAATGATCGAGCTCGAAGTGTTTAGACTCGGATGGATTAGACAAAACGTAAACGTTCAAACTGTTTGTTTCATACCAAAGTTTATAGAGAATATTTATCTTTTTGAGATTTCTCGAGAACCGAGCGATTCTGTGTTTTTATTTGAATTGTGCAAATGTGTGTGGCGATTTTGTCGGAAACTATTTATAAAATATGAAGTCACGTGGTTCGACGTCGCGAGCGCACGAAAGGAAATTCCTATGATATTCATAGAACATCGTGCGTACCTAGGGAGGATAGATAGGTGTTGGAGTTTTGTTGGAACTTTTGGAGGTCATAAGTTCTTGGGAATACTTCCATTGTCAAAGAATTCCAAAGCTTTGCCGTTCTATAGACAAACTTTTTATTTCAAAATATCTCCTAATTTACAGTTGCAACTGTAAATTTGTGCATTATCAATACTAATACCTAATATAAAGAGGAAAGATTTGATTGTTTGTTTGTATTGAATAGGCCCCGAAACTACTGTACCGATTTGAAAAATTCTTTTACATTAGAAGCCGACATCATCCCTGATGAACATAGGCTACTTTTTTCCTCGGGAAAATGCTTCATTCCTACGGGAAAACGGGTAATAGTACTATTATTATTATTATTATTATTGTTTCCTTACTGATTTAAGATTACAACTGGACGCGGTAGGTGGCGCTGCTATCGGTACGTCAGCTACTAAACGGCTGGGTTGATATTTTTAATAGGTAAAACAAACAAAAAAATAAAACACACGAAACGAAACACAAATATTCTCTGAACTCATATTACCAGCAAAGTCCTTCATAGAATCCCACACACCGCAGTTCATACTGGATTTCGAGCAAATCACAGATTTATTAGATGCAAAAAAATCTATCCATTTCTTCAGGAGAGGTCCATAGAAGCAAGATGTACTAAATTGTGAAAGAAAATTCTGAAACACTTAGAACAAACATCCGAAATCGACAGTGACGCAAGACACAACATTCTAACCGAAAAAATCGGAAAAAATTGAACATTTTGCAACAAATTCATACAGAGAAAGTGTCTAAAATAATCCAATGGAATATGAATGGATACTTCACCCACCTAGGAATGCTAAAAACTATTGGAAATGAAGTCAAAAAATCAGTCAACCCCTCATATTCCGTCCACATATAGCACACACAAAATTTTCACACGAATATATACTACAGGGAGGAAATGAAACAATCTGTGATGTATGCCAAACGAATGAGTCACAAACCATATACCCAACTCATTACATGAAGCTCTTAGTGACAACACCAACATCGACAATGTGATATATGTTTACTGAAAAAAATCGATTTTATTGATAATACTTGAGGTGTATTAAATATAATGTAGCTAGAATGATAAAAAAATTACAAATGATACTGAGAGAATGAAAATAGGTGTAAGTATATAATAGTACCTATAGGTAGGCACAACAAAATGAAAAAAAAAATGTACTTTAGATCGCGAATAGCTCAGAACGACCGCAACAAATGTCTTACTTTTTCAAATGGTTGCCAAGCCGTGCCGGAGAGCTAGTGTATTATAAGTGTCTAGAATTATTTTTAAGCAAATCAAGTCAACATTACACCACCATCGAACTTCAGGTTGAATAATTTATCTCGTTTACCGGTGGTTAGCAACTGACATAACTTGAACTTGATAATGTTATCAAAATTGGAAAAACATTTTCATGGTCAAGTTCAAGGGGTTTGAAGAGTTTACCTCAAATGTAAATATTTCATCGAAGAATTGATAAAGAGTTAATCAAAACAAGATTTATCCGTATAAATTGCACAAGCATCTTGCATTTATGGACGCATTAAGTTATATGAAAAACATCGAAATAAACTCTATTCAAATGCTGCAACCTACTATACCTATAAGGAACTCTGTTGGCATATAAGATAATCCGTAAACACGATGGGGAAGTTTCCTTCAGATGAATTTTTATAAAATAAGTTCGGAACTCTCCAGTTTCATGTCCACGCTCTTCAGATGAATTTTTATAAAATAAGTTCGGAACTCTCCAGTTTCATGTCCACGCTGTACAGAATGACGACCGATTAAGTCCAAGTCGTTTTCATTTTCAAATTAAAGCAATTTCTAATTCGGATCAGGAATGCAGAGGGTAGTTGGCTTCATTCTGACAGGTTATGGTTTTGTTATTTATGCATTGAAATATCTCGGATAGAGCTCGATCCTAAACGAGAATATCATTGAATCATCGAATCACTAACGGCTACATTCAATGATATACTATCCTTCCTGAGTTACTGTCATCGGTCAGAACAGGTTGTACCTGTCAGTATTATTTTGGAACGAATTCATCAGCAAAAAAATGACTGAAAAGTTATGAATACCATAATATATTGTAATATATCAATAGTGAAAAATTATCTATCGCGAAATATCATAATTTATCTTTATTATATAGTAATCAACTGCATTCAACCATTGAGAGATTTATGGGAATTATTCATAATACTTGACAAAGTAGGATTGAAGAACCTATATTATATCCCATTGCTGTTATGATATCGTTATTATACATTCAAAGAATAATTTACGGAAATAGACATATTGATGATGTCGGCAACGTTGTACTGGCACAGGGAATCGTATTTTAACTCTGTGTGAATGTGGATTTTCAGAAAGTGCGTCATAGTAATGGTGGAGGAGCCATGTTCCTCTTTTATTTATTTTTTTCTGAAGTAAAATTTGATTTTACGAAAAAAAGAAAAAATACGTATATATTAATTTTTTACAAACTTCACAGTGAGATTAGAACCTCAATATAGGAAACTGTAAATTAGATCAAGAGAACTTTATTTCTACACATCTCCTGATACAATTGAGTCACAATTCTTCGAAAGAGATTAAAAAAATCCCGAAACCTATGCAACAATTCGTGACCGAATACTAATTGCTAATGTTTCTTTGCTAAATAGTGAAATAATTTGATTTTTTTTTATTGTAACGCCGTTTTGTTGCTTCTGGTATACCCACTTGCCATTATCTTGAAGTAGTTGAGGTACTGAAATAATTACATTAGATCAATTTTAGTTTGATTATTAGATACATCATAAATATTCAATTACGAGATATATTATCTCAGAACTCGCAATCTTCAAAGAAAACAATATATGGCCAAGCAGTCTCTTGATTAATTCATTTTTGTTTAGAGAAATAGCTGTACTGGGTGATTCAGACTGTAATTAAGAAAATTCAGAAGGCGTTTTGTTGAAAAACGATTCAAAGTCTATGTCAATATGCTGTGAAAAGAGCAATTATGAATTGACATTGCAATTTTCAAGAGTGTGAAGGACTTTGGAAGGCCTTGCTTCATAGATTTTCTGACTGGCTGATTATAAGACTAAAATTAATTAGGGCATACAATAAATCATAATCGTGTGGGCTCATACGATCTGACCTTAACTGGTTCAATCCGATTTGAGGCCACCGTCCAAAATAGACCAATTTGATATAGATTGAAGTACGATAAGATTGCAGTGGAATATTCGGGATATATTCTGCGTAATAACCCCAAAAAGTTGAGATAACCTAAACGGACATATTTCTATCGGAAATGGTTGAATAAGAACGTCTGAAGTATACACCGTGTCCCAGATAAAATGTCCCCCACTGTAAAAAATCAACCGCACGATCAAATGACTTGAAATTTGGTCACCCAGTATATTTGATGATGCTAATAACTCGAAAGGTCACACCGAAGTGTACCTAAACTTTCATATTTGAATAGGGACACTCATTTTGTTATTCCATATTTAGGTAAAGCTCATCAATATCACTCGTCTCATAAGGATCATTACGCCCAAATTTATTTATTCTTTCATATTTATTGTTTCAAAATGTTATGGATGTTGAAATAAGTTGTATATTTTATTGTTATATTTTTACCATACTTATCGATCTAATTGTTTCATTTTATTTATACTGGTTCTGCCGTACCTACTCCTACTGTTAATCAATATATAATAAGCTTTTTGATTGGATATTGGCTTTTACATATTATATATTTTATTACACTACACTGTTTTACCACTAACCAAACCGATTTTTTAACGCCTCGACACGTGTTTCGCTAACTATGTTAGCATGTTCAGGAGAAGATTAAAACTGTTTTAAAACATATTTGTGGGGCTACTTGAAATAACAGGTTCATGAGTCGCCAATTGGGAATATAGAAAAAATCAAAGGGAAAATCACAAATTTATTATTTTTAATTGAATCGTTTTATTTTTTGCCATACCTCCGTAGTCGTTTGACAAATTCCCATCAAACCCAGTATTGTTGAATTTGCAAATAATGAGCTCTACTTGAATATATACTGGGGGGTGTCCCTATTCGAATAAGAAAGATTAGGTGCACTTCGGTATTTTATTCAAAAGCATAATATATACTGGATGGCCAAATTTCATGTCATCAATCGAGCGGTTGATTTTTGACAGGGGGGGCACACATTTTAGCTGGGAAATGCTGTATAGGTTGTAAATGGACTCAAACATTTCGTTAAAAAAATACTTCTGACAATATTTTTTGCAATATAGTTCTCCCACCTAAGATGAGAATACTCCTTACAAGAAACTTATTATTGTACACCAAGTAGATCATGTTGTGCAAATTATATTATTGCCACATTATCAATGCACACTCCCAATTTATATGAACGTCATAATATATTATTACAATATATGTATTATATAGCAACAATTAATGTTTGCCAAAACATTGTACCACCATCTCTCAACAAGAAAAAATTGCGAGAAAAATAATTTTATTGAGAAATTTGATAACACACCCAAATTATAACAGCTATCGTCTTTGATTAAATCTTCGTAATATTTCATCATACACGAATCAAGTATATTTAAGGAGTTCAGTGTATTGAACCCATATCCATTCAATGATAGACTTTCCAAGAACTAAGATACATATTTTATATCAGTGCTATGGTGAATGATAGTTACGCAATAGTAGGTACCATCGAAATTTGTGAAATTGACCAGTCAATTGATTGATCTTGAATTTTTATAAACTTCATATTTGTGACAAAGTTTGTGATAAGATGGCAAAGGTGTCTTCGATGCTTTCTGGATTTTTATCGAAAGCTTTGGCAGCAACAGATCAACTCAGTGTTAATGTGCAAGAGTCCCCTATCAAGGCTTGTACTCCAGGAGAAAGAATAATAACCATGAAGGAGGTATCCTGGCATGACGAAGCAGATGACTGTTGGATAATAATATACGATAGAGTTTACGATATCTCAGATTTCCTAGATGAGGTAAGTCTCAGAAACCTAGTTGCATTTTCTATGTAGCTGGAATTTATTCACTTATAGATTGCTAGATTGTACAGGCTGTCCCATTTTCGAAGTCCTTACGGGATATCTTACTTATTTTTGAAGATAAAGATTCGGTTTTGAGATACAGGATGAAATTGAAAATGTTGCATCAGCTATATCTTTCATCATTTCCTATAAGTTGGATGTCACGATTAGGATACAAGTGTCTCACTACATTATAGGAGCTCTGGCAAAGATAACTTACATTCTGGTCAATCTTGAGTCTTCGGCAACCCATAACCCAAGAATTTTAGTTTCCTCAACCAGACTGAAGTGGGAAAAAATGTGCGTCATACAAAAAAAAAACAACATTATTTTCCATTCAAGTGTGTTATCTTATACAAATTGCATTCGGTTATTTTCATATTATGAAAAATAGCCCCCCTCCTTCGGCTATTTTGCCCAAATATGGAAATTAACACTTGCAATTTTTAGATAACACGCTCCATTGAAAAATTATCGGTAATTTTCATGCACTTGTGCAATTATAACCAAAAATTTGCAAAATTATTTATAGTTTTTCAGTTATTTATATTGAAAAAGAAAAAATAATATTTTTGGAAAATCTTTTTTTTCTACGTTATTATTCGAGATACAAAAAAACTGAAAAACTTTTACCATAGCAACTTTAAATCAGATTCAACATGAAAGAAGAATTTTCAGTTTGTCTGTATCTCCAATATTTATGTAGAGAATGAGAAGATTTTCCAAACATTAATTTTTGGAATATCGACCATAATGACAATAATAATTCCATGACCAATGATTATTGAATATTTTTTGTTGTAGCACCCTGGTGGCAGTGATATACTTCTCGAATACGCTGGAAGGGAAGCCAGTGGTGCTTTCAGAGGATCTGGGCACAGTGCAAAAGCCATTAGGGCCTTAGACAGGTTCTGCATAGGAGAGTTACCCATGCACGAACGTATCTTCAGGAAGCCAGGAGGGTACAAGCTTAGTGACATACCGGACTAAAAGAAATATATTCCGGATCAGTGTCCTTTCAGTACTTAATATTTTAGAATTTTATTTATATTTATCATTCATTGTTAGCGTTTACTTTTAATGTCATTGTTTAGTATTTATTCCAATCAGTATTATTGAAGCTTAGAACTGTTGATTACATACCTAATCAAATTAAAAACCTCGTTAAAAACATTCTGTGAAGTTCTCAAAAATATTTTTTTTTATCAATATCTGTAATACCACTTTAGATATTCTGATGAAAATTGGGATACATGTACTATGTATCTATCAAGAGGCAGCAGTTAGTGGTACCATAGTTTTTTCGTTGCCACCAGTGGTGTTCGTATGGAATTTCACATATCTATTTTGGCAGACATCGATGGTACGCCACTGAATAATTTCGAAATTGAAATAATTACTGAAATTCTCAATCATTTCTAAGCAAATTTGATCCCCACAATGTATTTAATCTGATGCACGGTTTTCGCTCAAAAAAATAAAAACCTGTTCACTACATGATCATAACAATATCGTTAATGATATGGCAATATTCAATACAGAGAAATATATTTCATTTTTCAGGTGAAAACCGTGATTTGGACTGAAACAATTCAAGAGATCAAATCAAGTGATTTGATTTTGAGAACTTTAGCACCCAAAATGGGCCCGAGAATCGCCTCCTCAGATATTGGCAATTAGGAAACACTCTGTATAATAATAAAAGTTTATAATAATGAAGTTTATTCAAGTACATCACAGGTAATTTACAGCATCAGTAATTAAAATCATAAAAGTTGAAGATGATTGCACAACAATGGACCACTTCGAGATATTTGGTCGAGGGAGTTGTAGTATTTCCCTGATTTCCAATATTCAGTTTATTGAAGTAAGGCAAGGTTGATTTATTAGAAATAAAGGGCATGAAGACTGTTTTATCCCAGTTTATAGATAGTTTTTTAGAAGCAAAAAATTCAGAAAATTTCTCAAGATCCTTTTCCGCAACTTCCTTGAGCCCAGTCCAGCTCTCCCCTTTGTAGAACACCGCCATATCGTCTGCAAAACCAACTACACTCCCACTAGTTGAAATATCGAAGATACTATTGATGTAGATGGTGAAAAGTGAAGGACCCAGAACAGTTCCTTGCGGGACGCTACACGTATAACCTTCAAAAGATGAAAAAAATATCCCTATCCTCAATAGATATTTACGCATGATGTTCTTCGAACATTATAGGAATTTCCTTTCGTGCGACCAAAAAAATATACAAAAGTTTTCAGCAAAAAATATACAACGGGCGGTGTCGGTTTATTTGAAGGTCAACTTTAGATAGACCTCGAGATAGACTATACAAAATAATTTTCGAAAATGGATAATAAAGGACACAGAAAATAATTTTGTACGTAAAATTAATGAACGGCGGTCGTCAATTTTTTGAACATTAATATTACGAATCGATGATTATTACAATCATTTCTGATGATGGGTTCATACCGCAAGACACTGAAACAATGAACGAGCCAACATTGAACAATGAACGAGAAACATCAAAAGTTAATCATTTTTTTTATTCATGTGATGAAAAACTTCATTGAATCAACGTTTTATGTTTATTGATCTATGTTTTTCATCATTGGAGCAATAAACTTTTCGTCATGGATCTATCAACAACAAACATAAGAAAATAATGAATGGTCTTCATTGTTTCAATGAACACTAAACGTTGATTTCATGAAATGAAACATCAACTTCCAAAACAGGCGCCAAATTAATGTTGCCTACCCATGGATCAATCACGCCAAACATTAATACTATGAAAAGAAACATCAACTTCCAAAACAGGCGCCAAATTAATGTTGCCTACCCATGGATCAATCACGCCAAACATTAATACTATGAAAAGGTTTCATAATACGCGGTGAATTTTTCATTTGCCATTTTATTTTATTTCTATTCGTTCAGTTGTTAATGAAAAGTTGAAAGTGCTGGGTCGTGTTTTGTGTTTCTGTGGCTCGTATAGAATTCCTACCTATTTGTGAAATTGTGCCACATCAATGGGATACTAAACCTAACATATTTGAGAAAGGTGAGTCCTGTTAATTTTGAATTACTTTTTTCACAATTCTTACGATTAGGATATATTAACTCAGCAAACATTGAACTACCGGAAGAATTCCGGCCTAGTGCAGGCAAGTGTGAGAAAGTGTCGATGCCGGTGTATTGGTGATGTCCGATGATTTCTCTATGCTAAGTAACCATCAGTTGAAAATACGATGATGGCCTTGTGATGGTATGATGTATAGAACGAGTTGAGCACTAACGAGTTGTGGCCCCTTGCTGGCCAATATCCTGTTCACTACTCGTCCCACTGGGGGATTTTCTGGGAACGTCTACATCAACAATCAGCTGATCATTTGGATAATTATTATATGTCACTCTAGTGATAGCGTATGTTTCGTTTTTCTCTGGTTTGTTGTCATATCATTGTGCTCATCACTTTCCCTGGTCGTTATAATGGCAGTTATGGTGGCAGGAGTATTCTCAATTGATAATATAGAAGATGGATTCTTCAATGATGATAATATGTATTGAGTAAGTATCAATCTACCTATCTAGTGTTCCTAATTTTGTTATGAAATGCATGTGTTTGTGATGATAATAATTGTAGTGGCTCCTACCTCTCCAGAAGCGTAACTATCATGGACTGCTTGGTTCGTTACTATCAGAAGTAATATTTGGTTATGGAAACCTGTCTCTATCATTGAAGTGAATAACAATAAGGCCTGTGCCTCCATATGTAAGTATATATCACGTAATCAGACTATATATTGATCAAGTTATGAACTCATGTAACAGAGTATTTTGTTTCTTATACTTCTATGAAGAAAGAATTCTGACATCAAGAAAGGCCACTTCATGATAACTTATGAAGAATTTTATATTTCAGAAGTACCTACCTCGCAACGAAGAATCTATTTTGGAGGAATGCTTCGCAAATAAGATGAAGATGGAGATATGCCAGCCAGTAAGCAGTCACTCTGAGGAGTTTTATCATGGAAGAAGAGAGAGGTTGAGAAGATATCATTGTGACATTCATAAATTGTTTCCTTGAAATCTGGTATGTGTCTATTTCATATAATATGATGATAAACATAAAAAAATATATTGAGTTACTAGAACTTCCAGATCAATTGGACCCCTGAAACCCCTACCCTTCCCTCTACCCCTCCTCCTACCCCTCCCCCTACCTCGTTAATATGTAACCAATGTCGTTAATTGGCCCTTACAGTCCCATCATTTCTGTTTATGCTGGGCTTGCTATGGGCAACTCAATGTGTCGATTATGTTGTACCCATATCAAAATGTTTGCTGGGTAGGTACTCGTGGGATGCACAAGGTACTATTCTTTCTACAACTACTGGTTATTGTCATCACATTGTTATCATTTTATTTTCTACAGAAAATGAAAATCAAGTTAATTAGGTGTTCAGATCAGTATTTTGCCTGATTTGACGAAATTTCCGTTGTCTTGTATAGGGAGGTTATTAGTTCTTGAAAATACTTACATTGGCAAATAATTCCAAAGCTTCGCCGTTCTATGGACGAACGAGTTTTGGTAGAGTGTAGTTCAACATATTTCAAAGTTAACAAAGAAAGAATGTGCTGACTGGGCCTGTCGAGTTCGTCTGACTGGTATTACTTGTGATTGAATTATAGCAGAGATTTCTGTGGAACATTTCCCTTATTATCAGATACTTAGTTATAATTATATTATAATGAATGGAAAGGGCAAAATTTGTTTATTCCGACAAAAAATGTATAAGGTGAGCGAATATTTGTTTTTTGAATATCGTCCAAGTTTATCAGTCTTCGATCATTCAGTGTATTTTTGACATTTCGGAAACATTTTTAGTTGACTTCATTAAAAAATATTCATTACATTTGTTATTCAATACAATTAGGTAGATTTCAACAAAAAAAAAATGATATTTCATTAAGAAAACCATCAGTGTTCTGCGACTGCCTTGTAAATGTATATATTATATTATTCATCAGGTCACATCAAATCAGTGGATGTACTAGATAATTTTGGGCCGATTTTGGGTTTTTCAAAATTTTAGAAATTAATTACTCTGATGCGTGAAAAAATTGTCCCCTTATTACTGATAGTGACGATACTGTTGACAACATTATCTTCGACGACGACTATACCACTGTTAAATACCAATAGAATTTGTTCGTTACATCTATAACTGTCGAACATAGATTCATGCTCATTTTTCATTGATTCAATGAAGAAAATCATCAAGTGATGTCTATCGTTCGTAATATCAATAACCGCCGATCATAGATCCATGCTAGCTGATTATTGATTCAATGTTCAGCTGTGATAAACTGAGTCTGTCCTTCGTAACTGGCACTCACATATTCATGCTCACTGTTAATTGATACAATGTACATCAACCATAAACCAATGTTTATCATCATAGATCCATGCTCGCTGTTTATTGATTCAATGTACAACAACCATGAACCAATGTAAATCCATTCGTAATATCAATCACCGGCAAACATAGATCGATGACCATTATTCGTTGATTCAACGTACTGCAGTCATAACTCAATCAACAAGAAAATTTACGTACGACCGTTCATTGTATTAATGAAACCCGTCATCGGCCTAAAATTAATGTTGACGTTCACTGATTTGATGTACTTTTTTATTAATATAACGTACCTTTTTCGTTCTGTGGAGATATACCCCATTTGCACAGGAGATAAAAATATCAATTTGTAAACATTAAATTGAATCACTGTTCAGCTGCTTGGTATCTATAAATGCGATAGGAACACTTTTTTATTACTATAATGATGTAATATTTTGCAACAGAATTCTTCAGAGATGAAATGAGAATGAAGAAGTATCATGTGTGATATACTGACCACGTAGTCCATGGAAGTAGCCTTAATAGGAGAGAATGCCAATAGTATGACGTAAATGGTTGCCCCTCTGAAGGAAAGTCGAGAGGAAAGTACTTCTTTTTCAAATTTCCTTTCAGAAAATAAGGTTATCGATAATGGTACTTACGTTTTTCAGTTGACTATCTGTCACAGAAATATGAGGAGAGGACATAATAATGTCGGTATTCAAAGGACGTCTTTATTCAAGACACAACTACCATTTTTCTATACACATATGTACAGGGTATGTCACGACTATCTCTATATCGAGAATCTTAGGGGAAATCCATGAAAATATGCATGCGTATATTTTAGAATACGCTCTCTTTATTTAAAATATTTTCAGCAATGCAGTGTTTCCGCTTCTATCAAAAAGTAGCAACAACTTCGTTATTTCAAATGAAATACCCTGTATTCTATTCCATTTTTAGATTTTCCCTAAAGAGCTGATTTTATCGATACATCACACTTGGAGTCTATCGGGAATGATTACAGAGATACTTATGGGGTGTTCAAAATCGAGATTTTTCAACCTCAGGATTTGTTTGTGCCGAAACTATTCTTTATCGGCCAACATCTGTCCCTATCTCAACTTGATTTACTATTTACTGATATTTAATCAGAACAGATACAGGGTGATCAGAATTCTGAATCTTGATAACCACCCTGTATCCGATTAGACATCAGTAAATAGTGAATCAAAAATTGAGATATAGACATGCGTTTTGACCGATAATGGATAGTTTCGACACAATAAAATCCTAAAGTTGAAATATACCAGCAAGAATTTAAAAATGCGATAAAATACAGGGTGTTCCATTCGAAATATCAAAGTTGCTACTACTTTCTAGTAGAAGCGGCAACACTGCATTGTCGAAAATATTCCAAATGAAGAGAGCGTATTCTAAAATATGAGCATGTACATTTTCATGGATATGAGCTGAGACATGAAAAACAAAATTTGTAAGCTAGGCATGTGGATGTTGGTAAATTGGTAAATATGTAATAAATGACCATTTTTGTTGTTAAAATTCTGTGTACTGTCGATTTTAATCATCAATTCAAATTTAATAAATAATGAATAAATACATTTCTCAATACTTTTGCATCCATACAATAATACTGACAAACAAAAATACCAAACTATTTAAAACTAAAAACCTTACAAACAGTAGGTAAAGGCAAACTAAAACTAAATTACACATAAATACTATTAGAACTTGTTTAGTACTGAAGTGGCACAATTCGAAAATCCGGAACCCTTTTTCATTCCGGTATATCGCTGAGCTTGTACCCTCCTGGCTTCCTGAAGATACGTTCGTGCATGGGCAACTCTCCTATGCAGAACCTGTCTAAGGCCCTAATGGCTTGTGCACTGTGCCCAGATCCTCTGAAAGCACCACTGGCCTCCCTTCCAGCATATTCGAGAAGTAGATCACTGCCACCAGGGTGCTAAAACAAAAAATATTCAATAATCATTGGTCATGGAATTATTTTTGTAATTGAATAAGCCAATTATTCGATTTAGAAAGACGTTTAAGGGGCAACAACTTCATTTTCAACAATCATCGAGAGTTGCAACGAGTGATGATTGTCACTTTAAATTGACAATCACTTTTTTATCGTCACAAGAATCCCATTATTTTCAACATATTTTGGAGGTATATAAAACTGACACAGCCATTTTGGCACTATCAAATGAAAATCATCTAGTATTTAATAACTATTAATTAACTATTTTTTTCTACTCACATAGCTACAATGGCATTTAGCTTACGGATATGTACCACGCTGAATGATCGATTAATCACGGATTGTCGATCTGTGATTTATTCAAAATATTAAACACGTTACCATGGCACCACGATGTCTTAAAACACATTACCATGTCAACGCAGTTCATTAAACACAGCTTCAGCATTTTGAGACATGTCTGGCCTGTCAATTGTATTAACTGTCAACTGTTAGTTTCAAATTTTGCATCAGAATTATTCAAACAATATTCGTTTGTATCAGAATTCCTCATTAAAAATATATGCGAAAAGTAGACGAATGTGAAATCGAAGAGAATGTTCTGGTACTTGCATATCTCCAAGAAGTGGAAAAATGAAGCATCCATCTTTGAGGACAATTTCTGACAATGTACGTGAAACAAAGGTTAGTAAGCAATGAACTGGAGACATCTACAACCAATATCACTTATACGTATTCCTTTCGAATTATTTTGTAGGTTAGCTGGAATAGCAGGTATTTTAATGTAATTTTCGGAGTTCGTAGAAAATGCATAGTATGTAACGCGTTTATAAACTCTTCTAGACACTCGTTTATTAAACACTCGCTCCGCTAGTGCTTAAAATACTCGTTACTAAACGGACGTTTATAACACTTGTTACATAATATACTATTTAACACCAACCCAAATTTTTTAACTCAATCGGTTAGCGAAAAAATAGTGTTGGACCAGCTTAACCTCAAGCTAGCACAATCGTTCCACAATTTTTCACCCAAATAAGTTATGGACATGATGCAAACGCTAAAATTTTCAACTTTTCAATAACTTTCGAATGGTGCATCGATAATTTGAATTTGAGCAAATTTGAATATTTTAAATAAGGACAAATATGCATTCAATACCTAAAATGCATGTTAATTTTTTCATGTAATTCTCAATCGTATTCTTTTAGCGACAATCCACAGATTATGAAAATAGATTATATATTTTCCAAAAATAGTACAGTTGTGGTGGGAAATATTCAAAAGAAAACGTATTATAGGACAGAAAATCGCAATATGATGACTAACGACTGCTTTCATTGATCTACTATTATATAACTCCAGCACAATCAGTTGAAATTGGGAGAATGTGAATCCGAATGATAAATTTTGCAATAATAGTACAGTTGTGATGGGAAATATTTCAAAGGAGAATTATTATAAGGACAGTATTGATATAGCGTTATAGTTGAAACTATAAAGAAGTGAACGATTTTGCAGGCTTGTTATACTGTTACACCCAGTTATTCTTTGAAAGATCAGAGCTTTACACGAAGTCTGAATAGGCGATATAAGATAAGTGTCAAGGTCAGTGTAGAAAGTGATGAAAATCATTTCAAACAATCCTTAAAGGATATTTTCTCATAAAAATTATTGGAATCGTTCGAAATATATGGTCCGATTTATCACTGAATTGAGAATGAGAATAAGTTCCCTGAGATGAACCGAAAAAAAAACATCGGGGTGAAATTTGAGCAATCACAGTTATGGGTGGTTTCTAGTAATTGTTTGACTTGGGGGTGATACGATCTCTTCTTGTTGGAAAGATTTTGCTCCCATATTATTATATTCCTAATTTTTTGAATTCTTTGTTATTGTAAGGTAATCCAGATAACTGCTGCATGGCCTAAAAGCTCTGGTATGAATCTTAAATGTCATCACAATTATTTGTTTTATTACTACCTACCGCTACCTACGCTACGCCTAGGCTATGACAATCTACTTTGCTGCTATGTCAAACATATAGTTTTATCTTCAAATGTTATAAAACCAATTTTGGGTAATTATTTTATTGAAAACTTCATCGTTTTGTGTTCACCAAATGTCAGTGTCAATTTTGATTACCAATACCATTCAAATTACTTCGAAAGTACACCTTTGCCGCCTGAAGTATCAGAGAAAAGCTTCTTTCCCTACCGCTTGTAAAGAAACAATATATTATCGCAATTCCGAATGTATTGGAAAAATAAAGTTGTTGTATATCGATTTTTAATCTGATATCAGTACGAAAAATCTGCTCTGATAGTTTTTCTCACTGGTATTTTTCAGATATTAATACGAGAAGATATTCAAGAGTGAGCGACCTACTATAATGCATAGGAATTCAACTAGGTTTCTGAGACTTACCTCATCTAGGAAATCTGAGATATCGTAAACTCTATCGTATATTATTATCCAACAATCGTCTGCTTCGTCATGCCAGGATACCTCCTTCATGGTTATCACTTTTTCTCCTGGAGTACAATCCTTGGTAGAGGACTCTTGCGCATTAACACTGAGTTGAACAGTTGCTGCTAGAGCGTTCGACAAAAATCCAGAAACAATTGAAGACACCTTTGCCATCTTTTCACAAGCTCTGTCACAAATATAAAGTTTATAGAAGTTCAAGACCAATCAATTAACTGGTCAAATATCTACTCTTGCGTCACTATTATTATATAGCACTTTGATATGAACTAATCTCTCTTGATGCCTAGGAAGTCGATGTTTGAATGGATGTCGGTTCAATACACTAAGCTTCTTAAATAGGCGGGCTTCCAGTATGATGAAAGATTTAGAAGTTTTAACTGGCTTCCTTATCAAGTTTCTCAACACATTTTCGCATGGTTCTTTTCTTCATTGGGTTATTGAATTACGTTGTCGTGCACGGACAAATAGGAGTATTTGTTGCTGTATTATTTTTCATCTAGGTATTTCATGACGTCTGACGAGAAAATGTGTAAATATTTTTGATATGTACGATATTATAGAAAATACAAATGTTTTCAATAACTCTTGAGGAATAATAATTGTTCACGGAATTCCAAGAATAATTTTATTGAAAAGGATTATTCTCAGATGAATTATGAACCTAAAAAAATTTTAAAATGGATAAACATATAAAGAAATGCATTGAGAATTCGCAGTCTCTATGTGATAAGAATATCAACAGAAAACAACTACTTTCCCACGACGAACATTGAATTTTTTTTATGTTCTGGTTCCCACGAAGAGGGATATCCTGTAATGTTCAGAGAAGATCGTCAGAACCAAGGGAAATGAGGTAGGAATTGGTGTTCTTCTTAAATGTCTGGAGGTTATATGCCTCGGGGAACACCTCCCTTGGCAATGTGTTCCAGAACCTCGCTGTTCGTTGAATGAACGAGTCTTTGGAAAGAGATGTTCTGCAGGTCTCCAAAGTGACCACGAAGGGGTGCAAAGCCTCAACTCGACGGGTTAATCTCGCGGGGACTGCCAAGGGAGGAACAAATGTTGATATTTCAGAAGAGCTTCGTCCATGAAAATATCTATAAAATAGAGCCAGATCGACAACTTTTCTACGGTGTCCCAGAGAGAAATGAGTGAGTTTGTGAGCGAGGCATTCACCCACGATACGAATTGCCTTTTTTGGACAAAATCCAACAGTTTCAGGGTATGTTTGGGTGCTGCACTCCAAATATGGAGGACAGGACAGGCAGCTGACTGAAACCAAGTTTTTGGGAAGCACTTTTAGCAATTGATCTAACGTGATTTTCCCAAGAAAAGTTATTGCTTATAGTAATCCCAAGCATCGAAATGGATGTCTTCAAAGGTATATGGTTACTCCTGACAAGCTTATGTTGGACACAGTGAGATCGGCTTTTATAGAGAAAAGGCATGCTTGTGTTCTGTTTGCATTGAAATCTACTAGGTTATTGGATCCCCATTCGAGAATTGTTGCCAATGCCAAGTCCATATTTATGTTGTGAACATTTCTCCCTCGTTCGTTTCTGATTTGCCTGGCTGGAATCGGAACCCTGGAAGAGAAGGCGGTATGGTAGGGTACTATCATCCACGGAGTTGTGTACTGGACATGAAGTTGCTTCCAACAAATCGTTGATATTTGGAGTAGAAATAGTGTTGGTGCTAGAATTGGAGCAGCATTTATGATAAAACTCCGTCGACCACTACATGGAGATACCTGTTTGAGAGAAAACTATCCTGACGGACTCGTGGTGTTGCTCGGCAACATAATTTCGTGAAGAATGAAGCGACAGAATTATCTCGAATATTCAGAACATCGTGATACCTACTTATGAAAATACATAATGTTTTCAATAACTCTTGAGGAATGAGAATTGTTCACGGAATTCCAAGAATAATGAATTATAGCAATTATAGGACATGAAAGCCGTTTCTACCGATAATGAATACTCAAAAAATCCTTGAGTTGAATAATCTTGATTTTGAACACCCTATATATCTCTGCATAATCATTCCCGCTAGACCCCAAGTGTGATGCATTGATGAAATCAGCTATTCAAGGAGAATCTTGAAATGCAATGAAATACAGAGTGTTCCATTTGAAATATCAAAGTTGATAATATACTGCTGTATACCTATTATAATATAATGTGAGATCCCAGATATGTTTTCATTAATTCAATTTGAAGGGTGAATCTTTCAACTTCGTATAGTACGTTATTCATAAAATCAATAAATAGTTCACCGAGTAGTACAATTATGATAATTTTCGGAAATCGGATAATTATGTTTCATCAGAATGTCACACTTAGATTCCGATTCCAAATAACATTGAATCTTATCGAAAAGAATATTATTTAAAGTTTCATCATGCAGTTTTGGATGTTTACCAACAGATATAACTATGACAGTCTCCCAACCCTACGTCAATTTTGGTAATTTTGTACGATAATAATTTTCGGAATAATACATTGCATCATTTCATAACATCTATTATGTCGCCACTCGGGTCTCCATAAGAAGATGCTGACATATTACTGTCCCCATCACAGTTTGGATTCCCTGAATCAACCTTTCAACCTCTTAAGGTTAGCAAGAACTAAGCAAACTGTCAGAAATTTCATGAATTGTCAAACTATAATTATTATGAACATTTCCATAACAACCAACCATTCCAACAACTGCGATTTCTATCAAATTTTATTTTAATTGAACACTACAGGAAAAATAAGGAGATTGTGGGAATTGTAATAATTTGCAAATACAATATCCTCCTATATCATTATGAACAATCGGAGAAAAAATTATATGTTCAACTCGGCAGCAAAGTAGATTGACTGCCTTAGCTGGATGTTCAACAGATATAATTCGATGTTTGACGTGGCAAATAACCAAGAAAGTAGTTGTTTTCTGTTGAATATTCAGAATGATGATTTGTGCATCATACTGCATATACATATTTTTTTCTCCGATCGGCGGCAAATATTAATTTTGCTGACACATATCAATCAGCAAAGTATTACTTTCCCTGCCTAGGCAGCAAAGGGATTACTTTGCTGATTGATATGTATCAGCAAAATTAATAATCCATAAATCGTTTATAATTTCCTTCATATTTCATCCGAGACTTCTCCGGCAACAAATTCAACTCTATATTTTTTGCCACTTCCCTTATTTCTGGAGGTGTAAGTACTTCCAGGTCGCTATTACTGTCCATTATATATAATAATTTGAATATACTAATATTTTTTCGCACAACTGTCAGAAATTTCATGAATTGTCAAACTATAATAATTATGGACATTTCCATAGCAACCAACCATTCCAACAACTGGATTTCTATCAAATTTTATTTTAATTGAACACTACAGGAAAAATAAAGAGATTGTGGGAATTGTAATAATTTGCAAATACAATATCCTCCTATATCATTATGAACAATCGGAGAAAAAATTATATGTTCAACTCGGCAGCAAAGTAGATTGACTGCCTTAGCTGGATTCCTAGCCTCGCTAACGCTCGCTACGCTCGGCTATGAATTCAGCCTTGGCAGTCAATCTACTACTTTGCTGCCTAGTTAAACAAATAACTATTCTTGGTTATTTGCCACGTCGAACATCGAATTATATCTGTTGAACATCCAAAAAGGAGAGCATGAAAAATAAAAATCTTCTGAAATTGAGAATTGACAATTTCTCAAATCTGATAAATAATATGATGTATTATGATATAAAAATATATCTTACCAATATGTTCTCTATATTGAAAGGAAAATTGAAATGTATAGGAGAATTATACTTGTATAAACTATGTTCTTGATGAGCTTGGAACTTCCAAAAAATCATTCGAATCAGTGCTATGGGAATTATATCTCTCACAAACAGGTTATATGACTTTTTTTGATGTTCATAATTCATCTGAGAATATTTCTTTTCCATACTTTCACCCAATCGAGGGGTTCAAACTCTAACGATGGAAACTTGTTATTTTTATAGACTTTCTATCGATCGAGATAAGGTTTTCTCAATTCAGGATTTTTCCACGTCCTGTATGATGAATATCAATTTGTCATACATCCAGAAATGAAAATACGCTTTGTTTTATTTGACGGTTGTCGAATTTTTTGAAAAATTAAATTTTAGGCAACTGTGAACGTGCGACAAAGATGTCCGAGACAAAAATTACAAAATAACTTATAAAATGATCTGCTTCCATTAAACAGATAGGTGAAGGTCGACCTTATACTTCGGATCTTAGACTAATACAGAAAATTATAGTAGGTAAATGATATACCTATATCTTGGTATTTTGAAACTTCCTATTAATAGTGTGTGTGTCAATAATAAGTCTTCTAATATTTCTGCTGAGGTTTAAACCAGCCACATACTCAAAATCAATATGAAAAAAGTGTATAGAATATACTATACCTACTATAGCATTCACTACTGACAATCAGTTATCAATATATGGAGTATTGTTTCTAATCTATGATAATGAGAGTATAATTTTTACAAATTCACATTAAATGTAAAAACTTCACAAACGATTTTAGATTCCCCCTAACCCAGCGATCACAAAAACATCTCAGAGATGTTAAAAGTACGAGATTTCGAGACATTGAACCTCCACTGCGATGTTCTGTTCACACATGAATAGAACTATTATAGAACAGCCAATGTCCGCCGCAGGCGGCAATTATCAAGATGTCCTTGATATGTCACAAAACTACCTTCTCCCTAGTTCTTTTTAAAGCCTTTTCATGGACACAACAAAACATTTTCAATCGCTGTAAAAAAAACATTTTCGAGGTACTTTTCTGAAGCCTTTTGTCAAAATGAACTTTTGCATTAAAAATAGATTGAACATAAAATATTTTCTTGATATGAAATTACCTTCTTAATCGGTTTCTGAGTAGTGCTTAATACACACAGACATATAATTGGAAATAGGTTTCCGAATTTTTGAAATTTTCTCCACAATGCATAATTTTGCAACTGCGGAGAAGCTGTGTATAAATAAATTCGTACTTTTATATATTGATTACACTGAGGCACCGAACAACACATCTTGCATCTGATGGTCATTATTACAAACTAAATAAGTCTTCTAACACAATAAACTTCACCAAATTCCTTTCTGTTCGTTAGCAGCGTGATCATGGGCGCCGCTAGTAAAAATTCCAAGGGGGGGCGGTTTTTTCAAATTCAAAGAATTAATTGTACTATACTAGATATAAGTAATAGGTAAAATCGAAACCCTTTTGACTCATTTTCACTACCAGTGTGGTTTGAAGAAATTGTGAAGAGGATATAGGTAAAGTAGGTTGGGTAGGTCAGTTGATAAGTAAAACAAGGAATTAAAAAAAAATCTATTTTTTCGAAACAAAACACCTACATTAAAACAAAAATATCACAAAAATAAAAGCTGAAAGACCCAAATTCCAAATCGATGGCCTTTTGGAATACATGTCCCATCGAAATATAATAATAGCAAATCTAAATCAAAACTCTTTGGTAAATACCTATATAAAATAAAATACAAATAAACTCCATATTCAAAATGCACTTGTAAATACTGATATGGCAATATGCATGTAGGCAACAAGAATATAAATAAAACAATGTTTCTTTCGACCAAAATAAAAGCAAAAAGAATGAAATTGAAAAATAAAGATACTGCACTGAGGGCAATCCTAGTCTACTCGTCAAAAAGGAATTTTAAATTTCTTTTTTCCATGCCAAACAAATCAATGACCTTATTAATTATTTCAAGCTTATTGTTATCAACGTATATTCTGTGTATACTTATGAGAGCCAGTCCAGAAAGACGGTTTTCGCTCATAGTTGATCTGAGCCAACTTTTCACTCTCTTGAGAGTACTAAACGATCGTTCAATCGAGCATGTTGTAGGAGGCATAATAACAAAAAATTTCAAACAAGTTTTAATGTTAGGAAAAAAATTACATTCATTATTTATTAGTTCAGTCATATCTCCTGAAAACTCTTTTTCCTTCCACACTTGCTGCCATGTGCAATATTCCGCACTTAAATTATCAACTCCAAATTGGTTTGAAATATCTTCCAACTGATTTTCACAAAGAATAGTTCCCTCTCTAATGATAGCAGGATGAAACTGTGATAGAGAGAACGCAGCTGTTTTATCAGAGGAAAACCGAGTTTCCAGAGATCTTATGACTGAATCTAAATAAGGAATGAAAATAGAAATCATAAAATCTTTCGCATCCATAGCGCACAACAATCCACCGCACAGGCCACAGACAGATACGAGACTGACCACTAAAAAAATACTGATACTTGATAGGACACTTGTTCGCGTATCGCGTGGTGGGGTAGCTCGAGTCAAGTGCTTGCGTTCCGAGTGTTTGTAACGCCTTAGGAAGTCACATGGTTGCGACGGCCGACGGGCAAATGCGAAGTTCACCGAACGACTAATGAACTTACATTTGGGATGATCTCAGCTGCTATTTAAGTTTATCGCGTCCTGACTGAAAAAGCTAAAATCCAGGGGGGGGCGGCCGCCCCCCCTTGCCCTCAAGTAGCGGCGCCCATGAGCGTGATGTAAGCGTGACACGCTGCAAACGCGAATGCCAATTGCGAACAAGAAGAACAAAATCGAAAACAAATCAGAATTGATCGTATTGTGACGTAAGCATGAGACGTTGTGGTGGGGCAAACAAAGAAAGGGCACAAAATAACAAAAACAATACTTTCAATATCCTTCTGAGACCTCTTTGGGAAGTGCATATTACGCCTCAAAAAACATCCTCATGCCTACATTTCTAAAACATCCCAAAACATCCCAGGGATACCTCTCAATAGGCAAACAAAGAAATTCCACAGAAGAATAAAAACAATACTTCAATATCCTTCAAAGACCTCTTTGATCAGTGCATATTACGTCTCAAAATAACAGAACATCCCAAAACATCCCAGGGATGTTTGTGCTCGCTGGGAAAGAGCTGATTTCATCGATACATTACACTTGAGGTCTAGCGGACATGAGTACAGAAGAAAAGGGTGTTCAAAACATACAGGGTGCTCAAGATTCAGATTTGTGATCGCCATGAATTTGTTCCAATTAAACGTCAGTGGATAGTAAATCAATAGTTGAGGTAGACATGTGAGCTATTTTGACCTATAATGAATGGTTTCCATACAAAAAATCCTAATGTTGAAAAATCTCGATTTTGAACACCATGATATACAGGGTGTTCTATTAAAAACAAAGTAACTGATGTTACTTCCGGTTCAACCGGAAGTGACAGCGAATTAAAAATATCGCGCTATGCTGGCTGTACCCGAAATTTCAGATTGATGCCTCTTCTGGTTATCTATAAACATCTTATGAATTTGGTAGATGAATGACCCTGTATATATACCATTCTACAAAGTGTTACACTTTTCGAGCAACCATTGCTCATAGATTCTAAATTGGATATTGGATGTTATAGTAAGTAATACGTTTTCAAGATTTTATATAACGCGCTTAAAATGTTTTTATCACTTTTAGATCTCATTCAACTTCTCAAGAAAAAAGATAAAAGTGATACATAATTCGGCGCTAATTGAGGGTATTGGCTATTTACCTACCAATAATAATATCATAATACTGAGTTTTGGTATTTTCATTTAACAATGGCGAGATGAGGTTTCTACGTCATAAGAGGGTCCGTTCTCAGAAGGTACTATTATTTATGTCCAAAAATAAAACATTCCAGTTAATTTTCCGATCAAACTATGTCGTCAATCATTATTTTTATGTATAAAATAATCATTATAAACATGTTGAAAAGGAATTTTCTCAGATAAATTATGAACATACAAAAATGGATATATATTTATATAAAGCAATACATTGAGAATTTGCATTCTGATTTTTGAGGGGTAGTTTGGCAGAAGTTGACTTTAATAACAATAATTTCGGTTCGACGAAAGTGTAATTGTTAATTTTTTTCCAAGAAGAATAACTGAGATATATGGGCTGTTATGAAACGATCTGGGACATCCGGTAGGTATATCTTCTGAGAATACTGACGAGTCATCCTCGGTTAAAACTTTCATAATATCGAATGATATATATGTAGAGATAATTCGTATTCAATAAATGTGCCAAAAATGTTTTGTAACTGATAAAAATGCGGCGAGTAATCACTCTATTATAGATATTTTTATGTTTTTATCGAAATAATTATTTATCATAATTGTCATTGATCCGAGCAAAAAAATGTTCATCATTTCGTGTAAGCTGATGCAACATCCCGAATTGATGTGTATTGAAGAATATTCAATCAGAAATGATGGATATATAACATAGGTGAGCGCGACGTGAGCGCTATAGGGTAAAGAATAATACCAGCTAATGTAATAATTAATATATCGTTCATTTTAAAACGGATATGAAAAAACGGAATTTCAATATGGTGAAATTAATTTTTGGCCTAAGATGAAAAAATGGATGACTTGTATTTTTGTATCGAAATGTTTGATCTATGGCGTTGGGAATCACAGGACGACCCTGTGTAAATACAGAAATTTGCCCCAATGCAACTATTTAAAAAAGTGTAAACCTTGCTACAAAATAATCATCAGTTCTACCAACCTTGGCTATTTAGGGACAGTAGCGCCATCTCTGAGGGATAGCTCACAACAATATTAGTGGTTTTACCAAGTCATTATACAGTTTTCTGTCATGTCTGCAGTTTGACAAGGAAATCAGCATGGAAAAATTTGACTGACACCTACTGACAGTACTGACACTATCCACTAAAAACAAATCCACTTGTATTATTATTTGTTTACTTATTTCTATTTCTGAATTTCTGATACTGTTTTGCATTGGCTTGGGGCTTGGATAATTGACAAATATCCAAATATTCCAAATATGAAATAATGTGGTTAGGCACAGAATAACAAACCTGGAAGCTGAGCAGCTGTGAAAAGGACATTTTGGGATGTGTTTTGTTTATTGTTCATGCCTCTACTAAAATTGATGTGGAAATTTAAAACAGTAGATCAATGCATGAATTATAGACAGTAGTAATTTCAACAAAAACCATGACGGCTATTGAAGAGAGAAGACTGTGGATAGGAAATCTGGACCCTAGGATCACTGAGTAAGTGGCACAATATCTATTTCACATGAATTCATCTTCCTATATTATTACATTGCTTTCCTTGATTCTCACAAAGTTACCACTGAAATTTTAACTCATATATACTTTTCTTTATTGGTATCAACTTTTGAAACTTGTCCAAAAACATGGATCAATTGAGAAGTTTGACATAATGTTCCATCGAAATGGACCCTACATTGGCCAGCCAAGAGGTTATGGTTTTGTTACTTACATGAGAAAAGAAGATGCCATCTCAGCAAAGAAAGCACTGCACAATCTACTTGTTGGACAGAAGAATATTGTGGTTACTTCAGCACACACTGTGAACAATGTAAGTTTTCTCAGTAACTCTTCATCCTACATCATAATATATTATTATATGGTAATTTTTGTTCATATTCCTCCAGGATGAGCTAGATAAGCCCAGAAGAGAAGAAGTCATAATACCAGCCTTGGCAATGTCAAAGGAAGCAAAGAAAACTAATAGAATATCCCAAATACAAGCAATTGAAGCCAAACTGAAGCTGATGGAGAAAAAACAAGAAGATGAGCTGAAGATAAATGATACTGTGGCAACCAAGAAGCCATTTATTGCTCCACATCAGACCATCAACAGGACCCAAACAATAAGTAGTAATGGGGGTGGTAGTACTAGTGGAAAATGGGCCAGTTCAAAAGTTAGAGACAAGTATAACAAACCATATGCAAAAAGTAAAATGAGAAGATGACTATAAAATGGGAATAAGATGCTGAAATAATATAAAAAGCTACATTAGTTACCTCTTGGTTATATACCTATGAGTCATTTTGCTTCTTGAAAGAACTGTTATTGCCATAGTGTTTGAATCTCAGGTTCTAATATGTACCTACTTTGTAATAGAATAATTGATGTTTATTTTTCCTGTAGAACAAATTTTTTGTGCTCCTGTTTGTGAAATTGGTAATGAATTATAAATAAATATACTATGAATAAATTTACTTGTGTGTCAAATTATTATTTAACATTCTGATTAGTTAAGGACTATCCCAGGTACTATATCTACCTAAAATGCTGACAGTGTATTCTTGTGGCTCATTGAGAAAATATCAGAAAATATAATATAGAGGGCCATGCATACATGATGAAAATCTTAAAATGAAGGTTCTAGGCCAAAAAGTATCCAATTTTAATGGTGTTTTGTCTAGCAATGATTTATTATAATCCTATGATTTGAATTGTGATTTATTGGGTACTGCTATGGTACATTTGAGGTACCTATACATATTACATTGACACTGTTGAGTTGGAGCTTTGGATTTTTTATAATATACCATAAAAAGTGGATCTTTTGATCATGATATACCTATAATGATGCAGTTTCTCTGGTGATACTACCATCTCAAATATCAATTCTTCAGTGTAAATTACTTACTCAGGGATGCAGTTAGTAGGTATCTCACTTACATCTGATCTAACAATTAGCAAATTCATCATTGCACCACGTATTTCACTACCACTTTATTGTTTCAATAGTATTTTTTCACTTATTACAATAAAACACCCGCGTAAATCCAACAATCGAATCAAAAAGAAAGAAGAAACGTTAAAAGTTGAAACAGATGACAGAGCGCAGAGCCTTGAAACTCTGAGAGTCAGATGACATTTGTCATCTGTCAATTATGGGCAATTTAGTGCCTATCATACATTTGAACTACTAATATATACATTGCATAGAATGGGCGTGGGTGTAAGGCACAGAAATCAAAGATCGTTCTGTGGTGTAAGGTGGCAGTACACCCACAAAATTATTATAATAGGTGAAATTAGGACTTTTTACATTCGTCCAGGGTTATTCATCCAACGAACTTTTTTCTGCCGCTGGTGAAAATATTCATTTCATCATGGAGGTTTTGAACTTTCAACATCATGATACAAATTGTTGTCATTATATCTTATTATATTATTATTTCGATAATAGTATAATACCGCCTATTCCTATTGAACGAGCACAGAATGACAGTCATTTCTAACGAGAATGAAGTTTGTTTATGAGTCGCAGGCAAATGGGAAATTAACATTCCCTGCGAAACCAAAAATTCCGTGTTAAATAATTGATAACACAATGAGGTAATTGATGGCGTTATCATATTATAAGGAAGTGAAACGGAAGTAAATTACATTCCTGAATTATTGCGCCAAGTCATTGAAACATATGATCACCCTGTACCTATAACAAATCTGCGGTAACGGTCAAACTAGGTAGATGTGAACATGATGAGTGAACTAGATGTGAACTAAACCAAAAAGTGTTGACTTAGTCGTGTTGACATAAACAAGACAACCTATTGATTTTTCATGTTTTTTTACAGTTTTTTTCTTATTTTGTTCGATGGTTTGTCTGTTTGGTTTTGATATTGAACTTGTAAGCAAATAATATATCCCGATCAGATACAATGATACGATTTATGTAATTTAGGCAATTTAGGCTGTTGGCTGAGTTGGCTCTCTGCTTGAGGGTGTAGTATGTACTATGTAGTGATTTAGTAGTGATAGTGATAGTATGAATGATTGGTGATGACTCTGATGAATAAGTGCTCAGTTGGTTATTCGATCGTGTCTAATGGTTAATGGTATTGGTATATAATATACCCTCGGTAGCTCTCAAAATGCGGGTTTTAACACCATATTGACTTATTTAAAATATAAACATTTAGATTCTGGAGTGAAGGGGAGATATAGATTATGAACTGCGACTGAAAGCTGGAAGTGAATAAGTGAGTATACCTATACATATTTGCTATACTATATATCCTTACATTATATTTTTTACTCGATTTTTCACTTTTCCACCATTTATTGAAGCTACGCGTTTAAAATATTCCTACTTCTTTCAAAGTAGGGGGGTGTATATAATTTGCGGACTGGAATAAAATGTTGCGGACTGGCTATTTTCATCAAACTTTTCGATGATTTTATTGCATATCTGGATTCAGCTCACCGATATAAACGATGAGAAGTTTCAGTTTTTTTCTATGACCCCCCTGGGGAGCACTTTACTCATGTGTTTTTTCATAAAATCTTGCGGACTGGATATTTTTGAGAGTCAAATCTCAATTTTACCATAAATCGATTTATCTCATGAAAATACACGATGACAAGTTTTTTAATTTTTCCCTAGCCCCCCTGGGGAGCACTTTACTCATGTGTTTTTTCATAAAATCTTGCGGACTGTGTATTTTTGAGGGTCAAATCATCTCAATTTCACCATAAATCGATTTATCTCATGAAAATACATGATGGAAAGTTCTTGAATTTTTTTTTTGCTCCCTGGGGAGCTCTTTACTCGTGTGTTTTTTCATGAAATCTTGCGGACTGGGTATTTTTGAGAGTCAAATCATCTCAATTTGACCATAAATCGATTTATCTCATGAAAATACACGATGAAAAGTTTTTGAGTTTTTTCCCCAGCCCCCCTGGGGAGCACTTTATACTCATGTGTTTTTTCATAAAATCTTGCGGACTGGGTATTTTTGAGAGTCAAATCATCTCAATAATAATAATAAAGTGCTTTATTGATCATATGTACAATACAATCAACTGGCCATCGACCTGAGTCCTTCAGCCAACAATCATCTCAATTTCACCATAAATAATCGATTTATCTCATGGAAATACACGATGAAAAGTTTTTGAATTTTTTCCCTAGCCCCCCCTGGGGAGCACTTGACTCGTGTGTTTTTTTCATAAAATCTTGCGGACTGGGTATTTTTGAGAGTCAAATCATCTCAATTTCACCATAAATCGATTTATCTTATGAAAATACACGATGAAAAGTTTTTGAATTTTTTTCCTAGCCCCCCTGGGGAACACTTTACTCGTGTGTTTTTTCATAAAATCTTGCGGACTGGGTATTTTTGAGGGTCAAATCATCTCAATTCCACAATAATTCAATTTATCTCATGAAAATACACGATGAAAAGTTTTTGAATTTTTTCCCTAGCGCCTCTGGGGAGCACTTTACTCGTGTGTTTTTTCATAAAATCTTGCGGACTGGGTATTTTTGAGAGTCAAATAATCTCGATTTAACCATAAATCGATTTATCTCATGAAAATACATGATGAAAAGTTTTTGAATCTTTTCCCTAGCCCCCCTGGGGAGCACTTTACACGTGTGTTTTTTCATAAAATCTTGCGGACTGGATATATTTTCGAGGGTCAAATCATCTCAATTTCACCATAAATCGATTTATCTCATAAATATACACGATGGAAAGTTTTTGAATTCTTTTCCTAGCTCCCTGGGGAGCTCTTTACTCGTGTGTTTTTTTTTCATAAAATCTTGCGGACTGGGTATTTTTGAGAGTCAAATCATCTCAATTTCACCATGAATCGATTCATCTCATGAAAATACACGATGAAAAGTTTTTGAATTTTTTCCCTAGCCCCCCTGGGGAGCACTTTACTCGTGCGTTTTTTCATAAAATCTTGCGGACTGGGTATTTTTGAGAGTCAAATCATCTCAATTTCACCATAAATCGATTTATCTCATGAAAATACACGATGACAAGTTTTTGAATTTTTTCCCTAGGTCCCCTGGGGAGCACTTTACTCGTGTGTTTTTTCATAAAATCTTGCGGACTGGGTATTTTTGAGGGTCAAATCATCTCCTGTGACACCAAGCTTATCACAACAATTTCGAGTCGAATGTGCCCTATATAGGTACACTTTTTTCCAAAAATTATATAGTCTAGGAGTAATGATAGCGATAAGTATTTATAATTTAACAGAGTGTATCGAGGAGTGTATATATCAGTAGAATGAATAAGTGAAGAGGATCTTAAATGAATTATGTAATTAAGTATTATTTATATCTTATCAATTATTTTTTTTTTCTACAAACTTGAAAGAATGACAGAAGGTTCGTGCACTCATAACATACTCGGTTTCCTACGTTACCACGACACCATACGCTGGTTCTTTTTGCCACCACATTTTCATCTTAGATGGAAGTGACGCAGTTATTTGACATGACAAAATCACAACTGTTTTTTCCTTTATTTATTTTTCTCCTCGTGATTTGATGAGGATTTTCAATTAGAAGCTCAGAATTGGCGAAAACTAATGTCAAATGGAAAATGATGTATTAAAAGTGTTATTTGGAGTCCTTGTCTCCAGATCCAAAAGTTCTAGCAGTTCTTCTAATAGTTCCGAGGATGAAATATTGTTTATGTGGGGAGCAGACGGCAATTTTGGTTGACACAACAGTAATAAATGAAAGCGTGGTTATGATTACGTCGTTACGTCAAACTGAAATCCACCAATGAATAGGTCGCGTGCAAGAACTGTCAGATGACCGACACTGGAAGCAAAACATTGAAACACAACGTTACTTTTCTTATTTGTTTACAAGTGATCGAAATAGTTTTCCACAATTATTTTGGCATTTTGGCATATGAATCGTATTTTTCCGCTATTCATCAATTCGCTCATGCCATCACATTGTGCTGTTGTCTCGGCTGTTGTAAAATGCACAAAAACTGCAGCGGAAGATGAAGGAATCCGGATGGTACATAATGATTTAAAAGTAAGTACCTACTATTGTCACTCACATATAGTTTTCGTTTTTTAAATTTGGTTATTTCTCTGATTTCTCATCGGAATTCCTTCTGCAATAGGAGCTAATAGAAATATACCTGAAATTTCTAGAATAATGCAAGAAGATTGGATCCATGCAATCAATCGGGAGAACTGGTCTGACATGCTGACGATCGTGTGTGTTGTAGACATTTTCAATCTATTAGCAGTATTAGCTTGTATTGCAGAAGTGGCAGAAGGCAGAAGGAATTTTAATAAGGAATGACAACATTTCATAATGATAACTATGTGAGATTACTATTTATTACCTGAGAAATCATTCCCTAGTCTCTTGCTGCATTTTTTGTGCATTGTATAAACAACAGCACAATGCGAAGGCATGCTTGAATCAATGAATAACGCAAGAAACGATTTGTATGCTAAAATATTGTGAAAAACTATTTCAACCTTTTGATTCCTCTGTAAACAAATAAAAAAGTGAGGTTGTGTTTCAATAATTCACAGAAGAGTGAGGTTGTGTTTCAATATTTTGCCTCCAGGGTCGGTCATCGTGCACGCAACCTATAATATAAGAACGCAGTCGGTGGATTGATGGAGCCACCGGTGAATAAAAGAACGTCGAACGTCCCTTTACGAGGTCTTAGGGAGAGTGGTTAGTTACCAAGTGTCAAAACACAGAGTGGTCTCCACAATTTTAATAGTGATCAAATTATTGAATCAGCCCATCATACATATTGCCACGTGAATTTCCATGGCCATGCTTTTGTATTTTCGCCACTTTGTGGCCCAAGACTCCCTTTTGCAATAGCAAATTTTAAAAGGTATACTCAATAATCACTTCGTCTTGGATTTTATTCAACATAATCATGTATTCTAAGTAAATCCTTCCATTTTTTCCCTATAATTTTCACACCTTTTCGCTGAAGATAGGCATATATGGGCTCGAAACATGTATACGATGATCTGATTTAATGATTCGATCACCATTAAAATTATGGAGACGACTTTGTTTTCGATCCTTTGAAAATCTTTCATTGAGATTCTCCCACCACAACAAATACATTTCATTTCAAATGTACCCTTAAAACTAAAAAAAGGCATAATATAATGTGGGTTGTTAAACGCAACTATCATTGAAAATAATGATCTTTAATTTTGAAAATAACGAAGTTGGCACCCATTTCCCATATCAGCGATATTCATTTGTTTCACCTCGTACAATTTTCTGGAGGTTCATAACAAACCCTACAACTTTTGTATTTGAATTTTTTCTCTATATCTTCAATGATGAACCGATGATATACGGAATGACCCTGTACATATGATATATGATTATGATTTGAGAAGATATAATTCAGGCCGGGATCTAGGGTTTAGTTTAGATAATCCTCTTGAATCTCATTGGCAGTCCTACAGTGGATTGAAGAACCACACTTTTGGGTGCGAATACCAGTGGAGTTGGGGTTGTCGCACATTTTTCCACTTCGTATTTTTCTATGATATATGCGAGAGCCGCTTTCGTGCTCATCAATCCAAATCTTTCACCTAAAAGAGATTGAAAAATAATTAGTATCAGCAATGATAGAAATTCCGATTCGTTTGACTGTCATCCTAGAAAAACTCTTTTTTTCCACGAGCACTTGCCTAATTTACGGTTGCAACTGTAAATTAGTACTAATTTGAAGTTTTCTCTGCCAATTTTACTGTTAATGCAACTGTAAATTACACAGTGAAAAAATTTCGGATGTAATTTCAATCGAGTGGATTACAGAAATATATTATATCAATATCATTAGAAATTTGATAATACTGTGTACACAGTGGTGTCAATTCACACCTTCATAGTGGAAAATTACACGGTGGGTTCTGAAATATCCATTCAAAAGCAACACCAGAAGGATGATTACTTTCGATAGTGGTATTATTCAAGTTAACGCAAAAATCGAGGCAAAAATACACTTTTTCTACATTCATGCTAAAAGCAGAACTTTATTGAACTATATTTAGTGGACAAAGAAGTTCTTCATTGCACTTAGTGCAATAAAGTTTTTATTGCACTCATCTGTCATTCCGTAGTCTTCAGTAGATGTAACATAATTTTTTCTGTGTTACTGGTGAAATAATGGGGTGTTACTTCGTCATGAGGATGTCTGGTGTCTGACCTCGAAATGGTTTTGTAATTTCTCGGATCGAAGGTCATAAATGAAGGTACGCATTTCTGATCAAGACGATGCATTTTCGTTCAGATAAATTATAAAATTCAAAAAATTACGATTGTGGTTCCAGAAGTATAAAATTTATATTTATTCTTGACGATGGATATACAAGGTGCGATAAAAAATATGTCCAGATTGTCCCGGTATGAAGAAGAATATGTTCAAACGTGATGAGAATCGAAAAGAAGCTAATCATCGGCCGATTTCAAATCGGTGAAGAAATTCGCGAGTTACCTATTCTACTTTGAATTCAGGCTATATTTTGGACGAGATTTTAGACCACGACGTTATTAATATTGACCCGTTTTAATTCACAACCGGCCGCTTTGGCGCTGCGATCTCAAATTCAGTCGCCTACATCTTGACTTACCAACACAACCTCGCGGCCCTTCCCCAAAAGGTAAGTAAACGAAGCCTTCGCTGTTATAATTCGTGTTTTCGAATCTCTCAGGGTCGAATTTCTTAGGATCCGGGAAGTACTTTTCGTCCTGGTGCATGCCAAACATGGAAATGAAAACGGGCATTCCTTTCTCAATGACTAGATTGGTGCCAGGCAATTGGTAATCTTCCTTGCAGGTTCTATCCAAGAACGGCAGTACCGGATACTTACGGAGTATTTCTGTAAATACACAAAAAAGGGTTAGAAAGACAGTCCTATATATAGAGGTGTGTCATATATGAATATATGAATGAATATATAACATATTCATTGGGAAACCCAACGCACTTGCTGATTGCTAGTCGAAAATGTCAGTCGTTAATAATTGTGATCTACTCACTGCATCGAAAGTAAGCCCTCATTTGAAGATACAAACCTGTCATATCACTCCCATGGTAGGAAAAAAAATACCTCCCGTGGGAGGTGAAATAAATTGCTTCAGCTTGCTTCATTAGTAGAGATAAGTATAAGATCTGTGCTATACCAAAGTACCTAATTAGTGTATCCATCACTACTATGATAGATATTTATATATCAAGGGAGAAAAGGTATCCATTCCCTCCCGCGTGAGATGTTTGATGCACGACGCGTAGCGGATGGAAGGAAATGGACCTTTGCTCCCATGATATATATATAGTTTTATCAAGCATTAATCTTGAAATTGTGCTTCAGGCGGTCTATCACTCGATCCGAATCGTTACAAAGGTATCCTATACATGGAAAATTGACGGCATTTGAACAAAAGTCAATTTGACACTTATGTCATCATGAACTAATTGATCTGTACCTACATTGTGTGATTGCATTTGGAAGTTTTGATTAAAAGTACGTTCAGAATATGAAGAAGCGCATGACATCGTTGGAATTCAAAGAAGATATTATTGAAAAAGAATATTCTCAGATAATTTATGGACATACAAAAGCGAATATATATTTATATGAAGCAATACATTGAGCATTCACATTCTCTATATGTGATGAGAATATCTACTCTTTTTCAGTTAATTCAATAAAAAACAACTACTTTCCAGGCTATATGCCACGACGAACATTGAATTATATCTATTGAACACACACGATAAGAGTTTGAAAATAAAAAATTAAATCCTCCGAAATTGAGAATTGACATTCTTCTTCTTTTAAATGTTCATCAGATATAATTCAATGTTCGACGTGGCAAATAGCCAGGAAATTAGTTGTTTTTTGTTGAATATTCAGAATGATGTGTGCATATATACATATTTTTGTCTGAAGGAGAATGCAAATTCACAATTTCAGGAGTTTTTATATGAACGTGGATAAAATCAAATACAGTGTGTCCCAAATTCGATCCTCACCATTGGGATCTCAGTATTTATCAGAGATAAAGAAACGGTTAAATTAGCAAAGTTTGGGTTTTCTCAATTGAGAATTCAATTTGTCATACATCCATGAACAAACATTCTTCGTATGTATTATCTTTCCATTTGTCGTTTATATATATACGTCAGTGCCCTGACAGAAATCCTGCGTTTCCTCACCTTTGACACAAAGATCCATGTACTTCATTTCCAATAATCCTTCATATGTGACGCCACCATGTTTCTTGATACTCGAAAGTACCTCAGTCCGTAGTTTATCCTGAATATTCTTGTTGAGGCACAGTTCATACAGAGTGAATGCTATAGTAGCACTCGTGGTTTCGAATCCAGCCATAAAGAACTGGACAGCTGGACCAACCAGTTTTTCTGCCTCTAAAACAAAATTAAGTTTTTAGTCAATAACAGCATTGTACTTATAGAAACACTGGCTGGATTATGAAATTATTTCTGACAATAGTGAATGGGTCTTTCACATAATATATTAAAGAACCTGGATTTGTTTATTTCATTGTTTCGCTCTTTTTTGTCATATTCACCTATAGAAATTTTTGATCTGAGAATTCAATACCTAATATGTTATTATATGATCGACTATATTCACTTTATTAAATTATTGTGTTAATTCTTTGGGAATAGTACCTATGGATAGCACCAAGATTTTGAAAAAAACTGAGATTCAACAAATATAAGCTGCTGGAATTGAACAAAAGAGGATCAGTTGTTTTGGATGATCCCAACAGTTTTTTGTGTTTTTTATAGTTAAAAAATCTCACAAGTTCTAGGTTTTATGCCGGAAAGTTCATTCAAGACACCCGTGCAGATTACTGGATAACCATAAAAGGAATCATTTTGGAATGTGGGCATAGGTAATTTTACGTTTATCCTCAATATTAACGCTCAGTATCTCGGAAACTAAGCTTTCAATCACCAATGTCCGTAGGACCTTCATTTCATCAAATGAGATCTATATCGATTACCGAAGTTGCAAATCAACGTTGGTATAATGTATAATTTCAATTCTTCTGATTTATGCTGAAACATAGGTATTTTCTTGCAGTAACAATACAGGTTAGTTACTCCATGCAAAGTCTTGTACAACAAATTGAATTCAGGGCGTTGAATTTCTATTGAAAAAACTTATTATTCCATAACCAAGGAAAAACAATAGTAGAATGTTTCATTGGGATCAAAAGTGACACTTTGTTTGATAAGCGAATTTTGCATTTGCGAGGCGGAGCGTTTATTAGCGAAGCCGAGCGAAAGCAAAATTTGCGAGTCATACAAAGTCACTTTCGATCTGAATGGAACATGTTACTTTTTCTGCAACCGAAACAGTAAACTCAAATAAACATGTGAAGTAACCACCAATGCCGTGCCATATTGTATGCAATGCAACGAATCAAAATCAATGCAAAATCCGTGTGGTGAGAATATTCTATATGCATTAAGAGCAGGTTCATTCAATTTTCAAGGATGTTCGAATTGTAGTTTCAATATAAATACAACCACAGAGTGACATATTTGTGTATGGACCAGGTGCTCTAATGGCAAATACCGCGCCTGTGCCAGCTATAGGAACAAGACGTGGAAAATGTTAGGTTAGTGAGCATATCAACAATGATAATAGTGATTATTTATTCCTCTCTATACTACTACTAAACAGTATCGTTGTTTGAGACAAAAAAACTATTGCTTGCCGTGATTATTCAAGAACAAGTTATCCATCCCGAGAATAACGAATGAAATACAGATCAGATCAGTATTTGAATCTTGAAGGCTTCCCTGATCAAAACAAAATTACCCAACTGAGATGTTTATAATTTCAATACTAAACTATAATAAGGTGTATTTATATCTCCAGCATGGGTATGAAATGCCAAATCTGCTGAAATCGGAAACAAATCAGGTATGCGTCTCAACCCAAATAACCAACCGTCACAATGTTGTTTATTCTTGATGACGTTCAGTAGATCCTTTTTATTTCCTAGGAGCTAAAGTTCAACTTCAGCTCCTAGGAACTAAAATTCAACTTTAGCTCCTAGGAACTAAATATGTTGCCTAGCAACATACCTATTTTTGTGTCAGTAATAGATACGCCAATTTGAGAGCTAATTTTGGTATCAAAATGGACGACTTTTGTGTCGGATGCAGAAAAAAGTGTTTATTTTCCAATTTCACACACTGCTTTTCTCTATAGTCTACAGAACAAGTTGAAGATAAATAAGAGGACTATGGCATCTAATGCTTGACTAAAATGAATTTCCAAGAAGTTTTTCATGAAGGTAATAATAATAATGATAAGTGCTTTCATTGACTCAACACATACATGTTCGTACATGGAATACATCCTCACATGTGAATTCTCAAAGTTTGATTTACCGATAAGAATATCGATAATTGCTATTGCTCTTGAATCAATTTAATCAGCCCTCACCTGATTTCTGATGCCAAATGAAATAATAATCGAGATTCTTGCTTACCCAGGTCCGCCATATCCGAGGAAAATTCAGAATTTTTCTTCATGGTATTCAAAATATCCACCAAATCATTATTTTTAGCGCCACTCTCCTGTCTAGCTTTCATGGTTTTCGAGAACGCCTCATGGAGGTAATCAAACACCCACTTCTCCACGAAATCCAACTTGAAAGTTTCGACCCATTTTTGCCGGAAAAAGTATGCCGTTTGCAATATCCCGTTCCTCCAGGAGAAATCGAAAACGTTTCTGCCGAGCTTCCGGAACATCGCATCATCATCATCGAAGCAGTGCGCATTGATGCCGAAAAAACAGGTGGCTATGACGTCGGTGGTGAATTTAGAGCATACCTCTTTCGATTCCAACACGTCTCCGTTCTTCTCCAAGTAGGATAGGAGATCCTTCCCGATTGGCTCAATCAACGTAAACATGCTCTGAAAAAAATAATCTCTTCCCAATCAACAATTTCGCTCACTTCTATAATATTCATTCTAAATACTGTCCGTAGGATAATCGAGGAGGTGGTATATTTATTTTACTTGCTTTTTTGGGATTTTCTCTTCTCGTTTCTATAAAATAAAAATTTGCGTATTATTACAATATATTTATATAGGAACAAATCAGATGATTTGCCCCAAAATGTCACTGTTGGAAAATTTTTCTATAAGGGAGCCTGAAAGAAAAATCCAGTAGCTTGTCATGTTGAGAACGGGGGCAGTCGTTCCCAAAACGTCCAATGATAAGTAAAAATTTGATATTTTTTTTCTTTCAAACATTTTTTCAAACAAAGTGTCACTGACAAGCTACTGGATTTTTCTTTTAGGCTCCCTGGATAGAAAAATTTGTTAAACGCCGTGACATTTTGGGGCACATCATCTGATTTGTCCCTCTACAAACATATTGAAATAATACGCATATTTTTATTTTGTATAGAAACGAGGAGAGAAAATCCCCAAAAATCAAGTTAAATATTCATTCGATATTATAGAATATAGTATGCTCATTCATTAAGTAATTCTTAGTGAGAAGGACCTCATCAATTCCGAATTTGAGTTGGAAATAGGTAGCAAATTTCATTAGTAGTTTCAGCTTCGGATTCGATTAGAATAGTAAACGTTAACCTGATGAACTCACCTTGAGTTTTCCGGAAGTGAAGACAGGAGTAATTTTGGATCTGCTTTCCTTCCACTGTGGGTTTTTTTGAAAGAACATTAGGTTCTGCATCATCTTGTTATGCTTGGGCGCTGCCACTGTTCTATCATCGAAATTATGGAAATCTTTGACCATAATTTGCTTTATCAGCTCTGGAGATTTAATGATGAGGTGCGGCTCATCAAAAACGAAGATACCTGAAAAAAGTCGCATGTTGCATTTCAAGAAAATACACTATTCACAGAGAATTACTCGGAATAAGTATAAATCTCATAATAATTCTGAGTTACAATTCTTGAATAGGGTATAATGTGTCCCTGGACAAAGTACCATGATTTCTACAGGGTGAACTAGAGACCAAATTAATCCGATTTAAAACAATTTACCTCTATACGAAAATGCACCGTTGGGTCGTGAGAGGGAGATGAAGAACGATTTTATTTCCAGATTTTCTTCATATTTCTTCATTTGTACCTACATATGTGTCCTAACTTGCTTCGTTTTCGAATTACAGGGTATTAATAATTCCATGAAAGATAGTTTTTTTATTCATTGCTCAATTGTTTTTCCATCAATTTCAATAAACGTTTTGGTTTTGTTGATAGTAATATGGAGCTTCTTCTGGTACAATTAGATTCGAAATAATATTTCTAGTGGCGTCGCAGTGAGTAAATTTATCGATATTTATTGTGAATACAATTAATAACCCCAAAATTGGCGTGGGAGTCAGGTACAAGAAAAAAACTCAATTCTGCTGCAAAGACTTCTGATAACAGTGATAAAGGTGAGGCTAAATAAAAAAAAAGCAAACCATACACTATACCAACTTGAACTAACTAATAAAATGAATGAAGCTGTGGTAAAGAAATTATTGGAGGAAACTACGAAGAAAATCTTAACGAAAATAAAAACAAACCGAAAGGAATTAAGAAGTGCAATTGATTCTAGTGAAATCAGGTTGTTGTTGAAGATTGAGGAACAAAATGATAGAGTGAAACTACTTGAAGACGAGAATCAGTTTTTACGTCACAAAGTTGAACTCTTGGAGAGAAATAATAGGGTGAATAATATTATCGCCTTTGGTCTCAACCAACCTGAAAGCGAAGTAAACGCTGAATTTTTTTGCGAGAAAATCAAAGAACTCATAGGAGTAGACTTGAAGTTAGCTGATATCAACAATCTATATCCCCTTGGAAAAACTGCTAACGCACCTATCAAAATTGAACTGGTATCTCATCTGAAGAAACAGCTCATTTAGAAAAACGGCAAAAAGCTGAAAGGAACGGGAATATATACCGCTCTTAGATTTTATAACCTCCTCCCCGAATGTATCAGAAATATAAAATCCAAGCTTGGTTTCAAAAGAAATATGAAAGACTGGATTCTCGAACAAGAGAGAACATTTTTCAATACAGTTGTTGAATGAATCAATCCTATCATGCAAAACTTTTCATGTTAAAGTCAATTAAATGCATACTAACACTTACCCTACTCACTTTGAATACTATTATATTCGAGATTATATCACTACATATCTAAACTAATATAATATACTTCCTCAACTATATTCTTGCCATTAGAAATAAGATAATTATAGTCCATAATATGTCTAATACTCACTTGCAAAATTGAAGTCTATTGAATAATCAAAGAAATCTTATCCATAGACAGTCCTCGTGAAGGACTAAATGGGGTTTCTGTTTATTTTCATAGGCCCAAAAATTTGTAAAACATGTATTATTTCCACTTATGTGAATAAACTCCTATTCTATTCTATTCTATTCCAAATTCAATGTAAGTGTCTTCAAGATTTCCATTGAGATTACTCAATAACTCCAATAACAATCATTTTGAAATTTTGGGGCTTTCTCGGTGTCCAACCATACTGAATTTTGGTACCATGAAAGCTCATACAGGGGATTAGAAATAAAAACAATTAATACTTCCAACTTCAACATCCTGTATCTCAAAAACGGAGCAAGCTAGGACACATATATGAACTCTATTTGCTAAAATGTCACAAGAAATCACCCCTTGAATTTTTGCGGCGTTATTTAGATACACCCTGAAGCTCCAAACAGTTACTGCGTGATTGATCTCTCTCATCTTTCAAATAAAAGTTATTTATGAATTATACCGTGGACTTCTTCCAAAGATTGAATATTATGATTTCTTCGACTTTTTTGTTAAATTTAAGAATCATCCATCTTTATCTTAAGTACCTATCACAGTAATCTTGATTCGATATGAGTGATTCACCAATTTTGACGTGAAACAATTTCGATATTTTTATCAAGAATCATCATGATCTTGAGAAGAAATATAAAATCATTCACATTTTTCTCAGTCTGGGTATTTCGTAGTTTTCATATAAAAAAAATTAGCATTTTCTTGACTAAATAGTTTCTAATTTCCAGATGAAAAATGTTATTCAACCTTGCTAAGTATCATCAAAATCATTCAAAGGATTGAAATTTTCCGAATGAAAAAAAAAAAATCTCGAGCCTCGAACCATTTCAGGTGAAACCGAAAATGACCAGTAAGTGAAGAATATGCAGAAGCTCTCCATTCCAATTTCATATTGATACAGATGATAATATTTTGAAAAATATGACTTGTCGTATATCCAATTGACTCTTTGACATGCTTAAGCTATAACCAAATTCTTGGAAGGAGTGAAATTCTGCTTTCGTTCATCTCCCATTTCAAAGCTGCTGTCACACCTTTACATACCGAAAAAGGGCTCGTCTGTTGAATCGTAGAAATTTTTCAGCCAGTCTCCTATGTTGATTCGGAAGAAAGCGACATCAGCAATGTTACCAAAGAAAGGTACTGGTTTCGGGTAGTATACTCCTCGTTTTTTCCAGTAGTCGAATTTTCTGGTCGAGTATTTGTAGAGCATATATATTGAAACCACTAGAAGGAGTAGAAGATCGATTTTCCATGATGAGGTGATCAACATCTGGAAAAAAAATAGGGATGTGCTATTTCAATCAGATAATATTCAAGGTTCTATATATACAGTGTGTATAAGCCAAATGGAATAAATTCCATTCGAATAAATTCCATTCGAAATAACAAAGTTACAAGCGGCAACGCCGCAGAGCTGAAAATAATTTAGAACGATGTCCCCCTCGAGAAAGTAGTTGACGTGTTTTGGGATTTTTTATAAATATGTAGAGTAACTGAAATAATGAATTTATTCCATTTGGCTTTTACACACTGTATAAGTCAATGATTCCAATGGGGAAAACCACTGATTTTTTAAAATTAAATTATCGTGAACTCTACACTGAAAAAACACCAGCGAATTAATTTAGAATTTTGACAATCATGCTAAGACGTTGAAAATAATAAATTAGAATATGTCCATTTCGAAACACACAATTCCTGCGCCATTTGAAATTTTGTCAATTCATTGGTGTGACTGGTGCGACGTCTTATTCCCAACACGCCTATTGTCCTTGAACTGACGAATCACACTGCAACACTGCATCTATCAGAGATAGATAGCTACAGTTCGGGACTAATACGTCACGACTCTACCATCAATCAATCAATCAATCAAAATATGCTTTATTGTCCGAAGATTTATATCTCATTGACAAAGTCGTAAAAATTTTTACATATATAAAAATATAAAGTAGGTACACATAAAATCAAATATATACATATGAATAAACTAACAAGCTGAAACGAACTATATATAGACAAGACACATTACATATGTCATCAAGAACGAGAAGTACTACTATCTACTAGTTTGATTTAGATATTCCTGAATATCATAAAATGCCTCTTCTACAAGAATCAACTTCACCGAACGTCTGAAAAAATCAACTGATCCTATGTCCTTAACACTGGACGGAAGATGATTATACAGCTTAACAGCATTATATATTATTGAGTTTTTTATCAAATTTGAAGAAGGAATAGGAAGCCTCAAATTGCTATTTTGACGGGTGGATCCAACAATGGTATCATATGTTGATTTATTTTTATGTATCAAACATACTGTTTCAAAAATGTACAAAGATGGGAGAGTGAGGATCTTATGTTTCTTGAATAACCCTCTGCAAGATACTCTGGGACCAACTTTGCAAAGATAACGAACAGCTCGCTTCTGAAGGGTGAAAATCATGTTGAAGTGCTGTTTGTTGCATGTTCCCCAGAAAGATATGCCATACCTGGCATGTGACTCGAATAATGCATAGTAAACAATTTTGGCAGTTGCCATGTCCAATTCATTCGAGACCATACGCAAGGCAAAGCAACTAGAAGATAACTTTTTGCTAAGTTCAAAAACATGATTTTGGAAGTTTAGTTTAGTGTCTACTTGAATTCCTAAAAATTTGTTGGCATTGCAAGATGAGATAAAATTGTTTCCTAAAGGTATATCGGGTATATGGCACTGAAAAGATAATAGAAAAGATTTTTTTATATTGAATGAGAGCAAGTTCGAGTTACACCAATCTCGTACTATGGAAATATCCCTAGACATTTTATCATGGAGATTATTTACATCCTTATCATGCCATAAGATAGTGGTGTCATCTGCGAAAATAGTGAAAGATCCCTCAATATTGATATTTACGAGATCGTTAAAATATAGCAAGAATAGGATAGGTCCAAGAATAGAACCCTGTGGTACACCATGCTTAATGTGCCCAATACCTGAGAGACTGTCGGTTTTCACAATTTGAGATCTGTGATTTAAATACGATTTAAACCAATTTAGAGTTTGGTCTCTAAAGCCGTAGTGTTGGAGCTTGCGCAGCAGTATTTCATGATTAACACAGTCATATTTGGCTGTTTGAAATATCGAATGAAATATGCTGATTTCAGAACGATACAGATTCGATTCCCTTCAACTTTAACTCATGATATTGATTGTACATCAAACGTAAATAATGATTCGTCGATTGAAAGAGGTTTGCACGGATTTTTTCTCTCTGGTCTTCCCCATTAGGAACGAGAAGCAAAAATTCTTTGAGTGGAATAACTAGTTGAAACTAGAGTGTCTCGAACATCTCATTTCACGCCTTCTCAAAAGATTGTGGACACGCTTGTCAAATGACATTTCCGAATTGTCATCATTCTCAGATTTGAAACGTCAGTTCTGAAAATTGGATATAGGCGTCCCCGCGAAAATGTTTTCGGATATATTTTGTTCGGGAACGAATTGCAAAAATTCTAAGAATGATTGTTAACATTTATTTGGGTTGCCCATAGTCGAGACGACATCTCAAGTGTTCGTTGATGCTTCAAATTTCAATATTCATTTCATCGAAATGCATTCATTGAATTCATATTGATTTACACAATGAGCATGATGTGCCTCTGGTGTTACGCCGATGATATAGGGTTTCAGATAAAACTATGTCTGCACTCGTTCAATCAAGGGGTACAGAAAAATAAACTATTCCATCTCTTATAAAACATATTTTTTCTGTGACAGGGAAAAAAGTTTGGCATTTCATCTCTGTTGGCAGCTTATAAAATGTCACTTTTCATAAATTACTTTTTTCCCGTGGGGAAAAATTGAGACCTTTTTCCCGGATATAAATCACATATATACAGTGTGTCCCACTTACCATGCTCACCATGGGTATCTTTTTAACGGTGAGAGATACGAGGTCGGTTAAATGACACCAAATGTGGAGTTTGTCAAGGCCAACTATAAGGTGAAAAATATTTTGATAAAATCTATTCGTTTTTGTTTTATACGCAAAAAACAGATTTTGATCATTTTCGTTTCTCCTCCGTAACTTCTTTATTTATGTAAATATTCAAATAGGAATTTCACATTCTCATGGCAGTTTTTCAAGGTGATTTCGAAAAAAATATGAAATTTATACCAACTCTTCTAGAATTTGAGATATCAGCACCAACTTAGTATAGTCGCTCGTAGCGTACGGATCGTATTCCGAGCTTCTCGTTCGAAAATCGAATTCAAGTGATTTAAATCGGATAAATTATCGTAGTTTTTCTTTTATACAAAACACAAAGTATAAGTCAGTGAAGTGTTTCATAAAATTAATAAGTAATTTATTCCTTTGATTGCTGTGCAATTAGCAGAATGTCCGGTATATGCACAGCATGTACAACGCCGATAACAAAAAAGTCGCCGGGTCTCCAATGCCAGAGTTTTTGTGGCAGTTCTTATCACGGCAAGTGTGTAGGCCTCGCAGCAGACCAATTGACTTTTATCAAAGAATGCCATAACGCTGTTTGGATTTGCTCTACTTGCAAAAAAGAGATGAGTGTAACCAAACAAGCAGACCTATCAACCTTCCGAAATGATGATATCACTGACACTACAGGGGATCCAAAACTGCAGGATAAAATTCTGAAATGTATGCTGGATATTAAAGGAGAAATGAAAGTGTTTCGTGAAAAGCAGGATGATCTCGTCCAATCTATAAGTTTCTGCTCTGATAAAATAACAGATTTCGAAACATCCCTCCAAAAAGTCAACGAACATATAAAAATCATCGAAAACTTGAAACTAGAGAACCAGAACTTAATGAGACATGTTCGAACCCTTAATAAGAGAGTAAACGACCTCGAGCAAATATCTCGCATGAACAATATTGAGATACAAGGAGTGCCAGAAAAAAAGAATGAAGATATTTTTAAAATCATTGAGACAGTACATCAGAACTTGAATGTCCAATTTTCACCAGATCTAATAGATTCGGCCCATAGAGTGAAATCCTTCGCTCCCAATAGGCCGAAAAATATTGTGATCAAATATATCTCCCGGAAAGTGAAAGACGATATCTTAGCTGCGACAAAAATTAAGAAGATGTCATCTCCAAATCGTTTGTTGAGTATCGAAGGCGTTTCCAAAGACTTATACATCTCCGAACACTTATCACCGGAAAACAAAACGCTCTACAAAAAAACGAGAGACTTTGCGAAAGCCAAAAATTTCAAATATGTATGGGTGAAAAATGGCAATATTCTGATTCGCAAAGATGAGGGCTCTCACGTCAAACGAATCGAGAATGAAGATGACCTGACATCCGCCTGATCACAGCATAAAAATCAACACCCATCGTATACTCAATCAGGACATTTTCGCGAATTTAACATGTTTTGTTCAGAACGTAAGGGGCTTGCGTTCTAAAACTACTGAATTCAAACTAAATATCCATAATTGTGACCACGACGTGATATTTTTAACAGAGACATGGTTGAATAATGGTGTGCTGAATAGTGAGTTATTTTTCGGTGATGAATTTTCAGTGTATCGAAGAGATCGCGAAAGTACAAAAAGCGCAAAGAGTGATGGTGGTGGAGTTCTAATAGCCTCACGAAGAGAAATACAAGTTGTTGAACGTCCCGAATGGCAGAGCGATGCTGAGGATCTGTGGTTAACTTTGTATACGCCGAAAAAAGGTAAAATCCATCTATGCTGCGTTTACTTACCCCCCGGAGATGATGAAGCACTAGCATACTTCACTAATAATCTTCACAGACTTTTCAACATAATATCAGATGATGCTCTCCTTATCTGTGGTGATTTCAATATGTCGAACACTTCATGGAATTTCAAACAAAATTGTTCAATTCTGATTCCATCATTTGTAGATACAAAGTTCACTAATTTGATTGATATTCTTGATTTTTATGGACTGAAACAATTCAACTCTCTGAAGAATAGTAATGACAAAATCCTCGATCTTGTCCTATGTAACCAACTTATTGTAAGAAATCTCAAACCCGGCGAGCCTCTAGTGAAGGAGGATTTACATCACAGAAGTATTGAATTTAGCCTCGCTTTTTCTATTCTAAAAACTCTGCAGTCGAACTCCAAGTCTACTAAAAATTTCAGGAAAGGAGACTATAATTCTATAAATACGGAAATTTCAAATATTAATTGGGTGGATATTCTTGGAAATTGTGATGACGTGAATAATTGTTTGGATGTTTTTTACAAAGAAATATATCAGATAATAGATATCTTCGTGCCGAAAAAAAGAATTTTCAATCAGTTTCCAGTATATTTCACCCAAAACACCATAAAAATTATTATCGAAAAATCTAAAGCTCACAAAAAATATAAAAAGTCTTGTTCCCAGTTTGATTACCGACTCTTCTGTCAATTGCGGAATAGATCCAAGCAAATGATTCGAAATGACTTCAAAAACTTCGCGAACTCCGTACAAAACGACATACCGAATAATTCTAAAAAATTCTGGTACTTTGTCTCCAAAACTAACCAAAATAATAACATTCCTAATGATATGAAATTAGGTGATGAATTAGCAGATGGAGCAGATGTTTGCAAGCTCTTTTCAAAATTTTTCAAAAGTGTCTTTCAGCCTTACGAACAAACAATGTACTCACACACAATAAATAATACCTGCTCGATAAGTAAAATAACAGTGTCCGTAGAACAAATCAAAAACACTCTTTCAGCATTAGATGAAAACAAAGGCAACGGCCCAGACGGATTACCATCATTTTTCATAAAAAAATGTGCACCAAGTATCTGTGTGCCGTTAACAATAATCATTAATAAATCTTTCGAGGAATGCACGTTCCCAGAGAGATGGAAAGCTGCTTATGTAGTACCTATTTTTAAAAATGGTAATAGAAACAACGTTGCTAACTACCGTCCGATCTGCAAGTTGAACATTCTGAGTAAGGTTCATGAACTTATAGTTCATGATTCACTTATGACTTCCATAAAAGGATATATTATTGAGGAACAGCATGGATTCTTTCCAAAGAGATCCCTAGAGACAAATTTAGTAATATATACAGAATATTTGACGAACGCAATGGACTGCCAGACTCAAGTGGACTCCGTGTACACCGATTTCAGTAAAGCATTCGACAAAATAAACCACAATATTTTGATATCCAAATTAACTGAAGTCGGTGTGCACGGGGACCTGCTTCGCTGGTTCGCCTCATACATCTATAATAGGACACAAATCGTTACAGTTAATGGACATCAATCGGCCCCATACATTGTAACATCGGGAGTACCCCAGGGCTCACATTTAGGACCTCTTCTTTTTATTATATATTTAAACGACATTAAGTCTTGCTTTCAATTCTGTAATTACATACTATATGCGGACGATCTCAAAATATTCTCTCAAGTAAATAGTATAACTGATTGTTCCCTTATCTAAAATGATTTGAACAGATTTTTTGACTTCTGTCAAATTAATAAACTCCATTTGAACTTAGATAAATGCTGCTTCATCACATTCACTCGAAACCACAAGATATTTTCATACGATTACCACTTTGGTAATAGTGCCCTTAAAGAGGTTAACGAAATAAAAGACCTAGGTGTTGTACTGGACAAAAAACTCTCGTTCTCAACGCATATTGACTACGTTGTATCTAAATGTAACAGAACATTAGGATTTATTCTTAGACATTGTAAAAACTTCACATCCATTCATGCCATGAAAACCTTATTCTACTCCTTTGTTCATAGTAAACTAAATTTTGCAAATATCATCTGGCATCCTCAATACTCTATATACAAAACTAGATTGGAGATCATACAAAATAAATTCTTAAGATATCTCGAATACAGAATTAGTGGGGAATACAATATAACAACGGGTACAGCCTTCCTAAGAAACAAATTTCGTATGCCCACACTAGAGGCTCGTCGAGAGCAATCCGACATAATATTTTTATTTAAAATTGTGAATGACTTGGTCGATGCCCCTGAAATTTTGTCAAATATACCTCTCAATGTTCCTTCTCGTTCTTTGAGAAATTACCGTCTCTTCTCTGAAAAGCTCTGTAAAACAAACTTAGGAAAAAACTCTCCCCTACATAGAATGGTAACACTTTACAACGATAAGTTCGATGATATTGATTTATTCAATCATACATTACATGTATTCAAATCTAAGATAAAAGAAAAATACTGAACTTTACAGTTGACATCATTAAAATATTTCATAGATTAGTATTAGTTTAAGCTAAAAATGTAATATATATATATATATATATATAAGTTACACTTCTGTACGCTCTATTGTATCCGTGGATAACACTTTGGGTTATGCCTGTTGTTATCCTATATGATTTCAATAAATAAATAAATAAATAAATAAATAAACTTTAGTTTTTCAAATGTAGGTCATAGCTCACTATGACTTAGTTACAAATAACTTTTTTTTCTCTTACAGATGATAGATATCGCAGTAATAGTTTTGTGTTGATAACAACGGAGTTATCGTCATTTATACAAAAACAAAAAATTATTTGGAAGCCGCCATCTTGAATTTATGACTTTTAACAAAAGAATCATGATCTCTGACCTCAAAAACCCCCACTCACCAATTTTGAATGGAATCGGACCAAATCTTGTCCGCCATCTTGGAGCAGCCATTTTTTTACATTTCAGCAAAAATTCCATAACTCCGATTAACTTGAAATTTGGCAGGTGTTCATAATTAAAAATTATGGCTGCTCCAAGATGGCGGACAAGATTTGGTCCGATTCCATTCAAAATTGGTAAGTGGGGGTTTTTGAGGTCGGAGATCAAGATTCTTTCGTTGAAATTCATAAATTCAAGATGGCGGCTTCCGAATAATATTTTGTTTTTGTATAAATGACGATAACTCCATATTGTTATCAACACAAAATTATCACTGCGACATATCATCTGTAAGAGAAAAAAAAGTTATTTGTAACTAAGTCATAGTGAGCTATGACCTACATTTGAAGAACTAAAGTTGGTGCTGATATCTCAAATTCTAGAAGAGTTGGTATGAATTTCAAATTTTTTTCGAAATCACCTTGAAAAACTGCCATGAGAATGTGGAATTCCTATTTGAATATTTTCATAAATAAAGAAGTTACGGAGGAGAAATGAAAATGATCAAAATCTGTTTTTTGCGTATAAAACAAAAACGAATAGATTTTATCAAAATATTTTTTCTTATTATAGTTGGCCTTGACAAACCCCACATTTGGTGTCATTTAACCGACCTCGTATCTCTCACCGTTAAAAAGATACCCATGGTGAGCATGGTAAGTGGGACACACTGTATACACTGCTGATGGCTTTTGTTGTGGTATAGTTCCGAAAAATGAGTCAATAATACCGTCTCCGAGAAAGAACTGCAAGTCCTTTTATTTTCCATTCGACTTCGCGGTTACGTATATTATTCATGTTGATTTTTCATCATATAATAATCCCAAAATATTCTTTATCGACCTTCGAGGATGTTGGTGATTTCAGCCATCATAAAACGTATCTTTTTGCCAACAAATGATAAAAGCTATCAGACCGCAGATATTATTCAAACTTCTAGGGTCAATGTTAATTTTCCAAGTATATCCAGATCAAAATAATGATAAGATAAGTCAACCTTTCAACACTAAATGGTAACTGGAAGAAGTTTAACAAACGATAAAAAGGATTCGGTTCTTTCGGACCATTAAAAAGTTACTTCAATTTTATATACTTACCTGAAAAAGACTTGAAAGTATTACAGTAAGTGTGCTACCTGGTATCTGCTTGTTCACAAGGATCTCTGTATACGAACAATCCTATTTCAAACTTCTACTATCAACAACTAATACGTTCTGAGTCTTAAAAGTTATTCCGTATTCTCCATAGTTCGAGTATTGAAAGTATGTCCATAAGGAATTATACAAAGAATATTTAAAACCATTCACAATAAATTTTTAGAAAATACCTATTATCAAGGTGAGTGTGCGGGTATATCCGTTGATTATACATATACAGTGCTTTTCTTCAATGCCCTCCCTCCGTTTTATTTTCTGAACGGGCCAACTAACAAAATGAAATGTGGGATAATGGAATCGATGCATGAATTCTATATTTTGGAGTAGAATTGATAGATGAAAATTTCGAGACAGCCATTGGGCGACATCTGGAAAAAAAGTTAAGGGGAAAGGAGGGTCTTTTGAAACATCCTTTTGAAGCTCTTGACGAATACCTCACAACATTGGAATATAAAATCAATATCTTCACCTACTACGAAATGGCAGAACATTCAATTGTTGCCTGAATACAAACACATTATTATGGATATTAAATTCAAACGAGGTGATGCACCACCACATTACTCCAGGCAAGTTCTCTCGATCTGGCCAGCCCGCTCGCCAGATTTGACACCTTCAGACTTCTTTTATTGGGCTATCTGAAGCAAAAGGTGTACGAATCTGAACCTGCTTCAATATTGGATACAAGACAGAGAATGATGAATATTTGCAGAGATATATCGACGTAACTGTGTTTCAAAGTGTTCGGCGCGGAATATCGGCTAGTTCGAGGCAACCATTTTGAGCATATTTTGAACTGAACTAAGCTTTTTTCCTCAAATTATGTACTAAACGTCAATGTATTCTGGCAATTATTGAAAAATGTTTCGCAATGTTGTAGTTGGTGAAGATCTTGATTTTATATTCTAGGGTTGTGAAGTATTCGTCAGGAGCTTTAAAAGACCCCTCCTTTCTATTTATTTTTTCTTCACAAATCGCGCCCAGTCGCCATCTTGAAATTTTCATCTGTCAATTTTACTCCAGAATATAGTTTTCATGCATCAATTTCATTATCCTTAATGATAATTAAAGAAAAGCACCACATACAATTACGTTTTGCGGTGATGACGATCGTAATATTTATACATATTACATAATATTCAATCATTTTTCAAGTCACTATCGAATCATCACTTCATCATCATCCGAATGTTAAAATAAACCGGGTTTTCCAATAGATTTATTTCGATTTTATTGATACTCTTTCAGTTCAATACGGTTCGTTTTTATTTAGATTTTTGATTCAATTTTCAATTACCTTTCAACTATAGACGATAGACCAATCTCACTTCAACTGAAACATTAAAGTTATCAAACACTTATTGAGGCAGGTTGAACAAAAAATGTGGATCTATATTATTATGATCTCTTTATAAACATATTTTCTCAAAAACGATTATCAATTATGTTATCTCAAGTCAAATAACTAGAGGTCATCGGCGACACAAATTGATATTTTTATACACCAAGGTAGCTGAAGCCTCCATATTGTCTTTACTATACCATGAGGTACTATTTCGAATTCTCAAAATAATTGTACCAATCAGTAATTCACAACTCACACTAATTCTAACGAAGCTTTTATTGATATTTTCCCACCACAACAAATATATTGATACTAAAAAAAATACATAACATAACTTGGTTTGTGAAACGCAATTATTCCATAATAGGAAGTGATGAAAATAACACACGAATCCACGTTTTGGCAACGAGCGTGTTTCTGTTGTGTCCTTTGCTTTTTCTACGACTATATAATAGCCCATCAGCTTTGATCAAATCATAAATTGAACAAACCAAATTATCACAGTGTGTCAAAGGTTAGTATGTACATAATGATTAACATTACATCATAAATAATCTGAGAAGATATAATTTAGGCTGGAGTTGGGATAATCCTCTTGAATCTCATTGGCAGTCCTACAGTGGATTGAAGTACCAAACTTTTGGGTGCGAATACCACTGGAGTTGGGGTTGTCGCACATTTTTCTACTTCGTATTTTTCTATGATGTATGCGAGGGCCGCTTTCGTGCTCATCAATCCAAATCTTTCACCTAAAAGTGATTGAAAATTGATATTAGTGATGATTGAAATTGTACAGAACAGCACAAACATTATTTTTTCGCACACTATTATTCAATGCATTTTTATCCTGAGAAAAACTCCACTTCCAAAAATACTAGCTCTTGATAGCGTGTTTCACAGATAAACTGAACAACAGCGACATATTTCTTAACATCCAATTAGAAGATTATTCACTTTCAGTAACTTTTACCGTAGTGTAGTGCAAGATATCAAAAATACATAGATCAGAACACTTTGAAGTTAGAAGAAACAAAACTCGCTCATCCAGGAGGAAATAGTACGCAAGACCCCGGATCATTCAGTTCCGGAATATTTTCTCAGACGCTATTTAGAGCTCAAAGTGTTAGTGCATAAATTCAGGAATTTGAGAGTTTCGCATATTCAAGTTATGATTGAGATCCAAGAGATTTTATTGGAGAAACTAAAAGACATATACCTATTGTTTAAAAAAAGACGATATTTATTGAAAATTTCAACACAAAATCTTTCTGAAAATGTCCAAAAAGCAACGTTCAAAATTGCCATCGACATGTTTTTTTTCGATTATTATACCACAGTATATGGAAATACAGTTTTCAAAACTCATAACATCATCAACACAGAGATACATCGCTATGGTTTCATTGTACACTCAAACTCACAATTTTATATGTTATATATTCTTGAACAAATGGTTTCAGCATAGATAGATGACAGCTAAATTTCACTGGCTTGCAAATAAGCTCGCCCAGAGTTCGAATTTTCAGACCCGTACTTCGGCAAAGGTGCAAAGCCTCGAATCATAGGGTAGACCAAAAATGTATTTCATTTTATCAAAGTTGGTTCTTGGATTCTGAGAATCTTCAGATACAAGTCAAGTGATGATGTAAAATCAATATTGAAATACTTTGATAATAAAACAGCATTCACCAAGGAGTTGAATCTATCTAAAAGTTCCTTGCAGGGAACAAAACTTGCATTAGATATGTTCTGAATAGATTTGGTATTGAATTTGCTCGATGCTGAAACGTTTTGAGGCGCGTTTACACCAAAGTTGACAACATATTGTTTATAGAAAACAAAAAGTTGTCAACTTAAAGTTGCGCTTCTTAAATTTAGAGTAACAAGTGACTTCATATTTATCAATTTTCAGCTGGGCTGCAGTTTCCTTCCAGGTGTAGTTTTTAAGGATTTACTCATTGAATGTAGGGTCTTTTGGGTTCCAGAAAACCTCTCTGCTCCGGTAAAGTTCAATGAGTTCACTGGTTTTGGTCCTGGTCCATTCATTCTCACTGCAGCCTTCCATCTTCCTTCCAGGTCTCCTTTAGTTTCCTACAAGCTGCTTGTGCAGAGCGCGAAGCATCGAATCTTCCAGTTGGTTGACATTTTTCTTCGATCTTTACCGACACTCCGCGGGAAACCAAAGTTTAGTGGAAGAGTTGTGTTGGAAGTCAGAAAAAGGATGCCGTATTTTGTAATGAAAGCAACAAATTGCCAAAACTGAGTGGAAGACTTTGGTGTAAACGCGCCTTCATGAATTGCTTAGTGGAAAACGCTTATATAACATCTTGACTCACCAATACAAGCTCGCGGTCCTTCCCCAAAAGGAAAGTAAACGAAGCCTTCGCTGTTATAATTCTTGTTCTGGAACCTGTCAGGGTCGAATTTCTTGGGATCCGGGAAGTACTTTTCGTCCTGGTGCATGCCAAACATGGAAATAAAAACTGGCATTCCTTTCTCGATGACTAGATTGGTGCCTGGCAACTGGTAATCTTCCTTGCAGGTTCTATCCAGGAACGGGAGTACCGGATACATACGGAGTATTTCTGTACATACATTACATATGGGTGGTGACACAGAATCAAAGTTTACCCCTTTTCCTCCCATGATTTTTACCTATATTTCTGAAATTTGAAACATCGAATATGCTCACTAGAGGGCACTTTCTGACATTTTGAGACATGTTTCTCATCTTCCGGTTATCCTGAAAATGACACCAACATTCGGTTTTCAAGTGTTTGCATTTCATTCCATATTCGGTTAGGGATTATTATAATGAATTCAACGATATCGGGATCTGATTGGGTTATTTCAAACGATTACGAAGGTATTCGCGGTGGAAGTTTTCATATGCTCAATAGGTTTGACGGCACAATATCGAAACGTATTTCTCTGTCACACTTATTGAGCTCATGTAATCGTTTGAAATATCCTAATCAATCACGAGATCTTTGAATTCGTTATAATAATCCATGGAGCTGAATACAGGGAGTTCCATTTGGAAATCGAAAGTTGATGTCATTTCCAGGAAAACCGGAAGATGAAAAACATTTTCTAACACGTGAAAAAGTGCCCTTTAGTGAGCATAATCGATGTTTCAAATTTCAGGAATATAGCTAGAAAAAACAATGGAGAAAAATATGGTATACATGAGTCTGTGTCACCCAGTATGCATAGATAACAAAATAAATATTCTAAGGATACCATAAGGAACATCAAAAATGATAAGAAACAGTTCAGCTTTCCTTTTTCAGGTGGAATTAACCTACATTGACTCGTCTTACATGCCCAATTAGTGTGTCAGACTAAGATCGACTTCGTTTTCAGATTCATTCTTTAATTTTCAGCTAGAAAGTTCCTATTAGGGTTGAAATGTATCTTGTTCAGATGGGGTGATCACCCTGTCAATGTTCATTCAGGTGAATGAAATATATTTCTGTTGGAGTTCAACTTGTGTGTACGTATCCTTTTATTTAGGACGTTATGATATCATGAATACCTTAATCGTATCTAATTTGTATATCATAATACATTTGTTATGTTGTTGATAAAATAGAACGTCAATGTAATTTTGTCAGTGTCACAATCATTGATTCTCTCGGAACTTTCCTAAATATCATTTTCAATATAAATTAACAATCTCCATATCGAAAATTAAAAGTTGAAAGTTGAGCTCCAATGAGTTTAGGAAAATTAAAATAAACATCTCAAGTTACAGTAGAACCTCAATTATCCTTGCCTCATGGGACCTGGTGTGCCCACTCTTCAATTGTTTAGTCAGACTAGCTCTCGATATGAACAATTGAATGCGAGTTCGAACGTGGGGTTCTCATATTCCATGATAGATGGCGTGAATGATGGACAAGTTCTTTAAAAATTTCAAAATGCGTTTCGAATCTTGTTATGAAGTTGAACTGGACTTTCAAGGATGTGTTTTCCTACTTTCGAGACCTGATGAGTCCCGTTGTTGATCCACGAATTCAATAATAACTGATAAAAAGCATATAAGGACAGGACGCAAAAGAGACAGGGTGTAACAAATAATCCGTGCGGAAAAATCCTGATCTTCACATATCTGTCACTAGTGTTTTGTTTTCGGCATACCCAAGATTTTATTCAAATTTCAAACAGGTAGAAATATGATTTTTTCTGTGACGGGTAAAGTTGGGCATTTCATCTCTGTTGGCAGGTTATTAAATGTAACTTTCCATAAATTACTGTTTTCCCGTGAGAAAAAAGTGAATACTCTTTCCCGGATATATATCACATATATAAATATACACTGTTGATGGATTTGTTGTGCTATAGTTCCGAAAAATGAGTCAATAATACCGTCTCCGAGAAAGAACTGCAAGTCCTTTTATCTTCCATTCGACTTCGCGGTTACGTATATTACTAAACAACCACTGAATTCGCAATTTTTTGAAATAAAATCACAGAATTAGACTGACAGGAGTGACATCAGTTATTTGATTACTTCAAAAGAATGATAAAGATGCCTCCAACGCAGGTGTCCCTACTGTTGAAAACTTAAAATTTCACGTCGATAATTTTCAGATTTCAAAATAATGTAATATATTCTCAATATTGTTTCGTCCTTTCTTCTGTCACAGAAAAAAATAGTGTATTATACACTGGAAAATATTAGATTTTAGCTCACGGTGTTTTGTCTCCCTCCGCTACGCGTCGGGAGACAACACAACCTGGAGCTAAAATCTACTACTTTTTTCCCTTGTATAATGAATAACTTTAATCAGTAGCATCAGTAGTTTATTAAGCAGGTATTGATATAATATTATTGGTTGAGTGAGTGTTGTGTGCTTTCATCATGGACTGAGTGGCAGCAATATTTGGGGATTATACGAAAATCCGAACATTCGTGTCATTTTTTGTACGAAAAGTGAGTGAATGAACTATCATCACATGATTTTCTTGAGTTAGGACTCAGGATTTAGCAGTATTCTCCCACGCCTCGCTATATTCAGAAAGTAGGCGAAATCGAGAGATTTCGTAACTCCTTTCATTAAGAAGTGATAGCACTATTCGAGTTTCTATACATCTACATCCGAACATTTATTTCGAACTTGATATGAATGTATATATATGTATGTACAGGGTGATCCATCGAGAAGGCCCATCCTTAAATTTTTATCGAGAAAAAACAAACGATATGCGGAAGAATGCCGAAATGAGGCTTTTCGATAGCCCTTCAGAAGTTTTACAGGGTGCTTGATCCCTCGATGATCCCTAAAAGCGTGACAAACCACAAATTGAATTTCTCAAATGGAACACCCTGTGTTTCAAACTTTTTTCGGAATCTGTGATTTTTTGTGATCACAAAAGTATGTATATATACAGTGTGATATATCCTATTTTCACTTCAATAAATCTTCACTTTTTGATCCCAGACAAACATCTGTATGATGAAGTGAAAATAGAAGATATCATATACTGTATATACAAAAAATAGATTATGAAAAAAATATGAAAAACAGGGTGTTCCATTTGATGAGCATAACAAAAAGATAACAGAAATAATAATAGATCTCATACGTTCAAAGTAACTGGAATTGAAGTATACAATTTCAATGGGAAATCATGGCACGGATAATCAGCAGCTCCGATAATCCGCTCACGGATAATCGGGGTTGTACTGTATTAGTATTATCAATAATTCGAAATATTATTTCCTTTGAACAGGTTATTTGGTTTATCGACGTTCATTTGATATGGAACATGATTCTAAGCAAATTTATGGCTAAATATACAGCGGACATATAAACAAACTCCTCAAGATCGATTATAAAATAGCAAAACACTGATAAAATCTCGGATAAAATACATATTATGGTACATTAGACCGAACACAAACATCGGAAAAATGGCTGACAAAGGATCGATAATGATATTGCAGAGAAGCCGGCTCTGATTGAATCTATAACAAGTATAGACATACGTTCTAACAAGCCCACAGAGCAGATATCAAATACAGTGTGACCCACTTCTAATGGAAACACCCCTGTATCTTACGTAATCGTTGGGTAAGGATCCTGAGATTTCCTGGAGCGAGAGATATACCAAAATTGCACTCTATGTGTGATATACACTGCTCGCCAACAGCCATGGAACCACCCCGATTTCCGGAAAATGATATTAGGAGCCAAAATAGGTTGAAAATCACTTCGGATTCGGAATCAGGACGCCCAATTCACTATCTATTCATATTTTCCCTGGAAAATGTTCAGTTCTGAAAAATTGAATTTTGTCGCAGTTTTTACGGAAGCACCCCCGTATCTTACGTAATTGACTTTATGTTTGGACTTTCCCTTCTTCCTGCAAATTTCAGAATCATACCTCAATAATTACGTGATATACGGGGGTACTCCCGTGAAAATTTCGACGAAATTTAATTTTTCAGAACCGAAAATTTTCCAAGAAAAATATACATAGTCAGTGAATCGGGCGTCCTGATTCCGAATCCGAAGTGATTTTCAACCTATTTTGACTCCTAATATGATATTCCAGTAGATAGATAGATAGATAGATATATTTATTTCTCAGAATCGGAAGAACAGTGGTATCAATATTACATTATAATTTAACAAAAGTTATTTCCGATTATCTAGCGTAGAGCATCGAGAAAGTCGAGCACGGTACATAAATACTAAATTTCATGTGATATCTAATTCTAAATTGTGAGAGAAGTATTCGTCTAAATGATAATAAACATTCTCATGCAAAATTATTTTCAACCTTGCTTTGAATCGCAAATTATTTAAAGATTTCAAACTGGAGGGTAAGTGGTTATAGACTTTGATTCCTGAATACAGTGGTCCATTCCTGGATCTGTTGTAGTAATTGTAGTGGTAATTGGAGTGGTTCCAAGGCTGTTGGCGAGCAGTGTATATCACTGAAGATGACCCCACTTGGTCATAGAGTGCAGTTTTGGTATTTAAACGTGAGATACAGGGGTGTTTCCATCAAAAATGGGTCACACTGTATATGCAGTGCTGACGCTGAGGCATATACTGCGCAGGTGCTTTAACCAATTCAAATGCTCGCTTATTGGTTGTAACAGTTCGCATGTATTATCTACCTTTCGATTTGTTGTGGATAGGTCAGTGTATGAGAGTTGATTCAAATCCGAACAAGACCTTTAGTTTATAACAACATTTATGCGTTTGCTCACCTTTGACACAAAGATCCATGTACTTCATTTCCAATAATCCTTCGTATGTAACGCCACCATGTTTCTTAATATTCGAAAGCACCTCAGTCCGCAGTTTATTCTGAATATTCTTGTTGAGGCACAGTTCATACAGAGTGAATGATATAGTAGAACTCGTGGTTTCGAATCCAGCCATGAAGAACTGGATAGCTGGACCAACCAGTTTTTCTGTCTCTAAACCAAAAATTAGTTTTTAGTGAATAACAGCATTGTCTTTGTAGGAACACTGACTGGGTATGGAATTATCTCTGAAAATAGGAGTGGGTGGGTCTTTCACATATAGTACAGAACCAGGATTGGTTTGTTTCATTGTTTCGACCTTCCTTCTGCCCTAGAATTGTTTGATCTGATGATTTAATAATGTGTTTTCATTTGGTAGACTATTACTTCTGTGAATTAATGAATTATTGTGTTAATTCTTTTGAAATAGTATTTATTGCAATGAGATTTTGAAACAAGCTGGGTTTTAACGAACATAGACTGCGAAAATTGAACAAAAAACGATACATTTTCTTATGATCTCAACAGTTTGAGTGTTTTTTTCTAAACGATCAATTTTTTTATGATCTCAACAGTTAGAGTGTTTTTTTTATAGTTCGAAAATATCACTCTTCAAAATTGAAGAAGTAAGAAATTCCTGATAACAATACCATAATATCATCCATCAGTTATCGGACTAGAATTAATATGATTCCATTTCCTGAATACATGGTGATCCACTTGATAGGCAGATCTCTTGTATACCATGAATGGGATTTTTCCTTTCAAATTCATATCTCATCAGATATATGCATTCGCGAAAAAAGCATTACTTTATGTTTTGGGAAATTTTTATTTCAGTAAATATTCTCTCCATTTGTTTTTTTCTCTATCAGACGATACTGTATGTACATTATATTTGAAAACAAAATGGAGAATATCTTATATTCAAAACGATTTTTTACACCGATGGAAATCAATTCGGCCACCTCCAACGCCGGGATCATATCGTGTTAACTTATTTTTCCTGATTTATTCTGAAACATAGTCTGTTGCAGTAACGACACTGGTTGCTCTGAATTCTTTTCTAAACCTCAAATTGAATACAGGGCGTTGAATTTCGATAGAACCAACTTATTATATTCCATAACTGACAATATTCAGAAATGATGTGTGATGTGTGATGTTCAAAATTTTGCACATTGTTTTTCTGCACATAGACTAGCTGAATCAATTAAACCAACACATACCTAATTTCTGATGCCGAAAGAATGAATAATCGAGATTTTTACTTACCCAGGTCCGCCATATCCGAGCCAAATTCAGAATTCTTCTTCATGGCATTCAAAATATCCACCAAATCATTATTCTTAGCGCCACTCTCCTGTCTAGCTCTCATGGTTTTCGAGAACGCTTCATGGAAGTAATCAAACACCCATTTCTCCACGAAATCCAGCTTGAAAGTATCGACCCATTTTTGCCGGAAGAAGTACGCTGTTTGCACGATCCCGTTCCTCCAGGAGAAATCGAAGACGGTTCTGCCGAGCTTCCGGAACATCGCCTCATCGTCATCGAAGCAGTGGGCGTTAATGCCGAAAAAACACTTGGCTATGACGTCGGTGGCGAATTTAGCGCATACCTCTTTCGATTCTAGTTCGCCTTCGTTTTTCTCTAAGTAGGATAAGAGGTTTGCCCCGATTGGCTCAATCAACGTAAACATGCTCTGAAAAAAATCATCGTTTTTCAATGGAAAATGTTTCTTTTAAGGTGCCGTATGGAATCAGTAGCGAAGCCTACACAGAACACAAATGGGCTGAAGGACCTCTTGTAAGGTCGATGGCTAGTTGGTGTGTACACATGCACACATCAACTTATGAATTATACAAATACAAAGTGTTCCGTCTAATACATTCGTATACAGGGGTTATGTATGTTCAATGGAAATATTTTCAAGATGGTGGTCCAGTATGTCTGGAAGTAGACATGTTTTTCATTGCTCCTCCAGATCCTTGAGAAATTTTAAGATATTTCTGAATTTAAAACAATCTTCCAAAAGGTTTATCGAATCTCTAGGTTCGAGATGGTTCTAGAATGTTGCAGATTGATGTTCCAGATTGGTCTATAGTATCCCAGTGTTAACAGAAGTGAAATAATGTAGTTGAAGTAGGAAGAAATAATTGTAATCGTCCCTGCAAATCCGATTATGTAAACCATTTAGGCAAGGGTTTAAATCCTTCCCCTCTTTTCATGTTAGACTTGTCAGAAATAGTGTTAATTATTGTGTGAACTATTCTGCTATTGCTCTATTTCCACATCTTTCTTCATTGAGAGATTGTCGTCATTGCCATCTTATTTGACAGATGACAATACATTGACTTCACCTCCTCTTCCAGTCATAAAGTTAGCTGAATCTGAGTGAATCTGTTACTTTTTATTAATTAACAGGTTGAGTGCCACCATGTATTGACAAATAATATCGGTTCCGGAGGCCGATACATTATTTTTGCCTAAAACATCAGATACTAACGTACTATTGATATTTACTTTTATTTTTTATGTGCCGGAAGTTTTGGAAGGTTGAAAATGGCGCTTTATTTTTGGAGACCACATTGGTCTCACACGGCCCCTCATTCGACCATTTTGTTCAGGCGGCTGCGCGAGACCAACGTGTCACCACGCTATGCGCATGTCTGTATGTTGAGAATTGTAGCGGGGAACCGGAAGACCGGCTCAGTTTGTCTCGTAATGTTGCAAGAGTCGCATCATGTCCTCCTACGAGAAAGATCAGAAGCAATTGACGAAGTTATCGCAGGAGGTGTTGTCCGATGAAGACGAAAACTGCAGCAATAAAGATGGAGAATCACTGTTTGGAAACGTGTATCTTTCTGATGAATATCAATGTGAGTCATCAGTAGATCCGAGAAAACGTCCCAAGATCAAAAAGAGAGTCGGTGCTAGAAAAACTCTAACATTCAGACATGATTAACCGTTGACAATTACAGTTTCTAACAGTAGGTATATCGTTCAACGAATGATATTCATTTTATTTTTAGAATATTCTGTATGATTTTGTTACATGTTCATGATATATAAATGAAGAAAACTATTAAGAGTACCTATATATTTGCGTGAGAAAAAAAAAGATTTCTAACATTTCCTAGCCACGTACTACCAACTTGGTCCCTCATATCCACAGGCCAAAATATGTCTCCGGACCACCAGGCCGCGCTCTTTCGAACTCCATTTAGTTCACAATGCTGCGAGAGACCACTGTGGAGATATGCAGCCAAATCAGTTCTGGGTATATGCGAGACCATATTGGTCTCACGCGGCCACAAAGTCAGAAGTATGTGCGAGACCATGTTGGACTCTCACGGCACCTGTTAACTATAGAAAATGTTTCAAAAGAAGAGGGATGGTAGGGGGAGGAGGGAATAATTTTCAATCAAACTAACGAATATGTGGTTATCCAATTGTTGATGGTTCAAAAGTTGAATATTTTTTTCATTTCGATTAAAAAAATTAATTACAATAAAACTATTCAATCCGCATGGATTTACCATTCCCCATCAGAAATAAATTCCATGGCCTGTGTTTTACTTGATATCAATTAAGAAAAATGTTGTTTCCTTAAGTTTTGTTGAATGCAATATTCAACTCAGTAGATTTTTTGATGCCGCTGGCACATTTAAAAATTCAAGAAAAAGTTGCCCATTTAATACAGATTATGAAATGGTATAGCATACGGGGTTATTCAAAACAGCTTTTTGTATTGATTTTTTTCAAATGGGTCGTGTTTTTCAGAAAGATTGAATAACTTTTGAACCATCATTAACAATTGGTTAATCACTAATACGGCTAGGCTCTGGAATTCATTGCCTGTGGAAGTATTCCCAACAACATATAATCTCCAAAAGTTCAAAAAAAATTCCAATACCTACCTCCTGTCCCTATCCTCCCTAGGAACGCACGATGTTCTTTGAACATTATAGGGATTCCATTTCGTGCGCTCCAAGCGATAAAAAAAAAGTTTGATTGCAAATGACCGGATCCCTACCAACCCAATTATGGGACATCCTGCATATGGTGAATTTCAATAACAATATATGTAAGTACCCATGGTGTCTTCTGTTATTATTTTCAGTTCGACTGATGAAGTCCCAAACATGTCCCATTTTAATATTAACCGTCCTCAGTGAAGTGTAATCAAAGTTGTGGAGAGTATTCAGAGTTATTCTTCCGGATTCATTCATCAGGAGTCATATTGTTTTGAATGAAGCAATGAATTCGAAGGACTAATAATATCCATTTGAGAGAAGCGATATAATTCATTCAATAATATTTATTCAGTAGGTAATACAGAATATATGCTCATTCAAAATAATTCCTAGTGATTCAAAAATCGATGTAAATCTTTCAAGAACAAGTTTTCGGGATCAAAATAAGACTTTTTCTTCATATATATAGGTGTCCTGAAATGCACCCCTTCCAAGCTACAGCCACTGTAAATAAAGGATTATCTAAAAATGTGACCATAATTACGGATCAAGTGCTATTATCTCAGTGCTGCACGCTTCTGAAATACGAGTCCCAAATGCGTTCCGACATACGATCATCTCCGTATGAAACGTTTGACCCATTGCGTTCGAAAACGATGTCGTAACTTTCCCTTTCGTTGATCACGATTTTATGGGAAACAGTTAGTTGTGTAAAAAAATGCAAAAGACCGATTTCCTAATTTTTTTCAATGCCCACAAGATCTGAGTTGTTTTTTTTTTCGAACATAAAATTTGGACCAACAAGAGTGTGCTCTCCATCCAACTCCCCCAAAACTGGGTTCCTCATTTTTGAAGCAAGAAGGAAATAAAATGTCTAAAAAGACAGGGACATATACCTATTTTCAGAAGATTTATTACGTTATTCCAGTCACAATTTAAGATAATCTGTTTTTTTACCTTATTTACAGTGGCAGTAGTTCGGAGAGGGTTCATTTTAGGACACGTGTTTATATAAAAAAAAGTCTTATTTTGATCTGTAACTGTCTCAGGCAAGCGCGTATCCAGCTTTGTTCCATGGGAGGGGTAATTCGTGGTGAGGGGGATGACACAAAGCAAAAAAGCAGCGCAAGCGAAACTTCTCTGTTATTCAAGGTCGAATGCCTTTAAATTGATAGTTATAAGTTTGTCAGCGGGGTTTCATGAAGGTGGAAAAAAAATATTTCAAATTCAGTTGAGAATTTAATATTCTTAAAGACAACGAAAATCGAATTATAAATGTCAAGTTCACTTCGACCCGAAAAAAATGCTTGAGTTCAGGTTGGTAAGACAATTTGATGAATACGTTGAATTACATATTATCGTTGATGGTATTTTCAATTTCTCCACTCGAAGACTCTCATCCAAATCGCGACGTTTCCACAGATTAAAGATACTTTAATGACGACGCAAGTTTGAGAAAACGTGACATAAACACCATCAATAATTTGTTTACAATTTTGGTTGTCATGCTTTCAAATGTTAAGTTTCGGTTTTTTCGCTGCAAAAGTAAGGAGAAAAGTAAGAAAAGACAGAAAGAATAAACATAATTTAAATTGTCAAAATGATAAAGGAACTTGCACGCTGCAGTTTTGGCATTTTTCAGCTGATGTTCACCAAATAATGACGTGGTTGAGCGAAAAGTCGAAAACCTAAATATGAAATGCATTAATGAGCCCCAGGAGTCAGGACAATGTATCACTCAATAGAAAAGGTGATGCCATTATACAAATATGTGAAGAAAAGTAGGTATAAGTAACTTGTGACCAAGAAGGTCGATCAAAAAATTACAAAGAATCTAGATGACAAATACAATTTTAAGAAAACCAATTTCAGACTGCTGTACGAAATGTTGAGAGATCAGGATTGGTCAATGCTTAATAATCTCGAAAATGTTAATGATAGTGTCAATTACTTTTATCAAGTTCTCTACGAAATTCTTGATATCTCGGTACCTAAAATTACTAATAAAACAAATAATCGTTATCGTAAAATATACCCACCCTGGTTCACAGATGATATAAAAGGTGATTTGAAGGTAAAAGAGTACTTCAGACTAAAGAAAAATGACTCAGAATTTTATTCCAATAATTACAAACGAGTTAGGGCTGAACTTAAAGTGAAAATCAGGAGAGCACATAAGGTGTATATTGAAAGTATACAGGGCAATATCAAACGGGACCCTACGTTATTTTGGAACTTCGTCAAAGATAGAAGACAGAAAAAAACGTTCGAATCGTGTTTCATAATAAATAATAGGGAAGTTACTGAGAAAAAAAATAATTGCGGGAGAGTTTGCAGATTATTTTAGTTCAACATACGAGAATGATTCTACTTATGATACAACCGAGATTGATAATAAAGCAAAATATCTTCCTTTGATTTTCTATCAAAACATCCACTTCGACCAAATAACTGTAGATGACATAGAGAAGGCGTTCAAAAAATTAAAACCTAAGAGATCGGCGGGTCCTGACAATATCCCCTGTTACATCTTCAAAGCGTGCAAGGATTCCTTGATGCATCCACTACTTTCAATATATAATAAATCTCTGAAAACGGGAATTTTTCCTGATGAATTTAAGCAAACTAGGATAACACCGATTTTTAAAAAATCGGCCAATTGCAGTACTTAACTGTGCAGCAAAAATATTCGAATTCATTATTCAAGAAAAATTGTTTTCAAGTCTTAAACCGAAGATCTACTGGAGATCTACTTGCCTACGTCACCCATTTATGGCAATCTTCAATAGAAAAACACGGGGAATCTCTAGCTGTCGCGTTGGACATATCGAAAGCATTCGACCGTGTTTGGCACGAAGGACTCCTCCACAAACTATCATCATACGGCTTACCACCTCAGCTATGCCATCTCTTATCGAGTTTTCTTTCAGGCAGATCGCTTCACGTGGTGGTGGACGGTGTATCGTCTGATACCATTGGCATCAATTCCGGCGTTCCACAAGGATCAATTTTGGCACCAACATTATTTCTGCTTCATATCAATGATCTGTTGGGAGTAACAACTTGTCCCATCCACAGCTTTGCAGATGATAGTACCCTCCATACTGCGTTCTCTTCCAGAATTCCCATTTCTTCCCAGGAAACTAAGAACTCACGGCGCAGGCAGGTCAATGCTGTCAATGAAGATCTTGCTGAAATCACAGCCTGGGGAACGAACAACCTAGTTGAATTCAACGCCACCAAAACTCAAGCCTGCATTTTCTCTAGAAAGGCGGAACTCAGTATGCCCGATATTGTAATGTCTGGCTCCACCATCCCCACCAAGCCCACCATATCTATGCTCGGTATTTCCATCAGCAACACTCTCTCATGGGATAATCATGTCAGATCCATCGCAAAAGCTGCTTCACAAAAACTCGGATTCTTGTTCCGTGCGAAAAGCTACTTTACACCTCAACAGCTTCTCATGATCTACAAAGCGCAGATACGGCCTGTTCTAGAATACTGTTCCCACATATGGGGTTCAGCACCAAAACATACGCTGATGCTCTTAGATTCCATCCAGAGAAGAGCCATTCGCCTGGTGGGTGACGCCACACTCACTCACTCTTTGACATCATTGGAACACCGTAGAAAGGTCGGCGACCTTTCACTTTTCTATCGATACTTCCACGGGAAATGTTCTTCGGAAATCTCTGCAATCATCCCTTCACTAGCAATACCAATCAGACGAACTAGACAAGCCCAGTCAGCACATCCTTTCGTCGTCAACCTCGAAAGATGTCGAACAGCACTTTATCAAGACTCCTTCATCCATAGAACGGCTAGGCTCTGGAATTCATTGCCTGTGGAAGTATTCCCAACAACATATAATCTCCAAAAATTCAAAACAAATTCCAATACCTACCTCCTGTCCCTATCCTCCCTAGGAACGCACGATGTTCTTTGAACATTATAGGGATTCCCTTTCGTGCGCTCCAATCGATAAAAAAAAAAAAAAAAAAAAATGTGTCATATCAACAAATCAACACGGCTTTTGCAAGAATAAATCTGTGGAAACGAATATTTTAACATTCACCAATAAAATTTCTGAGCACTTAGATGCAAATTTACAGGTAGATTGTATTTTCACCGATTTTGCTAAAGCCTTTGATAGGGTGAATCATGATACATTACTAGCAAAACTGAAATATTATGGATTGAGCAATCATTTTATATCATTTTTCATATCATATCTACAATTGAGACCTCAGTATGTTACATACGGAGGTGAGACATCTCATGTATATTTAGCAGGATCGGGTGTGCCCCAAGGATCAAATCTAGGGCCCCTACTTTTTAGTATTTTCATTAATGATCTCCCTTCGGAAGTATCGTCTGATTGTCTTCTTTATGCAGATGATTTCAAAATTTTTAATAAAATTTCAGATATAAATGACTATTTACAATTGCAAAATGACATAGATCGAATCTCTACCTGGTCCATAGAAAATAAATTACTGTTCAATCTTTCAAAATGTAAGGTTATTTCCTTCAATAAGAGATATAAAAATACAGACGAATATGTGTACACTATGCAGAATTCGGTTTTGGAGAGGGTTTCAGAAATACACGATCTTGGTATACTTTTTCAAAATGATTTCAAATTCAACAATCATATATTCAATACCATTAGGGAAGCCAGCAAATTATTGGGTTTCTTGAAACGTTCTACCTCTGAGTTCACAGATATAAACACCATCAAATATTTATTTTTCTCGCTCATTCACAGTAAATTGGAATATGCCTCAGTTATTGGGGATCCCTCGCAACAAAATTTGAAACAGGGAATTGAATCCATACAGAATAAATTTATTAAATATTTGTACTATAAAGCTCATGGTGTAAGCCCAGGATTTGCCCCCTATACACCACTTAGGAAAGAATTCGGAATTGAAAAACTAGAACACAGAAGAAATGCAAATAACATTATGATTCTCTTCAAACTGCTCAATGGTAAATTGGATAGTTTATATCTCCTTGAGCAAATGCAATTCTATGTACCACCACCCGGATTGCGTCCTCGTCAGGTAACATTCCGAGTGAGTAATAATGGCCCAATTAATCGGATGTGTGATATATACAATACACACAGTGAAGAACTAATTTGTGGAATATTCGATATTGCCCCTCGAAAATTCAAATTAGAGCTGAAAAAGCTTGTAAGTTCCTGGTAGTCCTGTAACCTGTGTATTTGATTCCTCTGTGAGTACGCACTCATCACCTATCACCGATATTTTAACCTGATGACTTTTGTGATGTCTGTCCATTTAATTCGTTGTAACTGTAACTGTCTTGGTGCGAAGCATATATCTTTTTCTTTGTTTAGTTGATTGAAATTGGTATAGTTACTCCCATATTATTATATAATATGATATAGTTAAATTGTTGTAGATGCATTATGTATAAACTTTATTAATAGCCATTATAATAGGATCTTTTTATATTTAATGATTTGTAAGAAACACATAATTAGGCATTGTCTGCCTGTCTGTTTCTGAAATAAATAAATAAATAAATAAATAAATAAAAGCTTTTTACCCACCTAAAGATGAAATGCAGGCACAGGCCAAGATGTAGGTACCAAAGATACATTGGGCACATGGAAAACCATCCAAAATTCAAATTATTCACTTGGTTGAGACAACTGCCCGTTCAAGAGTTAAATGATCAGCGCAAGACATTTCGGAAATCCCCGAAAAGTGGGTTGCCTAGCCTGAAGAATTATATTTAAAAGAGCATGGGCGGTGACATTGATTTGTTACTGATCCCAACACTATGATGTCTTTGAAATATTCACATCGAATTTTGAATCACCCTATATTTTCCGAAATTGATCTCATCATTTAAGAATTTGAGATTATAAAGGGTAGAACCGAGGGTAGAACGTTCTATTCTAGTAATATCAGCTTCGGATTCGATAAGCAAAATAACTCACCTTGAGTTTTCCGGAAGTGAAGACAGGAGTAATTTTGGATCTGGCTTCCTTCCACTCTGGGTTTCTTTGGAAAAACATTAGGTTTTGGATCATCTTGTTATGTTCGGGCTGTGCCACTGTTCTATCATTGAAATTATGAAAATCCTTGACCATGATTTGCTTGATCAGCTCTGGAGATTTGATGATTAGGTGCGGCTCGTCAAAAACGAAGATACCTGAAAAGACTCGGAATGTGGCATTTCAAGAAAATACGCTATTTACTGAGAATTACTCGGAATGAGTATATCTTTTGTAATTCTGAGTAGCATAGGGTGTATACATAACATCGTGTCCCAGCTAAAATGCTGCAAATTCAACCGCTCCAACGATTGACTTGAAATTCGGTCATCCCAGTATATTGATGATGATAACTCGAGATATGCTAATGGATAAATCGATTGTATACAGTCACATAAAAATGAACCTATTTAAATTTTCCTATTTGAATAGGCAAACCCAGTTATATCATAGTTGAGTAGAGCTCATCATTACAAATTCAACAACCATATGTTTGATAGGACTTTTTTGAACCCTACGAAGATAATTATGACAAAAAACGATCGAATTAAGAATGAGTAATAATTTTAGGTATAACATTATCACAACACATCAATTTTACCGTGCCCGTCTAAAGTCCGTTCCTCCCACACTGTCTGAACCACTTGGTATATCGCACCGAAATTTGAAGGGCTCAAATTGGAGGTGAAAACCGACTTTTTCATCAAAAAACGACCGCTTAAAGTTTTGAAATAGCGGCTAAGCGCCATGTTGAATAATTTTTCAAATGGAATATATTATTCTATTTCCGAAATCTTCTCATGATGATTCTCAACAATATCATCTACTACACTTGACTACTAAATTCAAAAGTTTTAGAAATATTAACGTTCTAAAAGCCAACCAGAAGCTCGGATGATACTTTCAATCATGTTTGTTTTGGAAAAAATCAGAGTGTCACTTTTCAAACGTTAAAATTTCAAAAACTATTGAATGTAGGGGTGAAACGTATTAGATGAATCGGTTAAGAATTATGAGAAGATTTCGAGAATGGAATAATATAATAGGTGTTCCATTTGAGAAAATAATTCAAGAAAGTGCTCTGCCGTCATTTTCAAACTTGAAGCTGCAACTTTTTCATGAAAAAGTAGGGTTTTATCTCCTATTTGAGCCCTCCAAATTTCTTCGCGATATACCTGGTGGTTCAAAAATTAGTAGGGGGGGAATGGACTTTAGACAGGCACTGTATGTATAATCGAATGAAAATGGGATAATTATGACTTATCCAATTCTTCAATATGTGGAAAATGTCTGGTTTTCTGATACCGTCAATGCGACGTTATTATCATCACTTTATTATTGGATATACCTATCTACAGGTCTATATTTCTTGACCCACTGCCATCATGACAGTTCTGTGACCACATCTTCGTATACTTGTTCGAAATAAATCACATCAAAACCAGTATTGTTCATTTTGAATTAATGAGCTTCAATTCAATATGAAATTATATTCTGGGTGATCCTATTCAACTAAGAAAATTCAACTGAGTTTTGATAGGATCCCATACAGGTGATGATTATTTGAATGCCGATAATACAAGGTGTAATTAAAAGGAGAAAAGATCATACAAACATTTGTCCTGAACTTCTTAGTTTTTGAGCTACAGGGTGCTGAAATTTCAAGAAAATAGTGAGTTTTATTTCCATAATTTTCTATCTCTTTTGGATATTTCCATGAAATTGTGTGACGTCTGTACGGGGTGGGGTATAAACTGACAATTTCTGAAAAAATATATGGTACGCCACTGATTTTTCCGAACATAAAGATTATTTTTGAAATCCATAATAATTTTGGAGAAAATTTGGTTCCAAGTACTACTTTCATACGACGTACCGTTTTCCCGAAAAAAATGAGAACCAAACAATGTTTCTTTCTCAGTTCATTGAGATTGTTTTTGATATTTTGTTGAAATTCAGTAGTCACACACTATGACTGGAAACACATTTTGTTTTGGGACGGAAATATTTTTTTTTTACTTTTATCGGTATAATGTTCAAGTAGACCTGATATTGAATATTTTGATTAAAAAAGTTCTGTACGTCTCTGATTTGGACACCCTGCACCTCAAAAACTAAGAGGTTTATGACATATAGGTATGTTGATATACATTTTTCTCTTTGAAATCACCCGAGGACTCATACCTTGTATTATCGGCACTCAATTAGTTAACACCCTGTAAACATTGAATATATATTAAATTGAATTTCAATTTATTCAAAAGCATTTTCCGACAAATATACTGGGTGATCAAATTTCTAATCAGTCGACAGCGCGGTTGATGTTTGACAGAGGGGGACATTTTAGCTGAGACATGGTGTAAACGAGCTGATTTTGAAATAAGTACATAATAAGGAATACGCATGATTTTTTGTTTAATCGAAATTATATTCCTTCTTCCTTATAATAACATTGGATATCATTCATTGATCTCATATTTGCTTGTGACTCTGAATAATTTCATTTAAATGAGGCTAAATATGAAGTCACAGGAAAACGGGTTAGTGGCCATCACTAATATTATGACGTCATAGTATTAGGCCGCACAGCCATAGACTAGCGCGACAGAATGACAAGATTCAGATTGAAAAAAAAAAGAAGAAGAAGAGGTAGGAGAAGAAAACAGTTTTAAATGCCAGAAATTTGAAATTTGAAAATGGGAAATGATGTTTATACCAAATACTGTTTAGTGCCGCAAAGTCTTTCATCAACAAAAGTATCACCAGGAAAAATATTCCTTTCATTGCCAGTGGGATCGAGTGATAAAAATAAAGAGAATAGAAAATTATGGTTGCAAGTTGCAAGCCATAAATAGAAATGATTTATCCGAGAAAACCAGAGGATTTGTTTGTGAAGACCATTTCGAAGTGAGTATATGTTCAAGTATGTCCTAGTGAAACCCATTATATATCAATGATTATGTTCCTCATGTTATTAGGAGAATAATATAATATGTGATTTCGTTTTCAGCTTGAAGAAGATACCTATGGAAAACTATTTGAGATATGAATTGATAGGTGGTAATATATATTTGAAACAACATGCAAAAAGAAGTCCTGTTTGATCATTCTTATTGTAGATATTTGCTTATTATTCAGTTATTATTATTCAGAATATTGAGATCATATAATTGAGATAGATTATAGAAACTACAAGCTCAGATAATCATAACCTCACTTTCTCTTCTTATATTATTTTCAATCTTTCGGACATGAATGTTTGACATGACAAATAAGAACAGCCACATCCAGTCGGAAATCATCGCTGCAGTTCGGCTGTTGGTCGAAAAGTTGCAAATATTATGATTTTCAATCAGAAATTATTAAATATTCGGTGCTTAATAATGTTTTTCGGATGTATAATTCGACATCTATACATATGAGTAATGGAAAAAAAATATATTCCAGTGTAAAATTTTCACACGCGCATACCCTATTATATTCAGCACAACGATAAGATAAGATAAGATAAATATATACTTTATTGTCGAAGAAAAATAATTTCTTTTTTCTGTGACGGGAAAAAAATTGGCATTTCATCTCTGTTGGCAGGTTATAAAATGTCACTTTTCATAAATTACTTTTTTCCCGTGGGAGAAAAGTGAGTACTTTTTTCCCGGATATACATCACATATAGATACACTGTTGATGGCTTTTGTTGTGCTATAATTCCGAAAAATGAGTCAATAATACCGTCTCCGAGAAAGAACTGCAAATCCTTTCATCTTCCATTCGACTTCACGTTTAGGTATATTTCTAAACAACCACTAAATTCGCAATTTTTTTAAATCATATCACAAAATTAGACTGACAGAAGTGACATCAGATATTTGATTATTTCAAAAGAATGATACAGATGCCTACAACGCAGGTGTCCCTACTGTTAAAAACTTAAAATTTCACGTTGATAATTTTTAGATTTGAAAATAATGTAATATCTTCTCAATATTGATTGGTCCTTTCTTCTGTCACAGAAAAATATAGTGTATTATACACGGGAAAAATATTAGATTTTAGCCCACGGTTTTTGTCTCCCTCCGCTACGCGTCGGGAGACAACACAACCTGGAGCTGAAATCTACTACTTTTTTCCCTTATATAATAAATATCTATATTGACAGAGCTTGTTCAAAATATAGTCTGTGAAACTCTTAAAAAATATGAAAAAATTTAAAATCAAAACACAAATACACAGAATCACACAATTCGAAACAAGTTCACACGTCATGTATAAAATGTAAAATATTGCAATCTAAAACAGAATTGAACATGTAAATTCGCAGTTTGTCGAAAAACAAAATTTACAAAATAAAAAGACACAATTTTACAGAGAAACATTATTTGAACATAAATTTACAAGTCATTAAATTGAAAACATATTTTATTGTTTAAAATCAAACTCCACTTATGGGTGTAAATAATGATAGTCTAACGAATATTCCCATGATATCAGATATTTTCTGATTCTTTCAATTAACGACAATAAATTTCGTTCCGAAAATTGAACAAGAAACAGGAAAAAAATCGAGTACGACACAATTTAAATGATTGTGATTGTGTGATTGTGCCTTCCGTACGGAAATTTGAACGAAGGTGACGTCAGCATTGCTACATTGTAAAACTTTGGGTGGAAAAAGGGGTCTTGATCCCAACATTTTTTTATTGGTGCCCTTCGATAGTATACGTCGAGCTTTCTCAGGGTTTGAAATAGTTGCACTTATTTCAATGCCACCCTGTATATTGTTTTTCTCAATTATAACTCTCTGTTGAAGAAATAATGATCCTTGTATCAAATATTTCCGTGATCTTGATTCAATATGAATCATTCACCAATTTCTGCTTCTGAATGTTTCTTAATTTGGACGTGAAACAATTTTGATTCTTGTATCAAGAATCGTCATAATCTTGAAAATAAATATAAAATCATTTACAGGTTTCTCAGTCTGGGTAATTCATACTTTTCATATTGCAAAAATTAAAAGTTGCTTCAAGCTTTATCATTGGTATTGGCATTGGTAGGTTGATTGGTGACAGATGCGCTGCGACCTAATTAGATCGATTGTGCCCCATCTGCTTCTGCTATATCAAGGATTTCTTGTTCATAGCAGCCCCTCAAGATTCAATTTCTTCAGCAACACTCATTCATGAGATAATCATGTCAGATCCATAGCAAAAGCTGCTTCACAAAAACTCGGATTCTTGTTCCGTACGAAAAGCTACTTTACACCTCAACAGCTTCTCATGATCTACAAAGCGCAGATACGTCCTGTTCTAGGATACTGTTCTCACATATGGGGTTCAGCACCAAAACATACGCTGATGCTCTCAGATTCCATCCAAAGAAGAGCCATTCGCCTGGTGGGTGACGCCACACTCACTCACTCTTTGACATCATTGGAACACCGTAGAGAAGTCGGCGACCTTTCACTTTTCTATCGATACTTCCACGGGAAATGTTCTTCGGAAATCTCTGCTATCATCCCTTCACTAGCAATACCAGTCAGACGAACTAGACAAGCCCAGTCAGCACATCCTTTCGTTGTCAAAATCGAAAGATGTCGAACAGCAGTTTATCAAAACTCCTTCATCCATAGAACGGCTAGGCTCTGGAATTCATTGCCTGAGGAAGTATTCCCAACAACATATATTATAATCTCCAGAAGTTCAAAAAAAATTCTAATACCTACCTCCTGTCCCTATCCTCCCTAGGAACGCACGATGTTCTTTGAACATTTTAGGGATTTCCTTTTGTGCGCTCCAAGCGATAAAAAAAAGATCTAATTGTGGTATTGCTTCCACAGTCCAGCTGGTGTGGTTCCAATATGTTCAATATTTTGTGATGTACAGCGTCACACTCCATCAGTATGTGATGGGGTGTTTCTGGTTCTTCCTCACAGAATCTGCAGGTGCCGTTCTCGGCCGTCCTCCTGCAAGCCTAGCTTCCTTAGGTGCGTTCTTTGAGTCTGCAATGTCCCGTTTTAGAAATCTCGTTATTGCTTTGAGACTTCCTCTGCTGAGGTTCATCAGTGTCTTAGATTTTTCTTGGTTGAAATTTCCGAGGAGATCTTTAGCCTGGCAGTCTTCTCCATTGACTGGCTCTCAAGGCTCCTTCCGCCTGTTCAAGTTCTCCTTGGAAATATGAATTTCCAAGACCGCAGAATGGCTCTGGTTCGATCAGTGGCGTTGAAGCCTCTTGTCGTGCCATAGTGTCTGCTTGTTATACGACGCTATACATAGTGGAGTATACTACGGCCTTGCCAAAAATGCTATCTCGGAAACTAAGCGAGATAGAGGTATAGTTACTTTGGAGAAAATGATTCCCATCGAATTTTGAGCAACTTTGGTTTTTGTGTGTGGTCTGTCTGTCTGTCTGTCTGTCTGTACTCTGTGTTAATCATAAATCGATATATCTCCGGAACCCTTTGACATATCGACTTGAAATTTTGTCATCTTATTGTACTCAAAACAATATTATGTCATTGGAATATGAAGGGAATCGGAAAACTCTAAGGTGGTTTTTCCGGGTTTTTTCGATTTTTCACCGGAAGTTTCTTGCGACTACTCTACAAATCGCAAAAGTGGTCCGATCGATTTCATTATTTGTGAAAAAAAAACTCTATCAGGGAGAGACGAAGCCTATTGAAATTGAGCAGGGTCGGGAAATTCCAAGTGGGTTTTTCAAGGAGATTTTCCGAAACACACGGTTCGCTTCAAAACGACATATCTCCTGAACTAATAGACTAAATCCAAATTCGAAAAATGCACCGTATGCCTCTTTGATGACGCAACAAATTATTATTTCACTATTTTTTCGTGCAACCATCGGCAAATGGAAAAACAAATGAAAATCAAAACATCAAAATTTGAAATCCTTTCAATTCAATATATATCGAAAACAAATGGAAAAATCGAAAATTATCAAGAGTGCAAAGTTATCCACTGGAACATTTCCTACATATTATTACTCATGATTTTTTCTGTAAACCCAATAGTACAGGAAATAAAGGGAAAATATGAAAAAAAAAATTTGAACGACCCATAGGGTAGGTACCATGAAGATATATTGAAAAACAAAAGATTATCGATAGATGAAGATCATCGACTTCCACGGAACCATGAAATATTTTTTCCTTTTGTTGATTGGAAGATGGAACAAAAGTGTTGAAAATTTTATTCTCAGATGATTCCAAATATCTCGAAAACAACTGGAAATATCTGAAAATGTTATAGAACCAAAATTATTCCTTTTGATATAAACTACAAAAAATCCTCATAACATTTTTCTCTGGATGCATCGGGAGATACGATGAAAAAACTAAAAAATTTACAAGTTCCTAGATCATCACTTGCAAATAGAAAACGAAACAAAAAACAAAAGAAAGTAAAAAAAGCACACTCGACTGTTTTGATTTTTTTCCCATTAACTAATTACCTAGCTCACTCGACTGTCTTTATTTTTCGCCAATAAACTAGGTACCTAGCTCACTCGACTGTCTTGATTTCCCACAAAGAAGAAATATGTTGGCAAAGTTTGAACTTTCTTTTGTTTTTGTTTTTTCAGTCCCTATTGGCAGTCGAGTGGGCTAGGTACGTAGTATGTGTGGAAAAACCAAGACAGTCGAGTGGGCTAAGTACGTAGTTTGTGGGAAAAATCTCCAGTTCTCTGAACTTTCAAAGCGTCGTATACACATCTTTGGTGCCCAATGATAGTTTCAATATAAAAATATGCTCATGATATGGTGCCATGGCCTCTACTTCCATCTTACATGAGCAATGATAAAATATCATCTGCTTTTATAGCGTCGTATAAATTATCTGACCCCTATACTAATCTAATACCTAATGAAAACTACATCTATACTAATCTGATACCTTTCACAAACTACGTACCTCACTTGTTAATTCCCATCCACTCCGATATGCCCTGGCACCCAGAGGAGGATCACTTCATAGTTACTGCCTATCATTATTATACTCTCCATCGAATATAAATAATTCAGCATGTTCTCGATTCTAATATATAGTTTCAAATTTTCATATAATGAAAAGAAATTCAACTTTGCATCATCAAAATCATTCCAGGAACTAAAAATCTTGAAATAACTAAGAATTGTTTCATCCTGAAGTCCTGAAATCTGGACCCATTTCCGATGAAACCGGAAGTGAGCAGAAACTAAAAGCTCTTCGATTCAATTTCATATGGTTACACCTGATATTCTAGTTATATTTTATATGCCTTGTCTAATATGAATTCTTTTACAACCGGTATAAATCAACCAAATGCTTGGAGTGAGTGGAATTTTGCTTATGTATTCAATTCATTATTGTTCATCTTCCATTTCAAATCTGCTTTCACACTTTTACTTACCAAAAAATGGTTCGTCTGTTGAATCGTAGATTTTCTTCAGCCATTCTCCTATGTTGGTTCGGAAGAAAGTGACATCAGCAATGTTGCCGAGGAAAGGTATTGGTTTCGGGTGGTATACTCCTCGTTTTTTCCAGTAGTTGAATTTTCTGGTCGAGTATTTGTAGAGCATGAAAATTGATACCACGAAAAGAATTATTAGGTCGATTTTCCATGATGAGGTGATCAACATCTAGAAAAAAAAACTGGAGATGGTTTTTTGTCCAAAAGGAAGAATACTTCATTCCAAGAAAATAGGGATATGCTATTACTGCTATTTCAATAAAATATTTAGAAACGTTCATGATTCCAACTACAAGAATCGAAAATTCTGCAACTAGAGTTTTCACAAAATGTTCATAACATGATTGAACAACAATGATAGATAACCATACGTAGAACATCGAACCAAAACGTCCCGAAATCTATACAATGATTCGAATAGATATATAGGTTGATTTTTTGTTATTCAATTCAAATATACATATAGATAATCAGAGTGAATTTTCGAAGTAGGACTTCAACAGCTCAAAGAAGAGAAAATTCAAGTTTTTCTTATGGTCCATGAACCTTTCCCACACTTATTCATAATAATTCAACAAACTCTCATCAACATGAAATTTCAGCATTGCACAGGCTTTCAGAAGTAAATTTCAATAAAGAACCCAACATCATAAAACAGATTTGCAGTCAACAACAGATACACAGTTAATTTGATAGACAATATCATTTTCAAAAAACTCCGTAATAAAGCAATTCGAGAAGTTCATCCTATGATCAAGAACAAGAATCGAAATATTAGAACATCGCAAAATATCCTTTTTTCGAAAAGTGCTTGTCAAAAAATGGTCGCCATTTGAAAAATAATAGTTAGACGCGAAAATGTAATTTTGCCAACTTGTCTTATTCATATCTATCATACTTGTCACTAAAACTTCGAGATTGTAATTTTCTGATATCACCTGAGGTCCTTAGATTATAGTTTACTTCCGATCATGGCCACCTAGATGTAATTTCAAAAGTGACTCCAAAACAATTGAGTATTAGGCATAAAAACTTTCGAAAATGTCACATTCTGATCTAAAATTGTCTCAGAAATCCAAAAATGTTACAATATACAGGGTGTTCCATTTAAGAATTTAGTGACCGGAAAGTGAAAAATATGTGAAAACTCCTCTTCAAATACCATTTACCTATATCGAATCTCATTTTGATACACCTAATGGTCTAGAAGTTATGACTTGTCTAATAAATTCTTTGACACCCGGTATACGTGGTTATTCAATTGCTGATGGTTCAAAAGTTATTCAATTTCTGAAGTACAGTATGCACAACAAAATTTATTTTCTTTTCATCCACAAAGCTTCATAAGAAAATGAGGTATAAAAGTATAAATAGTAAAAATGTTCGAATGTTCAGCAATTTTAATCAAAACTTACCACGATTATACGTTAGATATCCTAGGCACCTGTATTAAATGAATCGATTTTTAAATGCCTGCATACCTTTATATGTTCATAAATTGTCACGAATCTTGAAGATCATTTATAAGTAAACAGATCCGTACTCAAGGCAAATTATATCAAACAAACTATTAAAACTCATCATGGTTCAAATGGAATGTACTGTGTGTGAGCTGTGAATAATCAATTGCTTGATCGTGTGACTCGAATTAGAGTACCCTTATCATCTTATTTGAATATGGGACGCTGAGCATATTTTTTCCTTATTCTACTTGTGCTTTCATTTTGAAGTTTTGGAGAATATATACAGAGGAGTCCACAAAAAACGGTCAGGATTGTAACTTTTGAATTATTCTAGATAGGTTTTTGAAAATAGGTGGGTAGCAAGTATACCAAATTGCTCATTAATTGATGAAACAATTCTTCTTCTATGCACTTCCAGTTTCTTCAGAAACGACCCCAACTTTTTATTCTCAAATGGGACACCCTGTATTGTAATCTATAATCGGTTAGGGATTATCATCCTTTTTTGTACACTTCTCTGTATGATTGAAAAATCGAATACAATATAATACACCTGAAAATATTTATCTATTTTTTTTTGGTGCTTATTGATGCATTACAAACTCGAAAATACTTCACTATACTATTCCATCTATAAACGTGATATATACCGGGTGTTTCTCAAAAGTGGCTCACCCCTATAACTTCTTTGTTTATTCAGATAAACTAATGTAATTCGGTGTGTTTTTTTTTCATCGCGTGGAGCGCACGAAAGGAAATCCCTATAATGTTCAAAGAACATCGTGCGTTCCTAGGGAGGATAGGGATAGGTAGGTATTGGATTTTTTTTTGAACTTCTGGAGATTATATGTTGTTGGGAATACTTCCTTAGGCAATGAATTCCAGTATAGGTACATAAATATGCATTATTTGACGTATTCAATTGTATTCCGTTACTTCCGGTTTGACCAGAAATGACCCATATTTTCTTGCTTTGAATGGAATATCCGGTAATTTTTTTCTCATGTCGAAAGAGAATAACATTGTGAGGACAATGAAACCCATTTTGCGACTTATCGACATTCATCATACTGGAATTTTTATTCTTCAATTATTGTCAATCTAGAGTACCTTGAATGAGTTGAAACAGTTGATTTTGAATCATGTTGCCTAGAAAAAATAGTTTCGATGAAGTTTTATTATATATTTGTCTCACTCTCTCAATTTACTTCGTAATCATGATGTCATTTTTTCCAATAGAACAAGGGTGGCTCATCACCATATCTGAAAAGGGTATTTCGTAACGATCACGTTGATACCACATAATCGATATTTTGAATCAATATCCAGTATCATAATCACTCTAGATTGAAAGTTGAAAAATGAAGATTTCAGGATGAAACATGTATGAACTTGGCAAATGGGGTGTCATTGTACTGACAATGTTATTCTCTATCGAAATAAGTAAAAATATACCGGGTGTCCCATTTGAAATAAGAAAAGACGGACCATTTCCGGTAAAACCGGAAGTGACAGAAAACAATTGATTACGTCAAATAGTGCAACTTTATGAACTATACTCACACACCAAATTTAATTTGATTATTTATGAAAAAAAAAATAAGAGGGGTGAACCACTTTTGAGAAACACCCGGTATATACAGTTCATAAGAATGCTATATAAACATACAGATTTTTTAAGAATTGATACAGTCCTGCATTCGCGACTATTTGGATATTGCGTGCGTTTTGGTCATTATCAATAATTATAGGTACTTATACAAAAACAAACGAACGTTATTTTGAAATTATGTAGTTGATAGATTTTGTAGTATATAATTTCTTTTCGAATCTATTTTTTTCAACATGTATTATAATGATAATGTTAGATTCCCCCATCAATTTCATGTGAAAAATATTGATGGCGCTCATATTCGTATTCATTGTTCATTTTTGAAAACGCAAAATGAATGGAAACTCATTCTATTCATTTTGCGTTCACCTTCGACTTGGCCTGTGTAATCCTCGAAATTAAAAAATGAAATTAATACTCACTTTTATCTGTAATCTTCTCTACAATCTTTGATTATTGATTATGTATACTTATATTGCAATGGCGTAAATACTTGAAATTGAGTTCGCATTTTGAAATTAAAAAATATATATATACTTACTGTACGTCTACATGAAGTGACGTAGGTATACATTGACTATCATTGATTTTCATAAGCTGAGCGAATAATATTATTGAAAATTCCTGGAAATCAACTTTTGATTTTGAATAGTTTTTTGCCCTATTTTTGAAGTAATCAGATTCTGTGAGAAATTTCAACAATTGCATGATCTGGTTGAAAAATATTGCTTCTTGTATCAAAGACTGAAACACCTGGACATTTCTTTGAATAATATGTTGAAACTATACTCTCGTTCATTTCCAATGAAGAGCTATCATCAGAATATATGTTTCAATATGTTTCATATCTCTCATCTCGATTGAACTACTAAACATTCCTTTTGTTTTTCTTTTTCTATACTACATAATATTATGAAGTACTTATACCAGTATGTAGCTTGTTTCTATTCATTGTAGGAAGTACAACCCGATCTTTTCGTAATGAGATGAGTGGGAAATGTAGGGTTATGAACAAATACATATAAACAGGAATATAAATCAATAAAGCACATAATATAATAAATTTCATTGATTGATTGATTGATTGATTGATTGATTGATTGATTGATTGATTGATCGATTGATTGATTGATTGATTGATTGATTGATTGATTGATTGATTGATTGATTGATTGATTGATTGATTGATTGATTGATTGATTGATTGATTGATTGATTGATTGATTGATTGATTGATTGATTGATTGATTGATTGATTGATTGATTGATTGATTGATTGATTGATTGATTGATTGATTGATTGATTGATTGATTGATTGATTGATTGATTGATTGATTGATTGATTGATTGATTGATTGATTGATTGATTGATTGATTGATTGATTGATTGATTGATTGATTGATTGATTGATTGATTGATTGATTGATTGATTGATTGATTGATTGATTCTTAATATCACATGAAATTGAAAATATGATTAACTCACTATTCGGATGTGAAGAACCAATTGATTAGCAAGTGGTGTATATCACGATATGTATATTTCGATTCGACCAACGGATGTCCAAGAGAAATCCAATGGACGTCCATCATTTTATTGAATTTTCACGTGGATCTGGACGAATATTCAATGTCCAGTGAATGTCCCCAAGCGGATATCTATACTAGTGGTAAATGGACATCCATTAGGACCAAGCATATGGATATTCATAGGATATCCTGTGTTTACTGAGTAAGTGGCTTTATGAAAGCTTGATCAGCCTTCTCGTAAATAAAAATTCTATAACATTATAGGTTTTTATCTAGAAGGCTGATTTTCATAGACATTTTGTATGATACATCTACCAAAAATAGAATTGGTTATTAAGAGATAGAGACGATGATATTATAACACTACATCAATTGTTTTATTTTCCAACTGCACAATTATTAATTATAACCATTCATTAGAGACACTCATTCAGTATATCCCGCGCAATTTATATAGTTTAGTGCGTAAAATGTTCCCTTGGCTAGTGGCAGTTCTTTTGATCGTTTTGGTTCTGGTTATCTTCAAATACTCCAAAGTTGAAGCTGCGTACTGGAAGAAAAAAGGCGTACACTGTCCCAAACCGGTACCGATTTTCGGCAACTTCAGCGAAGTCTGCTTCTTCCAGAAAACGGTGGGTGATTGGCTACAGAATCTGTACGATATAGTGCATCTGGACTACTTTGGCATCTACATCTTCGACCAACCAGCACTGGTCTTGAAATCTCCAGAGCTGATTCGAAGAGTACTGATCCAAGATTCCGTGAACTTCATCAACAAAACGCTCGCCGAACCCAATCACGATGAAGCTTTGTCGAACTTGATGTTCCTGCAGAAGGATGAGAGATGGAAAGCTTTCAGGTCCAGGATGACCCCAGTTTTCTCTAGCAAGAAAATTAAAGCACTACTACCAACCTTGGACAGTGAATGTCGGAAAATGAAAGCCTATTTAGTGAGAAACACTGGCATTCTGGAATGCAAAGGTATCTGCGAGAAACTGATGACTAACATATTAGCTAGATGTGTGTTCGGGGTAGATGCTCATTCGTTCGAAGAAGAAGACGCAGAATTCAGGAGGATCAGCAAGGTTATGTTTGGGTTTAGTTGGAGGAACGCCGTCGTGCAGTCCATGTATTTCTTCATGCCAAGATGGGCTGAGTGGCTCAGACTTCATTTCATCGAGAAGTCCATCATGGATTATCTTCATCGAGTGTATTTCGAATCTGTCAAGGCTAGGAAGAAGTATGGTTTTAATAAAATGAATGATTTGATCGACATAATTCATGAAATGGAGAGCAAGAAGAATTCTAATGAAGACATCGATATAGGTAATTTTGAAAATTGTTTTAAAAAAATGTCCTCAATGGTACCTACTTATCCGGTAGACTCAGGGGATCTCAATGATATGACGATAGAGATTCTGAGAAGAGTAAAAAAATCTCTTCATTCTGTCAGTAATCAGGATCTGCTTCGATGACTTCACAGCTTCTCAGGTATTTTTGAAGTCCTACGAATATTTCCATGATAACAGATTTTTCCTAAATATTCTAATCAACGAGAAATTTCATATTGATAATTGAATGAAAATCGACAAAAAAATCAAGTAAGCCACTGCTAGGCAATTTAAATAATTGAACTTCGGATGAAGGAGCCTTCCACACGCAAATTCGAACAGAAGTGACGTCAGAATAGCAACAGTGTAGAGCTTTGGTTGCAAAAAGGGGACTTACCCCAAATTTTATTTGGATCCCTTTATTTTTTAATTGGTGCCATTCGATAGTATAGGTATATGTCGAACTTCCTCAGGGTTTGCAATATTTGTATTCTTCTCACTGTCACCTTGTATATAAGAATAAGACGTGAATTTGATAGAGCAGGTTCTCAAAACCAGGGGGATGGATAAAAAGAGGAATATTTTGGTTAACGGCTTGGCATCCTTTTCACAGCCACCTTGTATTTTTGGAAACACTTTCAGTAGTTTTTCTGTTAACTACTAGGCAGGGTATTATTTAAGTATGTGACCAAACTGAGAAGGGTGCTTTTTGTGTGATTCTGAAGTACCGAAATAGCCATTTATAAATGCATAGTTTCCAAGATACAGAGTGTCAAAATCTTTTCAAAGAGGGGTTTCATGTCAGTCTAGGTATGGCTACAAATATAACACTGCAATATTTTAACAAAACTGGACAAGAAATTCTTGCAATATTCACAGAAAACCGCGATTGTTTAAAGCTTTGACACCTTGTGGCTTGCTTATACGGTGAATTTCCAGACTTTTCGTGAGAATCACTCGAAAAAACACCCCTTGAAGTTTGGCCACACACTTGACTACACCCTGTGAACACATTTTTTAATTGAGTTTTTTTATTTTCAGATAGCTTCAAAGCGGCAGCATTTGCTGTCCAATTCTTCTTTGCTGGATTTGAGACAACGATATCGACGATTTCATTTACTTTGCACGAGTTGTGTCTTAATTTGAATGTGCAAGACAAGCTCAGGGCAGAAATACTTGCAAGTATCAGTAAACACCGAGGTATAACTTACGACAGTCTGTTGGAGATGAAGTATCTAGATATGTGTATACATGGCAAGTGTTTATTGAACTTCGAAAATTTTGTATTTTCCATATGGATCAGCAGGTAGTGAGATTTTTTGATATGATTCCCCTCAGTATGCCTAATGGAGGGTATCATGGTGTATATATTTTGATTTCCATGGAAAATGTAAAAACTTAACAAACGAAAATTTTTTCACAAAATTCTCAAACACACGACATGTTTCGCTAACACAGTAGCTTCGTCAGGTGATAGATATACTGGTACGATGAACTAAACTAACCTTGGCTTGCTTATATATCCTACTTTCCCATGCAACCTGAAAGATTGATTACCTGTGAACAGGTTCGATAAACCTCCATTTTTGGAAATTAGGCACAATATCTACATTTAAATACGGAGTGACGGATTAACTTGAAAGAGTTGATAGCAAATACATATTATTACCTACTGATAAAACAAATTCAACAACGGTGAACTATTGAGGTCTAATTGATCGCTAAGTAAAATGTCAGAATATTTGAGTTTGTTGATTTCTAATGATTCAAAATGATTGAGTTTCATTCCTCCATTTTCTACGTGTAGAATTTCGAAATTATCATCAAAATCATTGTTTTTATTATGTTGAATTTGTTTTCTTTTTGAAAAAATTCATCTTATCTTCATGAATAATGCGCTGAGTAAATGTAAATTCGACATACGCATTTATTCCCCTCGTCTGTAAGACAACTGCAAGAATATTTCTGTCGGTCATTTCAATCAGATGATAAAGAATACAAAACACTACTGATGATTCAGATAAGAAGACGAATATCTTTGAATATTCGCATCTTGACCAGATGAAACAAGGATTTAGGTTCCGTTAGGAAGTTAGGTTGACAATGAAGTTCGTCTTATTTTGTTCTTCTTATATTTCTGTAAACTCTAGGCATTACGCTGTTGCCAGTGCCACAAAATAATTTGGGTTTGAAGAAAATCTCGTTCATTATAAGGAATACTAGGTTATTTTTCTTGGTACTGAAGCATCTTAAGTTTTCAGTAAGTGATTATTAGGGACCAGGTCGAACTATTCTGTGAATGTGAATCTGGCATTGTCGGAATATGTGGTCCTACTTTTTATGAGGAAGCCAGAATTCAGGTAACGATGTGTTTCGAATCGCTTCATAACGTCATCGAAGGTGGTTTTTCCGAGGGTGTCAAATTTCATTATTGAGAGAAAATATTTGTTATGCTTCTGAATAATGAATGATTGCATCAAATACTATTTGTACACGGAATGATCAATGAATGATTACCATAGCAGCGAAATATCGGCTCACAGATATTTGACATGAAATCAGTTGACATTTTGATTTTTGAAAGTTTGGTTGCAATCATCGCAATAAACTATCGAAAGCAGCTGCGATAGTGAGCTTGAAAATGTCCATACGAAATTTCCAATTTAACAGTTAGTAGGTATAGGTATTCTGTTCAAATTTCAGTATTTGATGCAAATGAGAATCAATAAAGAAGAAATTGTATTCTACAAAGAAATATAATAGGGCAATGTGTCTTATTGATTTGTTATTCTACATGTTTGCCGAAAAAACAGTGTACGCAACACGTCCAAAAACAGTTTTTTTGACTCGCAGACTTCCAGGACTCGCCTACGGCTACGACTATAGAATTTTGTCTGCTCGCCAAAAAAAAAACATTGCTTTCCGGACTTGTTACGTGAATTACTATTGTGACTGTTACGTCAAACATTGCAAAAAATCAGTTCCTATGAAAACCTATTCCCGAAGAACGGTTTATTTCACAAGATACAGAGATTGTTCATTTCAAATATATCATCTTTCATCCCTGACACATAAATGTTAGCTAATTAGTAAACGGAATAATTTAATTCAAATAAAGTATGTATATAGGCTAATCGTGAAGGTTGAATATTCAGATGCCTATACAATGAAATTGATTGATCGACATTGTTTATTGTTAATAACAACTGGAACTGGAATGATTGAAAACATAGAAGTCTTCGTATAGCAAAAAAAAACCAAATTTCAAGAGGACCAGGATAAAGTTTGCATTGGGAATACTCAACAAATATCACAAAGAAAATTGACATCGTACGAATGCTACAGGACGTCTCCTGAACACACCTCTTACCTTCTAAATTGACTTTGTGGTGTAGTTGATATATTTTTTAGCTGAATTAACTTGGTACCTGGTCACTCACTTTCATTAGAATATGAGACTGTTTCAACACACCACTAATGACAGCATATAACAAAGTAATGGTAATTGAGATAAGGTATATAATTATTATCTCATCGAAAATTCTCTTATGGTAAATATAAGACACCGTATACAGGGTGATCCACGGTGGATGGCCTATTAGAAGTATCTGGAGAACGAAGAGACAGATCATCCTGAAAATTGGGTTTCTTCGATAATTGAACATTCTCTATCCGTCAAAAATATTTTCATCGATACAGTGTTGCCACTTCTATCAGAAACAACTAGCAACTTTGTTATTTCAAACGGAACACCCTGAATTTTATTGCATTCTTAGATTCTTTTTGAAGAGCTGATTTCATCAATGTATCACACTTGGGGTCTAGCAGGAATGATTACAGAGATATAGGGTGTTCAAAATCGAGATTTTTCAATTTTAGGATTTTTTTGTGTCGCAACTATTCATTATCGATCGAAACGGCTTACCTGTCCCTATCTTAACTTTTGATTGACTATCTACTGGAATTCGATTGGAAAAAATACAGGGTGCTTCAAGATTCAGAATTATGATCACCCTGTATCTGTTCCAATCAAATGTCAGTAGATAGTGAATCGAAAGTTAAGATAGGGACATGTAAACCGTTTTGATCAATAATGAATACTTTCGACACAAAAAAATCCTGAAATTGAAAAATCTCGATTTTGAACACCCTATATCTCTGTAATCATTCCTGCTATTCCTTTTAGACGGATAGAGAAGGTTCAATTATCAAAGCATCCCAATTTTCAGAATGTTCTGTATTTTCGTTCTCCAGATACTTCTGATAGGCTATCCACCGTGGATCAGCCTGTATAAATATTGTCTTCAGATATGATATTTCAAGGCAGACAATAATAGTTTAATGACCCTCAATAATAATATATAGGTATCAACCAATAAGTTTTATTTCATGCCATCCATTCCTGAAAATATTTATGTACTGAATACTGTCTGTAGGTTAATCGAGGAGGTGGTATATTCATTATTCCAAATTTTTTGGGATTTTCTCTCCTCGTTTCTATAAAATAAAAATATGAATATTATTTCAATATACGTGTAGTAAGGACAAATCAGATGATTTGCCCCAAAATGTCACTGCGTTTAAAGAATTTTCCTATCAGAGAGCCTAAAAGAAAAATTCACTAGCTTGTCAGTGACAATTTGTATTGAAAAAATTTTTGGAGAAGGGAAATAAAGGTATATAGAAAAAATATCAAATTTTCACTTATCTTTGGACGTTTCGGGACCGGTTCTGCTCCCGTTTTCAACATGAGAAGAGATTATTTCCCTTCTCCAAAAATTTTTTCAATACAAATTGTCACTGACAAGCTAGTGAATTTTTCTTTTAGGCTCTCTGATAGGAAAATTCTTTAAACGCAGTGACATTTTGGGGCAAATCATCTGATTTGTCCTTACTACACGTATATTGAAAGAATATTCATATTTTTATTTTATAGAAACGAGGAGAGAAAATCCCAAAAAATTTGGAATAATTTATATACTGGATGTTTAAAGGAAAGGTGGCCCCGTTGCTAGGATTATTGATATATAACACTATGAAATAGGTTGGATTCGCTTAGTTAAAAAATTTCGTAACGGCATTCATTATATTGAAGATACAGGGTGTTGAAAAAAGATATTAACATTTTATAAGATTATGTTGAAACTACTGGCAACGTTGTAATGAAATTTTGTGCGAATATGGAAGGTTCACATTCACTCATAACTTTCTTGTGGTTAGATTTTGTATTCCAACAACTACCGGTTCAGTCAAAATCAAAAGCAATTATATCATTTTAATGCTAAATTTATGGATTGAACAAAGATTCACAAGAAGCTAATTTGGATGGATTTGCCGAAGACACATTCATGCGATATATTATGTCAACTTCCAAAACATATTCATTCAAAATATCACTACAATGTTGCCATTAGTGACGAGATAATCGTGAAAAATGTGTATTGATTTTTTTTCTAAACACCGTGAATCTTATATATATCAGATACTTTTACTCAAACTTAAACCCGACTCATTTGTCAGTGTTTTACGGGTCCTAGCAATGAAGCAACCTTTTTTTGAAATCCCCCTATCACTCTATACGTATTAATTTTCCATCCCATCGTCATATCCTGACTTTGAACTCTTAGATATGTTTCCTCTGAAATAGATAATGAGGAATAAACGAGCATATCGATTACTTACAATCAATTTGAAACGCTTATTTTGGGCAGACTGCCTATACTTATTATAACCTTGTGCCAGATTCTATTGTGGAGAGTAAATTCTCTATACCAATTTATTCAAAAGGTTTCGAACGTATACTCACAAAATACCACTAGAAAAAAATTCATTGATACCAATTTAGCGCGACTGACTTGTCAATAATTTCCATGGGAATCAAACCACTGAAATGTCAGTCATATCAATAATTGAGAAATATGTGTGTGTGTGAAACGAAGCATGTTCAAAAATTCTGAACAAATTCTAAGATGTTCAGCTTTCTAATCAGTAGCTTCCATGAGATTTTGACAGAAAAATATCGACTGGTTTTCATTAAAATTATATTATATAACATGTTTTCGTTCATTTCTCAAAAACTGATCTCTTCAGATTTGTATCAAAATCCCACAGGAGTTTTCTATTAAAAGCTGGAACATGCTAGGAAATTTCTGAATATACAGTTTCTCTGCAATGGTGAAATAATCATGATAGGTTACTGTAAACCCAATGTCATGCAAAATATTTTCTTTATTTCAATCAGTTATGTGAGATGGAAAATATTTTTATATGAATTGTTCATATTACTTCTCATTCACAAACACTGATAAGAGTGATAAATGTTTACCCTGTGGCATAATGTCAAACTATTTTATTCCTACATCAAATTTTGGAATACGCTTACGGTTCCTCTGTTCTATCTCGAAAACGGTGTTCTATGAAAAAATATCTTCCTTCAAATTTTCATAAGCAATTTCACGATGTTCCGAATATTCAAGATTATCGCTTCCTTGTTCACGAGAGTGTGTTGCCGAGCAACACCACTGAATAAGAATGGCGAATCAACTCATAGGAAAATTGTGAATTCTGAATTTCGACCTCTGATGCTCTGCATCCATATCTACTATAGGAGTCGAAAATGAAAAAGGAATTGAATCTTCATCGATACACGAACACGAAACTATTTCTTTATTTTTTTTAAGTGAATTCTCTCAGCCTATTGAGAAAATAAAAAAAAACGTAGCTATATAATATTTTTTCATAAACCTCACGAAGAAATAAAAATCCCAATACCTATATAAACCATGGCTGAAGCCTCTGACAATAGTAAAAAGTGAAAAAAAAAGTAGGCAGAAACCCATTGGAAAAGAGAATATTATAACAAAAATGCAAGGAAAAATAATTTATGGGCTATCTGAGGTCGAGAAGGTATAATCTGAGAACCTAACAATGATTACTCAAGTTATAAAATTGGACCTGATGATAGGAGTATAGGTGTTTGAGCAATATCACTCTCTGTATAATTCTTGGTATCATTTCAGAGACTCTTCGCAAATATCCCGTACTGCCCTTCCTCGACAGAGCCTGCAACGAAGACTACACCTTTCCGGGAAGTAATCTGACAGTAGAAAAGGGTACCCCAATTTACGTACCCCTTCGTGCCATGCACATGGACGAGCAGTATTTTTCCGAACCTCAGAAATTCGAGCCAGAAAGGTTCATCAACAGAAAGTATAATGAGCATGGATTGGTGTATTTGCCCTTCGGAGCTGGACCCCGAAATTGCATAGGTTCGTATAATTGGAGTCCCTCAGGGATCAGTACTGGGGCCCATTCTGTTCACACTGTACGTGAATGAGTTGCCTCTGATCCTTCCGAACGCATTCACCTGTTTATATGCAGATGATTCCACATTATTATTCACAGGCAAATCTGATACTCAAATTCAAAACAGAATTGATGATAGTATTCAGTCACACAGATGATTATATGATAACTCCCTTAATTTGAATGCTTCAAAAACAAATCACTATAGATGATCGAACTATACAGAGGGTTGAATGCACTACTTTCTTAGGGGTCAGACTTGGTCATCATCTATCATTCAAATTACATCGTAAATCCCTAGCAAATATATTTAGTACTAAATGCTTTCAATTGAGAGCTCTCAAATCAATTATGGACATGCGAGGGCTCCTACTCTTTTACCACGGAGAAATTCAATCTCGAATCACATATGGATCACCATCTGGGGTAACTCATCTGCCGCTCATGAAGTCTTCATAGTGCAGAAAAGAATTGTACGATGTCTTGCCAGTGTTCCTAGTGGCACCACATGTAGGAAATTATGCAAAGAATACAAGTTACTCCCCCTATATGAGTTATATATCTTTGAAGTTGAACTGATACCTACACATAAAAAACGAGAAAGTTCAAAGTTATAGTTATCAAACGCGAACAAAGAATAATTTATATTTGCCCAACGTACGTTTGACGTTATCTCAGAAATCATCGGACATATCGGGACTCAGACTATACAACTCTCTTCCCGAAGAATTAAAATTGATCAATGAACTGCATTCGTTCAAAAATAAAATGAAAATACATCTCCTCGACCTCTGCCCCTATAGTTTACTTAGACTGTATGTTTTATTGTATTTCATATATCCAAATATTTGTATATACTGACTTGACTTGTCTGATAGCATATAACTGCTCTGTGAATTAAATAAACTTACTTGAAAGCTCGAACTTGAACTTAAATACAGATGATACAAATGTTGTATGTTCTTCCAGATCATGTGATTGTGATTTTCTTATTTGTGGCAAACTTGCACATCAACTAGGAAGAATCCAAATACTCAGAGTGGAATGCAATGGTCACAAAGAGAGAAACTCAAAGTCATTACTACAATAATTCGTATAGACGAATAAAATCGCAAGTCTTTCCTTCCTAAACGCTGAGCTGCGATTAAGTGGTTTAGGAATGCATGACTACCTGCAGACCTATTTCGTGCTGTTGGCTCTCATCAGTGCAGGGCTGTCCCAGATAGCTTCTTGACCGCAATCTGGTGCGAACCTGAACTAACAAAAACGCATCTCAGCATTTATACTTATACCCCACGAGGCGTACAACGTCCGCGAGATGAAACGCGAACGCCGAAATCCACCTGGCAAGGAAAGAAACACTCCAAAACAATCTCCTATTTCAGGTGGAATAGGAGTGGCTGGTTGCCCGACTGGCGTATTTTCAACGGGAAAAAGCCAAATATCCAAAGTGGAATGCAATGGTCACAAAGGGAGGAACTCAAAGTCATTACATTACCACAATAGTTCATAAAATGAACGAAAATTGTAGATAACGAGAGAAAAACAATTACTTTCCTCACTATATGCCACGCCGAACATTGTATTACGTCCTCCCGAAATCTATGCAATAATTCGCATAGACAAATAAAATCACAAGTGTTTCCTTCCTAAACTTGCACATGTTCGCACTGATTATTTATCTGTATAGAATGTTGACCTGTCATTGTCAGTGTCAGAACAGAATTCTGAAAACTTTCAAAATTTGGGAAAATTGTTTCTTTCAAAAAAATGAACGCTGTACACAAGAAAAAATGGAATCATTTAAATCAAGCAACATAAGCACTAGAAAATATAACCTTGAGAGAAGTACTTTGATACATTTTTGGTTAAGTGTAGATGAATATTTCTTTCATAGACTGTGGATCTCATTCTACCAAGAGGCCAGCAAAGACAAGAAGAAAAGATAGCCATCTATGAAAAATGCAACTAATGTTTATTCAACAATATATTTCTTTGATAATATGTATTTCATTGCTCCTACATTAGAATATAAAAACTTGTATGTTGACTGAAACAAATATTCTTACCACAATAATAGTTTTCTCATCAAATTGATAAAATGTTTCAACATCTGGTAATTATATTTTATTGGATTTTAGGAGAACGATTTGGCCTTATCAGTACCAAACTAGCACTGGTCCATATTTTGTCACAATTTCATGTTGAGAAATGCACAGCTACACCAGATCCAGTGGTTTTTGACCCAAAGAGCGTGATGCTTCAGTCCAAGGTTGGTTTACCCATGACATTAAGGCTGATTTAGAGGTTTTTGACAACACAAATCCATATCAAATAATGGCAATTCATTTCATCAGTAAATAGCTTGTCGAAAATTCAGATCTATTTTATGCTATACGAGTTCCTAGAACGGATTATACCTATGACGTCATAACAATATGTACTTTTAGTAAACAGAAGATGGAAATCACAAAATACAGAGTTCCATAGGTACTTATAAGATTCGAGTATATCAAAAACAGGAATGAATAGTGAAAATGAACAACAAAAATACAAAACAAATAAAAAACAACGTTAGAAACAAAATGTTAACAGAGGTAGGTATATGAAAAAATGATTTTTTTCTGAATCAGATGAAGTATTGTCCTTTTTTGGTTTATCAGTACCAAAATGTAAATATATTACTTATTTTGTAAAATTAATTCAAACAGAGCTTGCTGAAATATCATGCAATTCATAAGTTTATTTGATTAACTGAAGATTGATTATAACACATGTGATGATATTAATGAATGAGTGTCAAAATATGTTTCAGTTGGTTATGAAATGTTTCAGTAGATCATTATGCAAATCAGGAGATCTACTGAAAATTCAGTAAAACTGGCAACCCTGCAGCGGACCAAAAGTGTTTGCCGACGAAAAGTTAGTGTCTGTGAACCAAAAGTACTTGCCTTCAGAAATAGTCGGTTCTTTGTTATTATATAGAACATAAAATGTGATTATCTGTCGAGGTCCACATAATAAATGATTTTTTCTAGTCACTTACCCAATATTTGCATCAGCTCGTGTTAGATAAATATTATGATGGTAGAAAATATAGAATAAACACTGATTTTCAGTATATAGACATTTATTAAATACCAATTTTAGATATTTCACATGATGGCCCAATGTAAAATATGCAAATTCATCTATTCCTTACAATTAATTATCTAGAAGTAGGAAGAATACAAATGTTTTCCAGAAGATGATAACAGGTTATACTGGTCCTCAATTCATAATAAAAATTCAATATGAATAGGTCGATCTCTGATAATTTCACAGATGAAGATTAACGCTGAAAGATGAACGCCTGCATCCAGTTTCAACAAGTCGCTATGAAATTTATTCAAGTTCTATTATAATTAAGTAATCTTCATCCATGACTAAGTACAAGGAGACCCAAAAAAATATTTTGCATAATACAGTGTGTCCACAAATCTTTATTTATCCGTTTTGATAATTTTATTTGTTATAGATAGTTATTTGGAATTCAAGAAGTAGTGACTTATTCTTGAAGATTTGTGGTATTTTGTGAAACTCACGATGCCTCAAACCACATTTTCATATAGCTCGCTTCGTTTTTGAAATACAAGGCGAAATTGGGAATGTTGAATTCTGAGACCCCCATGTCATGTATCTCATCTATCTTTGAACCTATAGGAAATGTTAAAACTAACTGTCTTTTATAATTTTTTTTTCAAGGACAATTGAGAATACAGTTGCCTAGGCAAAATTCTGAAGTGAGATGTTATAAATATGAATATACCCAGACAGCACTGGATATTCCTAGAATATTCTCTAAATATGCTAAAAAGGAGGAGTATATTCCGAATATTCATCGATTATTCCTAGAATATATACATGCCTCTGGAACATCTAGAAGGAATATTCCAAAGTGATGTTCAGGGAATATTCAGGTATGAATTTTCCAGGAATATTCCCAAATGAATATTCTCTCTTGTATATTCATGAAATATTCCCAACTGAATGTTCTGTGGGGTATATTCATGAAATATTCTCAACTGAATATTCTGTGCGGTATATTCATGAAATATTCTCAACTGAATATTCTGTAGTGTATATTCATGAAATATTCCATGAATATTCCTATGTTTCTCAACACATAAATACCCATCATTATTTCAGAGTTGTGAGTATCGAACATCAAAATTACCTATATGTAAGGGGATTTTGAAACAAAAAGTGTTTATGATCCGATTTCGAACAACGCTCTCACAAGAAATTGATATGTACAACATCATTCAATTCGATTACTGGCCTAGTGGTCAAGGCGTTGGTCTGATAGTCTAGAGGTCACGAGTTCGATCCCTACTAGGCTCACTTTTTTTATTTTACAATATGTTTATTGGAATATTCCAGAAATATTCAACATGGAATATTCTTTAGGATATATTCTATGAATATCTGAGGAATTCCCATTCGCATATTTAGAGAATATTCCACAGATATTCCGGAATATTCCAGATTATTTCTAGAATATTCCAATATTCCAAAAGGAATATGATAGGGAGATTCATGGAATATCTGGTGCTGTCTGGGTACAGGGTGGCCAACGGTCGATGGTACTTTAGACGTATACGGAAAACGGTACATTGGATTATCCTGCAAATTTGGTTACTCTAATAAGCGTTTGTGATCTAACGATTCAAAATATTTTCAGCTAAGCAGCGTTGCCACTTTTACCAAAAAGCAGCATCATCATCTTTGTTATTTCAAATGGAACACCCTGTATTTTATTGCGTTTTTAAATTCTTCTCGAAGAGCTGATTTCATCAATGTATCACACTTGGGGGCTAGTAGGAATTATTACAGAGATATAGGGTGTTCAAAATCGAGATTTTTCAACTTTAGGATTTTTTTGTGTCGAAACTATTCATCATTGGTCAAAACGGCTTACATGTCCCTATATTAACTTTTGATTAACTATCTACCGACATTTAATTGGAAAAAATACAGGATGGTCCAAGATTCAGAATGATCACCCTGTATCTGTTCCAATTAAATGTCAGTAGATAGTGAATCAAAAGTTGAGATAGGGAAATGTAAGCTGTTGTTATCGATAATGAATAGTTTCGACACAAAAAATTCCTGAAATTGAAAAATGTCGATTTTGAGCACCCTATATCTCTGTAATAATTCCTGCTAGACCCCAAGTGTGATACATTGATGAAATCAGCTCTTCGAGAAGAATCTAAAAACGCAATAAAATACAGGGTGTTCCATTTGAAATAACAAAGATGATGCTACTTTTTGGTAAAAGTGGCAACGCTGCATCACTGAAAATATTTTGAATCGTTAGATCACAAACGCCTATTAGGGTAACTAAATTTTCAGGATAATCCAATGTACCGTTTTCCGTATACGTCTAAGGTACCATCGACCGTGGGCCACCCTGTATAAGTTGTATTTTTTTGAATAGAACGCTCTCTATATTTCTTTAAGTCTGAAACCTTGATGCTTTGCGCTTTTCACTAATAGCCTTATTTGTATTTAGATAATTTCCGGTTTTTCGGGAGGTTTCTTATTGATATAGGCCTTGTGAATAAGTGGCAAAATTTTCCATAATATCACAAATTTTCATAACTACTGTAGCTGACACAGTGTTTCGTCACACGTTTTACCAACATCCATCATTCCACAATATTCAGCATTATTCATTGACTAGAAATACTGTGAACCTAATTAGTGGCCATGAAAACAAAACAAGTGCATAATGTTTCATAATGCTTATCACCTGACTATCTGTCGAAGTTTACTAATTCGAATTTTCCATTCAATGGCGAATGATAATCCAGGATATCAAAACTACAGAAATTTATAGAAACTAAACTAACTCATATCTCAACCATATCTTATTTTCCGTAGTAATATATCCTGGATAATTAATCGCCATTGAATAACAAATTTGTGAATTCGACAGGTTGGTGACAAGACAAGACATTCTGCACTTGCTTTATTTTCATGAAGACCTACCTAATTAACAGAAGTGCTTCTCTGGTCGGCGCCTTTGATATTTTAGGATCTGTTTTCTGGGATCCGCCATGTTCTTGGGTTAGCAAGCAGGGCCGTTTTCTCGTTCTTTAATGTTCATGATTAGGTATATCTGGGAATATCCCTTTTCAATAAAATGTATTCAATTATTACAAAATCACACCAACACTTAATTCAATGAAAACTAGTTTACAAAAGCTAACTTTCATTTTTAGTATAGGACAGGTTTGAACGCAAACATTGCTGAACATTGATATTGATAGATTTGACCAGGTTTTCATTTCATTATTTCTTAAAGTTATTTTTTTGAAAAACCAAATGATTTTTTTTCTCAATTGCAGTTCTGTTTGGTCAATAGGTTTACAAGGTATATTCATTCAACTGACTCTGATCAGATGAGGAACAAAACCTAGCCATAGAATTATTTTTGCAATCTGTAGCAGCACACACAAGACCATCTCTGAGTTCTTTAAGCACTCATGTCTACAATTACAGATGAAACAGATAAATAATCCATCATTGGCTTCTTATTCACAACTTAATTAGGTAGGCATCAAAACATATTCGTACAGTACAACCCAAACAACAACACAACACAACACAGAAGAAATAGAATATGTACTTGAATATTTGAATATTTCACACGATCATTCCACAGCTGAGAAGTCGATAAACTGTAAACAAGTAACCCAGGAAGATGGCCGACAACCTGCGCCGTTCAAATGCGCGAACCCACTCCCGCGCAAGAGATGCTATTCTGATTGTTGAGTATTGTGTGCTAATTAGTTGCACAGTTTCTATAGTCAATACATTGTGCTGGATATTAGTAAATGATGTTGAATGTTGGTATTTCGAAACTGGTGTGTGACAAAACACTGTGTCAGCAACACATACAGGGTGACATTTCGAAAATTTCCCACTCTCAATATCGTCCTTAAATAATATGAAAAATCGAGAAGACAGGTCGATCTTATTTTCAGGGACACTTTAACGAATATTTTCAGCCCTCTTGGTCCAACTCCTTAGGAGGGATAGATTTGAAGGGTGCTCAATTCTTTTTCCAACGGTACCCTAGTTTATCATTTTTTGTTGAGCAGTTTTCCAAAGTATGCCATGTCAATTAAAAAACTTTCAACGCTAGCTTAATATCTTCCTTCCACTGAATAATATGGAGAATCGAGAAGAAAGGTCTATTTCACTCTCAAGGGGGACACTTCAAATGCATATTTTTAGCCCTCTTGATTCAACCCTTTAGGAAGGGTGGATGTTACCCTTAGAAACTCATATGAAAATG